AACTCGTCTGTCAATGGGTTTATCGTCAGTTTTAAGTTTCCTTCTTTCAATGACTCAGATATCTTAGAATAGTTTGAAAAGTTTGTTGTGTTCTTATTTAGAGCTTGTACAATGAGTTGTCGGTTGTGTTGTATTTCTCTCATAGACGCTGTTTCATTCGACATTTTTATTCTAGATAAAATATGCTTTCAATAGAAAAAGAAAATTCAAGAGTTGCTACAACTAAACCATTAGATGAACTTTTTACGAATGTCGGTCAAAAGTTTGAGACAGAGACCGTAAAACATGAAGGCTATCGTTTTGACTACCCACTAAGATGGTTAAGAGACCCATCCGTCACAAAAGCTATTGGCTTTCGTAGAATGAAGTTTGTGTCTGTAGAAGATAAAAGTTTTCCATTTATTGTAAGGTTTCATATAGATTATATATCTGAAGGGAAACGAAAAATGTGGGAAGAAATTGAGCTAATACAAGTTGACCTTTCATCTTCTCTACAGACTGCGTTAAAAAATATAGAAGATAAAATAAATTCATGTTATGCAAAATATGCTGATGAATATGCAAATACCGAGAGCACACTTTATGTGAGAATTGTATATGACAAACAAAATTCACAAGTGTCATTTCAAATCTACGAAGACAATCCAAAGAAAGACGAACAAATATATACAGAATTCACTGCAATGTCATGGTATTATTTGCAAAGAATGTTAAATCAGAAAGTCGAACTTCCTTTAGCAAATATTTACAGTCGATATGCAAGAGATGAACCATATTTATTTAAAGATGTTTTCGACCCAGCTGCTATTATTGTTCATGCTTCATTTTCTGGCGCCCAAAACTCTTTTTTATGCTTGGCAAATGACTTTTACGAAAAACCTACAAAGTTATACGAACCACCAAGTGGAAGTATTTCAGACTTTCAAGTATGGTTTACTACAGATGGAAGAAAGAGAATAATTCCATTATACCATGCGTTTTACTTAGAACTTAGTTTCATATACAACTACTATCGAACGGTAAAAATATAATTTTTAATACGGTTGAGGTGTTGGATTTGGTTGCCAACTAGACTGTGGTGCAGGTTCAGGCTGTTGTATAACAGGAGCTTGCTCTTCTGGTTCAGGGTCTTTAGGTATAATACCAACAAACTGACCTACTCTTTTACCAATATTTTTGACTCCGTTCCAAATTCCTCTTCCGACAGATTTTATTCCATTCCATATACCTCTTCCAACATTTCGAAAGAAGTTTCCTATTCTTCCAAAGAAACCCATTTTACTATATGTAAAAATCTAATGTCCGCCTAGTCTCTTACGTTTCCTGTTGAGTTCCATTGCATTCTTTAACTGGAGCTCATACATTCTATTTCTCCTCTGGTAGAAAACATATTCTGGGTCAACTCCTGTGTTCGCGTCATCTGCATAGAGTTGTTTATATCCCACTTCAGGGTTTGTATAAAACTCTTTCCATCTCATATTTGCATACCATGGTGGTAAGCCTAACGCAGCGTCATTTGACATGGCAGTTTGCATTTGTACATCTGTTGGCACTTGACCATAGTTTGCCATTGCAGTTTGTATTCTAACTTCATTTGGAATATTCTCTGGGTTTGGTTGTCCAGGTTGCTGTGCATTCGCTAAGTTCTGTGCGTCCATTTAATATTAGATAAAAATATCTCTTACGAGTACATATGCTGAACATTTGCTGGTATTGGTTCATCTTCATATTCTCTATATCTTTCTGCCACGTCAAATAAGTAAATGACACAATGGAAAAAACCTAAAACAAGTAGTCCTATTTCAAACCACATTTACTTACCAATAAAATTTCTTTGTTATGACACTTTCTCCAGTTTATAGGACCTCTCTCATATTCTATCTTATCGTATCTAAACTCATAGTCATGTATGTCCTCTAACCATCTCATAACACTTTCCAAACCACTTTTATCGGATGTAAAGTAAAAGCATGGATGGTTATGTAAAACGTCTAAAGTTTCTAAAGAGTCTCTCAAAGTCCAGTCTACTTGTATTGAAAATCCCATGTGTTATAGAACGGCGGGTCCACTATAAAGAAAACATTTTCCTTGTCTTTATATTTTTCATACAACTCTGTCCAACGACATCTCACAAACTCTATACCCTCAATATATTTTTCTATGTCCTCTTTGAAAACATTTGTATAGTTAAGATATAAAACTTTTGACATAAGTGTTTCAATGTCATGAACTCTTATAGCACCACTATATAATAGTCTAGCAGATATACTATTCCAGTCTACATATTCTGCTTTTTTCAAAACCTCTCTCACAATATTTTTCTTATCTAATGGTATATACGTTCCATCTTACCTATAGGTATCTTTTCTTTTAACTCTTTCAATATATTGTTTGTGTCTGGAATATGTTTGAGACGGTCCATATAGTTGTCGAAGTCATTGCATATAATCTTTGAGTCTGGAAATATTATATGGCACAAATGGGATATATAGAAACTTCCACCGAACAAATCTACAAATGTTAGACCATTCGGTAGTTTCTTAAGTTCTCTCAATATAATATCTTTACATTTACTCTTATTTCCAAAGAACGGTAACGGTGGTTTTGTAAAATTCATTTATATATAATAATAAAAATGTTTTTACCCGAAAAGTGACAGAAAAGTGACAAAACATGAAAACATATATAATTTGTGAAAAGCGACACATTATATAATGTTTTCGACCCAGAAGAAGGCTTCTTCCCAGAAGCAATGGAGGAAGAAGAAGAGTCCTCCGAATTCACACCAGAAGACTAACAATTTTCCGAATAAAAACTTCATTTATACTAAACATCTTCGGGGCTAGAGGGCACGAAGTGCCTGGAAGCCCCACTACCTTTTTTTTTTTTTTTTTTATTTATCATTGTTTTATCACATTCTCTTTCATTTCATATTTATCATTGTTTTATTACATTCTCTTTCATTTCATATTTATCATTTTTTATTGGATTATCTATCTTTTCATATTTTTCATTGTTTTATGAAATTGTCTTTCATTTCATATTTATTAGTGTTTTATAAAATTCTCTTTCATTTCATATTTATCATTGTTTTATCACATTATCTTTCTTCTCATATTTATCATTGTTTTATTGGATTATCTTTCATTTCATATTTATCATTGTTTTATCATATTATCTTTCTTTTCATATTTATCATTGTTTTATGACATTGTCTTTCATTTCATATTTATCATTGTTTGATCACGTTCTCTTTCATTTCATATTTATCATTGTTTTATTGGATTATCTTTCTTTTCATATTTATCATTGTTTTATGACATTCTCTTTCTCATCATATTTATCATTATTTAATGAAATTCTCTCGATATTAATGAATGCCCTCTTAGTATTGCAATCCATGCGAATTCAATAGAAATTGTCCAATTCTTAGTTGAGCATGGGGCAGATGTTAACATAAAACTTATTCTCTTTCATTTCATATTTATCATTGTTTTATGATATTCTCTTTCTTTCTATCTTTATCATTGTTTTATGGAATTCTCTCGATATTAAAAAATGCCCTCTTAGTATTGCCACCAAATTTGAAGCAACAAATATTATGACTTTCTTAGTTGAACATGGTGCTACTGTTGCATGCTAAGATCAGTCATAATGTAAACCTCTCAATTTTATTGTCGTGGGAAGTATCTCAATTCCTTCAAAAAAATTGAAAAACTATTTAATTTTAAAAATATAATACTTTTAATTAGTTAATTAATTGGAGATATTTTTAAAAATCACTTTTGATAATACTTTTGAGAACTTTAATTAAAAAAATATATTCAAAAATATCCAGGATATCAAGAGGGAATTGTTCCTTATGAGGTATATAGTTATGATGTATACCTCATAAGGAACAATTCCCTCCTTAAAATGAGAAAACTTGTTCGAAATTGTTTATCATTTCGAACAAGTTTTCTCGTTTTTAATAGGAAACTAAAGGCTATGAGGCACTGATTATATATTAGTGCCTCATAGCCTTTAGTTCCTAATAGATAGCTGGGGAACTTTCTCCAAATGATAAGTTATTCAGAGAAAGTTTCCCAGCTATCAAAAAGGGAATTGTTCCTTATGAGGTATATAGTTATGATGTATACCTCATAAGGAACAATTCCCTCCTTAAATCGTAGACATTTATATTCTTATGAATCAACCATTCAAAATCATATTCCTCTGAAAAGTTATTTTATTAAAAATTTAGAATTTTAATAAATATAAAGTTGGAATTTCATACAATACCTATATATTTTCAATAATGAATTTGAAAACCATTCTCAAAAGTTCTCAGAAAACCTTTTTTTCATTAATTTTAAGAAATCTGAGTATTAAATTAAGTGATAAATTCGTTTGACACTACTTTAATTTTTAAATTCAAAAATTATATGTGCTTCTTAAAATGACTCAAAAAAATTTTATTATTAAATAAATATATAATATAATAAAAAATCCCACAACATTTTTTTTACTTTAATAATCGTACTTCCTCGACGATTAATTTCCACTCAATTTCTATCGTTGACCGAACTTAGCATGCAACACTACAAATATCTAATACTTCTTTTTCCGATAAAATTATTTTATATTGAAAAAAAAAAATAAATAATAATAATAATAAAAATGAAAGTAACTTTTTTTTGTTCAAATCATTCCTTTATCAGTATCATGAGATACAAAATCTGTACAAGTACTTCTCATGAGAAACTAAGTCTTCAATCAGTATCTGATTGAAAAAGAAAGTCTTCAAAGACTCTCTCAAGTCATCTTTGAAGACACTGTTCCTCTTCTTGGATGCAACATCTTTGCAAGCACATCAGATGAGGAACAAGCCAACAATTCAGATATTCAATATAGGATTTTTTTTTCAAAAAATATAATGAATTTATGCTAGCATATGTCCTACAGTAATACATACAAATCATAAATATCTCAGTTTTCAATACCATTTGCCAAAATATAAATTAGTCAGATGACGAAGAGGAAGAAGAGGATGATGAGGAAGATGAAACTACGTGGATTGGACGTCTGATCTGCTGTGGGAAGAATAACTGGTTGTAGCCAAAGCCATAGCCATAGCCATAGCCAGGGGACATGAATGGTGACGGTTGTGGGTAAACGTTGATAATAGTGATGTGATGATGATTCTTCTTTTTCTTCTTTGACTTTTCATCATCATCTGAACTTGAAGATGATGAAGATGAAGATTTATGGTGTTTCTTCTTCTTATCCTTCTTCAACTTCTTATCTTTCTTCTTCTTCTTTTCTTCCTTTGGCTCTTCTTTGAGAGAAGATTTTTCTTCTGATGACTTTGTTTCAACCTGTTTTTCGCTTGTTTGTTCATTTGATTTCTTTTCATTGTACATCTTGGCGAATTCCTCGTAGTCTGGTCTTACACTTGGTGGCAAATCCATATATAAATCGGAATACTGGTTTCTTGGAACTTGTTCATCTTTGTTTTCTCTTGATCTGAGTGTGATGAACATTTCCATTCCTTCTGATTTATTAGGAACTGTGTCTGTTATTTTGCCTTTTGCTCCAATGTTGGATCTATTGTTAGGTTTCAAGCTCAGACCATTGTTGTTTGAGCCATTTGATGGAAGTTTAAGGGATTGTTTGCCTTCGTTGTTGTTTGAAATTGGTTCGTGCTGAACAGCGCCTGATTTAATTTGGTCTGCATGTGAAATATATTTAGCTTTTTCATCCATTGAAAGATTCTGATATTCGCGGAAATATTTGAGTTTCAAGTCGGCACCTTCAAGATCTGGATATTTCTCGCGAACTTGTTTGCCGTGTTCTTCAATGAAAATATCAAGAGCTGTAGTAGCCTTGCTTTGTATTTCTGTGGTATTTTCTTTCTGATTGGAAGTTGAAGGTTTAGATGATTCTTCTTTTTTGTCTGATTCGGAATCATTCTTACGAGGTGCTCCAAGTAGTGAACGTTTTGGACCACCAAAAACACCATCAAAACCAACAAGTTTAGGTGTAAGACCTAGTCCTGTGCCAAAGGGTTTAGTTTCTTGTTGAGGACCATTTGTTTTGTTTTGGTCTGCACGTGAAATATATTTAGCTTTTTCATCCATTGAAAGATTCTGATATTCGCGGAAATATTTGAGTTTCAAGTCGGCACCTTCAAGATCTGGATATTTCTCGCGAACTTGTTTGCCGTGTTCTTCAATGAAAATATCAAGAGCTGTAGTAGCCTTGCTTTGTATTTCTGTGGTATTTTCTTTCTGATTGGAAGTTGAAGGTTTAGATGATTCTTCTTTTTTGTCTGATTCAGATGATTTGGGCTGAGACTGGGAATTTTCTGATTCAGCACTAGGTTGTTGCTCAGATTTGCTTGATATTCCATCTATCGTAGCGGCACCTGAGTTAATTAAGGCAGCTTGCTGAATATAATTCGCCTTTTCTTTCATTGGACAATTATTAAATTCGCTCATGTACTTTAAACGAAGTTCAGAATCATTCAAATTTGGGTATTTTTCTTTGATTTCTTTTTCATGATCTTTAATAAATAAATCAATTGGAGAAACCTTCGTCTCCTGTGATCCACTGCCCTGTGTTCTGGAGTCATTGGCATTAGGATTTGTTTCTTCGATATGATTATCATTAGCTTTTGATAGCATTTCGTTTAAAAAATGAAGAAAAAAAAGATAAGTCAAAAAAAAAAAGAAAATAGTCAGAATTTCTCAAATGAAGAATCAAAGCTAGAGAGCAAATATACCTTCGATATAACTTTGGCTGCTCTCCTTTTGATAGCTTTGATGGAAATTTCCCTTCTCAACAAGTGAAAAACAGGTTGAAACAAAGTCATCAGAAGAAAAATCTTCTCTCAAAGAAGAGCCAAAGGAAGAAAAGAAGAAGAAGAAAGATAAGAAGTTGAAGAAGGATAAGAAGAAGAAACACCATAAATCTTCATCTTCATCATCTTCAAGTTCAGATGATGATGAAAAGTCAAAGAAGAAAAAGAAGAATCATCATCACATCACTATTATCAACGTTTACCCACAACCGTCACCATTCATGTCCCCTGGCTATGGCTATGGCTATGGCTTTGGCTACAACCAGTTATTCTTCCCACAGCAGATCACGTCCAATCCACGTAGTTTCATCTTCCTCATCATCTTCTTCTTCCTCTTCGTCATCTGACTAATTTATACTAATAATTAAAATTTTCCATTACTTTTGCCGATTTCTTTATCAGCAACTAAAAATTTTATTATTATAACTTATAGCATATGAATATTTGAATACTTTGCGTCATACTTTTAGAGAAAAGATGAAAAGCAACAACTAATCTGCCAATTTAAAATCAGCAAGTTTGTAATTTTGATATTAAATCTAGGAAAACTATGAGTATAAGTGACTTTAAACTACGTTGATTCTCTAATGAGTATATGGTGCAATCAAATCTACGTGAATGAAGACTAAACAAGTAGAATTAGTTTAGGAGGTTAACGAATACTAGTTCATGATTGCATTATTCTCAAAATCTGAAATGATGAAATGATTCCTTGGACCGACGAGGGGATGTGCAATCAAAATCAGCCCTATAAGTCAAAGGGCCATCCAGAAAATGGATACAGTCTATGAAACTAAAAAAATTGAATGTTGGTAAATTTTATCCTTAGATTAATAGATTAATCCAAAAAGTTTTCGTGGCATCCTTTTAACACTTTAATTTTATCAGCGCAATTGTACAATTGTATTGCTCAATGTAAAGTGTACGTTTTTTAATTAAATTTACAGGGCTATGGCAAGTTTCAGTGAGGCACTGAAAGCTGAAAGCCTTGTCGACGTTTCATGGGATGGTACTAAATTACGAGATGCTATTTTTGAAATTATTAAAGTTTTCAAATCGCATGATTCTCGAATTTCAACTATTGAAGGTACAATTCCTAATTTAATTACAAAAGAAACATACAATCAAGCATTAGATCAGATTGATGATCTTGCAACTAAATTAAATGCCACAAAACAATATATAGATTCGCAAAATCAAAAAATTGGACTGATAATTGATCAAAAAGTTGAAGAAATCCACAATTTTGTTGAATCAGAAGACCTTGAAACTCTTAATGAGACAAAAAGACTTTGCGATCAGTCTGCAGTTGATAATAAAGCAGAAATCGAAAAATGCCATAACGAAATCATTGAAGTGAACAACAAAGACAGCCTCATTGAAACAGAAATACAACTTATCAAAAAGAAAATTGATCAACTTTATCAAAGAACTTCAGGCTCTGCAACTGTTTCTTCAGTTCTAAAGCAGAACAATATACAACAAATGCCTTCGCCGTCTGATAACGAAACTCCAGAGTATATCGAGTCAAGAATACGAAATATTGAGAATATGTTAGGAACATATCCAGAAATAGAAAACCAAGTATCAGAACTTTCGGTTAATTTCCCAGTTGTTACTAAAAGTCTCGAAAAAAGATTAGATTCTTTACAATTATCTGTCGAAACAATGCCATTAATTGGAACCCCAACTGAGAAGCCTCCTGAGCGTGCAGGACCATCAAATACAGCTTCCGCATATCAGAATATTATTTCCAAGCAAATTTCTGTCAAAAAAGAAGATCTCGATTCAGGAAGACTAACAGCACAAGATCTTGTCAATATGATTAAAGAGCCTGTTTTAGAACAACCTAAAATGCCAGAGCCTCCTAAAATGATCGATCTAGATGATATTTCTCCAAGTCCATCTTCTCAAAGCCTTAAAATCGATGCACAGGAACCAGTTGTGTCCTCCACAATTAGTGTTAAGGATATTACTGCTCCTATACCCGATGAAAACATCGATAGCCGTGTTTTACAAGTTATTGAAAATCGTGTTTACACAACACAAATGCAGAGCTCCATGAAAGTCGTTACAGAGATTGAGTGGATCAAGAGTGTGTTGTCCAAGCACACAGAAGCCCTTAAACAGCTCCAACAGCAACAAATGCTGCATCAAGAGAATAATAAGACGCTTGCCGACAACATTTTGCAGTTAAACTCAACATTTAACTCACGTATTGTCCAAATCGCTCAACAACAACTCAATCTTCGTGGAGAATTCGATGAAACAAGAAAAACTTTGATTGATCAAATGACAAATCTTCGTCGCAGAGTCAATATGCCACAAGATCTCAAGTTTGGCATGCACGACAACAAGGATAGCAGCGACGAACCAGCGGAAGTCGACAAAGAAAAAGAATTAAAGAATTTGGAAGTTTCAGAACCGAATGAAAACGATGAAGAAAAGAAAGGAAAAGGTGAAGAAGAGGAGGAAGAAGAGAAGAAGTCAACAGATGGAGAAGAAGAAGAGGAGGAGGAAGAGGAAGAAGAAGAAAAGAAAGAAAAGAAGAAAAAACTCGAAAAAATCAAACCAAGAACGAATTATTCGCTTCCTCAGAACCAAAGAAGACTCATCGATCTCTCATTCGCACATTTCGTTGAAGACTTACCTCCATTGCCTCAAGATAAAAGAGAATACGGCCAAAAACTAACCGCCGGGCCAAGTAAAACTGATTTGAATTCAAGCCATGATAAATTGGCGGTTTTTGATCCTTACTCGCAACCAGAGAGATACATTCAACCGCAGAATGTCAGACAATCATCTACAGATATATTTGATCCCCATGAAACAGGAAATACCTCTTTTGAACCTTCCAATTTACCACCATTAATTCCTCAAGTATCAAATCAAAATCCGACAAAAGTAATCATAAGATACAGTGTTCCTGCACCTAAAAGACCAAGCACAAGTCATGGAAACGAAGCACCACAGCTTCCTTTAATCACTGACGAGCAATTAGAGACGAGAGTCACTAAGATTGCAAGTGTAAGTGTCAGCCAACTCGGAGAAAGACTTGTTCGACAAGTTGATGAAAGAGTTCTTCAAATGCAGAAATCTACGAATTCTATTGTCGCTTTGATGGACAAAAAGATTGATAGAGAGTTTGTAGAAAGAATGTTTGATAGAGTCAGAGAAATGCTTAATGCATTTAATGACCAAATTGAAAATATGCAGGCGTCATTCTTAAATTGGGTGACAAGAGATGAATTAGAAATTGTTTTACAACAGTTTGGAGATAGAATTTGTGATGGTGAAAATACTGCTGCATCTAAATATACTTGTTTGCTCTGTGGAAGACCTACAAATCATGTGGCAGGAATGATTAATGGAAAAATGAATACAACAACTATGCAGAAGACTGGAAAACAAAAAGGAAGTATTAAGAGACCTCCTGTTTTGAGTGACAAGGCTTCTGTTATATCTGTTTAAATCTAATTTATTATTTTGTTTATTAAAATGTTTATAATTTAAATCAATAAGTTTTCATATTTTATTTCATTAATGAAAGAAATTGTATTTAGACAATTACACAGCTTCATGATGTTTATATTCCTATAAATATAAAAGGTAATACTGCTCTTTATAGAGCATTGAGATAAAAAAAAATCTTTATTTCGTTTTATAGAATTAGACTGATACAACTTCTCTTCAATTGCCTCTAATAAAAGACATAGTAAAGTAAACGAAGAACCAATTATTTTACATTGCGAAGATTATTATGGACCTTCATGTTTATATATTTTAATGATATGACAATCAGATTGAGTTTATTTCATGATTGAATCACAAATGATATCATTGAAGTAGAAATAGTCAATCATAAGCCATAATAAAATTAGGTTAGAAGAAATACTAAAAATTTTTGAATGAAAATAGTTTATTAATGTATCACTTTACCTAAATTTTGTTGCTGTATTAAGATATAGCTATAGCAAGGAAGAAAATCACTGTAATTCGCCAAGTTTTTCAAGGATAACTTTAGCAGCTTCTACCTGGCGCTTAATGAGTTCCTCTGTTGGGAGGATATGGCCATCCATATCAGCTGAGACAACAGAGATAGCTCCTGTCTTGATATTCTTTTGGAATTCACGAAGAGCTGTCCAATAGAGCATGTATGTATCCATTTCGAATGTAGAAATTGTTCCGCACTTTTCGTTAAGCTTTTTCATAAGCTTCTCTGTCTTGAAATCGAATGAACCAAGTCCACCGCTCTGAACAGATGGAGCATTGATGCCTGAGACGAAAGATGGGTTAGAAGCAACACGTCCTTCTTGGGCTGGAAGGTTTGCCTTCTTCAATCCTTCAGCAAGCAAATTGAAAACAGTTTCATCAGCTTTGACTGGCTTGGCGTAGATTGTATATGGGCAGTCGTTCTCTGGTGTGAAGTTTCCGTAGTCAATTTCGAATGCAACAGCATCTTTGACGTTGATACATGTTCCAAGTGGTAAACCTGATGGAGATGGGGCTTCACCAATCTGGATAAATGTAAGCTTGCCTGTTGTGATTGCACGGATTTCACGAAGAAGGAAATCAAGCATAGCAAAGCCAATTCCGAAAGCGACTATCGAAACGCGTTTGCCCTTATACATACCTGTATATGTATGATAGCCACGGTTTGAAGCTCTGAAGAAAACTTCGCCTTCAAGAAGCTTCGAAATCTCTTTTGCAAGATTATAGCAAGAACAAAGTAAGAATTCATTTACAATTTCTGATCCTTTGCAGCCATAATGGTATGGACGGCCTTCTGCATCCATTGGAACAGAGTTACCGCCTGAGCATGAGCCGACATGTGTAATATCAGACGTCATGATTTTTAATTGTGGCAAAACGATGAGAATTACGATAAATCTATTCATTTTTATTGATAGAATTTTTCATCGAAGGAATAGGAAAAGATTTTTAGATTGATTGTGTGATATTAGCAATATTCTGCTTAGCAAATCAGTTTTTTACCATCAAAGATTTTTTTGTAAACAAAAAATGATATGAATGCAGCCATTCAATATAGATTACATGCTAACTACTGCTGTGTATTCAATTTATTCTGGTAGATTTGATATCTTCCATATTTTCAAAGAGATTTCAAATTTGTTAATAATAATCAATCTTAGAGAGATCTAAAGCATCATATCTATTAGAAAAGACTAATAATCCATAAGAAAAAAAACAGAACTTTTATATTATTAAAATGAGATATCATATCTCTAAGATTTTGTAGATAATGTAATTGAAAAACATAATTATCACATTAAGTTTATGTCATAAAAGCATTAACAAACAATCTTGGCAACCAAAAATAATCTTGGATGCAAAAGTTTTGAACAAAATAAGATGTATCATGTGTCAAACATCGAGACATCTAACAGTATACATGGAAAATGAATCGAATCGTTGATTCAACTCTGATATTCAACTAATTTTCTCAAAAACATAAAAATTAGTTAAAATTGAAGGAAATAATGGACACTTTCTTACAGAAATCATTTTTTCAGTCGAATTATCTAAATAACTTCTTGAAAAATTCGGCAATAACATTTGGACTCCATTCAAATACCCAAAGAGCCATTGGACCAAGCAAAAGTATAATAGAGAATATAGAACCAAGGATTAAAGCAATTACTCTATGATTTCTCTTTTTGATTCTATTTACAAAAATAATAACTCCAAAAACTAATCCAAAAAGGAAACTACCAATATGCCCATAGCTATCTGTTTCAGGTTGAACACTTGCAAATATTAAGAAAATGACTAACAGTGAAATCATAAATAATGCGCCGATTCTATGTCTCCATTGAAGAGTTTCGAACATAATGAAGTAAAGAGAGATGAACGATCCGAAAACTCCAAATATTCCGTTACTAGATCCTATATAACACGTCTGTGGACTAAAAACTAAAGTCATAAAGGCGCCAGCAATATTTGAGAGGATAAACGAGCCGTAAGTTCGTAAAGCATTCCACTGTGCTTCTCTTCCAAGTACAAATGCGCATTCTAGGAATACATTGATACATAAATGTCCAAAACTTCCATGCAACAGAATTGGACTGAGACATCTCCAGTATTGTCTTGTCTTTCTGACAATAGATGAAGATAAGCAGCCGTAAGTTGATAAAATACTAGGATTTATGGTTGTATTATGTAATGGATTGTGAGAAACTGATAATAACGCAAAAAATATAATCACTTGTAAGAGCATAACCCAAAATGTTAGTGTGAGAAATAATCGCAGCCAACCTTTTCTTCTAAGTGGAGTACAGCATGGGCCAATAAATAAAGGACAGTAAAAAGCAAGTACTACATCTGACGGTGTTGTAAGACGTTGATTAAACGTATTTAGCTTCCAATATCCTGCACATAAACCAGGGGGAAGATTTAATTCTGCCAATGAAATCGAATAAAGTTGGTTTGCAGATATAACATATCGAACATTTTTGTTTGGAGGTGTTTCTGGATCTGATACATCTTCCAAATCGACAACATTGTCATTATCAACTTCGTCGCTCATTTTATTTTGGGGTCAATCCAAATTTTTGAGGTACTCGCGATCAAATTCTTCGAGCAAAAATATTCTCATGGGGGAAAAGAAGTTAAAAAAAGTTTATATGTACCATTATTTCAACTGTATTCCAAATTTCATGATATGACAAGTTTTATGACTCAATTTTCAAAAGTTAAAAGTTATAATCAATGGCTATTCTACTTATTTGCTACTAAAATAAAGATTTATTGATTTTGTAGGAGAATACACTATTAATCTATATTTAAATAAGAATTTTAATAACATTAAAATATGTCTAAACGACTATCAAATGAATAAGATCAACCAAAATCTTCAGTAACAAGCCTTTGAATAAGCATTTTGTCTTCAATCCTCTTTTGCGATTTATGAGCTTTATGATATTTATAAATGAAAATTGAAAGGGCACAAATAACAGTAGCACATGAAACAACAATCAAAGAAATATGAAGTATGGTAAGTCCATTCGTGATTACAGGTAAGTTAGGACAGTTCTTTGTGCGTTCGAATTTAACACCACCTATAGTTTTTTGTGGATAGAGTTTATAAACTGTGATATTGTTTATCGATTTTGCATTTAAGAGGAAGTTACCTTCAACTACTTCATTGCCGCAGTATAGAAAGTTGTTAATATCACTATTTAAAAATGATTTGTCATCAATCTTATGCATGCTCCCAATGATTAAAATGTTAACTTTGTTTGGTGGGGTAAAATATTCATTGAGAACCAATCCATTTCCTTATGTATTAATATAAATATTTCCTAGATTTTCAAATTTGACGAGTGATTGATATTCTTTGATAGATGGATTGAATGTAATTGATCTGACTAACGATGTTAGCATCTTCTCCTTAAATATGTTAACATTTGGATACGAAAAGATTAAATGCTCAATCATACTGCTGTTTTCGAAAACGTTTTGTCCGAATGAACAATTTGATTCAATAATAATTTCTTTCAATGATGCACAATTGGAAAATGAATTTTTTCCTAATATACTAAGACCTTTTGGTAAATTAATTCGAACTAATGATGTACATTCATAGAAAGATTTTTCACAAATCTCAGTTAGAGTATCTGGAAAATTCAACTCTGTTAGATGATGACAAGATAAAAATGCAAATGGTTTGATAATTCGAATTGAAACAGGTAGTGGTATTGATTTCAAAGAAACGCAATATTGGAACGAATATTTTTCAATTGACAATAAATTATTAGAGTTTATTATAATTGTCTCAAGAGAAACACAATTGCCGAAGCAATTTTCAGAAATTTCAGTTATGCCGCTTGGTAATTCTATATTTCGAAGTTTAGAACAGTTGAAAAAAGAAAATGCATCAATTTTCAATACTGTGTTTGGAATCTTTATATAATTCAAACTCACACAATCTAAAAATGTGTTTTTATAAATTGCTATCAATTCGCTTGGAAGAGTAATATTAGCTAAAGATGTCATACCCGCGAAGCAGGAACCGCCAATAGATGTTGATTTATTTAGGAATGAAATATTTTTTATACCAATGCAATTCATAAAAGCTTTAGGTCTTACTAAATCTAGCTTTTCTGGAAGTATTATGTTAATTAATGAATAACACTTATAAAAAGCTGATACACCAATTTCTGTAAGTTTCTTCGGTAATTTCATTTCTTTTAAATTGAAACATTCATAAAAGGCCGATTCACCTATTTTTTTAATAGTATCAGGTAAGATAATTGATTCCAAATTAGTGCAGGACCAAAATAAATGATGGCCGATGGCATCAAGTACTGATGGTAGTTTAATATAGGTCAGTTTTTCACATTTGCGAAAATTACATCCTGATAAATATGTACGAGGATTTAAAAAAACTATTCTTTCTAATTGAGTGCAAAACGCAAAAGAGAATCCTTCTATAAATTGAGTAGATTTTGGTATCTCAATACTTTTTATGCTTTCACATGAGTCAAATGCATTCCTTCCAATCCAAAATAATGATTTTGGCAAAGATTCAAATGTTAACTTTTGACAATTTAGAAATGCACAATTTGAAATACGTTTTATTGTATCTGGAAATGATATTTTACCAAGATTAATACAATTTAAAAATGCATTACCACTGATTTGTTTCAATGAAGGTGGAAATTGTATTTTTTCAAGACTTGTGCAATGCTCGAACAGTCTGTCATCAAGGGTATCAATATTTGAATGAAATATGATTTTTTGCAAGCTAATGCAAAATGAAAAGGCGTATTTTGAAATTTTTGTTAAGTTTGGAGGTAATTCAAGGCTTTGTAGGCTTGTGCAATTATAAAAAGATCTCTCATTGATTGTAACTAATGAATCTGGAAAAATGATATTAGTGAAATTATTATAATTAGCATATTGATATGGAGTTGTTTCATTCGTACCTTCCGGAATGACGAGCGTGTCTTCGTTTGTATAACCAGAAGTAAATTTAATCAAAATACATGGAAATATCATATTATATAAAAGGGTACATGTCCGGCCAAATAAAGACAATCGTTAATATTCAAAATTTATTTTGCAAGGCGACCATATAGTCGCAGATCCGAAATCTATATCATATTTTAAAAAATTGTTGACTAAGAAGTTTCGAAATATAGTAAAGTGAGGCCCATAGCGTTTGGTGTCGCGGTTGCCTTAATTTTTTTCCCTTTCATTAACTGTAGCAGTGCCTTGAACATTTCTATAATAGGAGAATATGATGATTGAATTCTTTCTAATAGTTAAATTTATTGTATCCGTAAGGTTAAAATGATGTTGGCCTTCCTTCAATCTAAATGCAAGTGGCCCAATATATATTTTATTAGGGAAAACAAGTTGTTCGCCACGTGAATCATAATACTTATATGTATTTTGAAATTTTCCTGTTGATATTTTATATGTAGTATTACTTGGGCATTTGTTAGCTGAATATTCAATTGCTAATATTTTTGTTTTTGGAATACGAAAGAGATCAGTTTCAAATCGAAGAAGATCTCCTGATGCACTGTAAGAAATCCCATTAAAATCGTTTGGTCCTTTGGAAATATTTATATTAAATGGTTCATCATTGAGAATCAGCAAATAATTTTTCTGATTTCCATAGTTGGCATCTTTTGTTATTGGATAGGATATGGTCATACTTGGATAAATGAGGAATTCGAGAGAATTAAATGTGGATGGAATTAGAAATATGCCAAAAGATATTTTTATATTTGATTCAGGCCGGATTTTTAATGTGTAATGTAATTCATTGATCAAATAAATACGGTTAGATAATAATATATCATCATCTGTATAAAAGTTTTTGAAAGTAGAGAAAACAAGGTAATAATTGTAACCATTGTAAAATGTAAGACAAAAATCAATTGTATATAGCGAATTGCGTGCATCAACTGTGTAATAGCCTGGATGATATATAATAACTGAATAAGCAAAAGAGAAAAGCAAAGAAAACATTTATCTGATCAAAAATTTCTGATATATTCAATCAATTGAGAGATATTCAATTTTCAAAAGCTTTCGGAATTTTTCATTGAAGAACATACATATTACATAATTTTAAATAATTCAAAAAAATTACCAAATTCTGAGAATTTCAGTCATCGGATCTGTAATGATTTAAATTTTTGGTTATATTACTAGCATTCTAATTATTATGATTAGAGAAATAATTTGAAAATGTTTTGCAATGGAAATTAAGGGTGCACTTACACCCCTATGACATGTCCTTCAATTCAGATGTTTAAGGTTAATTTTCAATGGCACCTCACGCCAGTTGTCAAAAATTTGAATTAAAGTCAGATGGGCGTAAATGCAGCCTTAAATACACACACATACAAAAAAAATGAAAACTATTAATCCTTGTTGCATACTCTCAAAATTTTGTTAATAGCTCTTGAAAATCAAAAAATTTTTAAACAATAATAGAGGGGAAAAAAATATGGTAAACAATGTTCTTATTCAATGTATAAATTTGGAAATGCCGCTCTTCAAATTGCAGTATATTAGAATTGTTAGGAAGTAACAAAATTACTTATTTAATCAAAGAAACACAACTTCTCTTTGAAACAGAGAGAAATAGTGCAAATTTCTTGCTTTCAAACAACTCAACTAAGATTTAGCGTCTTTAAATTTCAATATCATCCTATTTTAATAGCTCATGCATTTCATCTGAAAAGAGTTTTTCGCATTGAAGAAATGGGCATGCAAGATAAATAAGTACAGTTTAATTCAATTAGAGAATTAAAGTATACAGAAACAGACAGGAAAAACCATTTGGATGAAGTCGATTGGGAATAGCTTTGTTCAGACAGCTCTCGAAAGTGTCTTCATATTGCAGCAAGGCAAAGACATAAAAGTGGCAATAGATGAACAGTTCATTGGTTAGCTCTGTTTCGGTTCATTGAGACATTTGTGAAGCAATTCTTGCTTGATTCCTGTTTTGATGCAAAAAATTAATATTAATATGCGTATTAAGCTTCGGCAATTCAGACTAAATTTCCAACCGATAAAGGTATCAGTTAAATTTTCATTAATATACCTTTGAAATCAAAAATATTAATTTGTAAATATTCATAACCACTAGAATTCTTTCCTGTTTGAGTTAGTTTGAATGATACAAAATATTCGTTTGTTTGAAGTGGAAATTCTTTGATTTCTCCTCGCTGGAATTCATAATATTTATCATTATCTAATACAACAGTTGTTCCGTTTTCTTTGATCCCTTCTAATTTCCATCTTCTTAAAAAATGAGAATCATCTTTAACACATGTTGATTGTAAAATATAAGATATTGGCTTTAATTTATATCCATTTAGATCGGCTTTTATCCATGAATTAGGGGACTTACAAATCCAGAAATTCACATCACTTCTATAAGAATTAATATTAGATAAACTACCGTTATGACATCCTGAAACTGTGAATTTCATTTCAATTTCACTAGAAATTTCTTTAAATAAAGATACACATACATGTATTGAATTATTTGATATTGCAAATTGATTTTTAATTAATGGTTTTTCAAATGATGAAATAGATTGATTTGATATTGCAAATTGATTTTTAATTAATGGTTTTTCAAATGATGAAATCGAATTATTTGATATTGCAAATTGATTTTTAATTAATGGTTTCTCATAAGACGAAATAATTTGTTTGGAAATTTCAATCTTTTCTCGTAGATTTGAATGATAATTCTTTAGTGTTTCGTTGTATATTGATAGAAGAACTGATTCGAATGAATGTTCAATGGAAAAGTTGTAGATTTCATCATAAATTTCTTTTGAACAAAATGATAGTTTGATATATCTAAATAAATCAAATAATGAATTGTTTTTCTTGCAGATTTCTAAAAGTAATAAAGATAATTTATCTTCATTTTCTATTTTTAATTTTGTCGATTTCAATATTTTTTCACAAAATTCATAGTCGTTTTTCGAGAAATTTTCTATGATATCATTGTCATTCAAACAATATAAGTGTGATGATATGAATTCAATGCATTCGTTTTCTGTTCGAGAATCATTTTCTAAAACTGAAATTTCATACTTCTGAAAAACGTTTTCGTTTGTAATAGATTTATCTAATTTAACATGTTCGATATACAACTGTATGAAGAGTTGATTTCCAAAGCGTCGTCCAATTTCGAATATATCATGATAATGGTCTTCATCTTCTTGAAATTCAAGTTTTCATGTTTCAATAAACTTTAAAAGTATGTCAATCGAATCTTCACACTTTAGATCTAGACGTACTTCCAACGATTTTATTGTTTTATCAATAATGCATTTTTCTTCAATTAAATCTGAAAAACAAACTGCCGAGGACTTCATTGTTTTGATTATTCTACCATTGATATTGATATTCAATTGACCACATTCCTTAAGAATGCTAACTCGCTTTAAACCGTCACAAAATTTCCTGATTTGAACCATGAAAGTGAACTGAAAAAAATTGTAAAAAAGCCACTATAATTTTGGCACTTTCTACGGGCTTTGAAACAAATTTTCAAAATCTCAACAAATATTACTGGAGCTGGAAGCCAATATATATTATAAAGAAAAAGGATTACTATTCACTCTCAAGAATATAGCCAAAATTTGTAAAAAGAGTAAATTCCTTTTCTTTCGTAAAGTCTCTTATTCAAATTTTTGACAGATTTTCACTCGATATTGAGACAGAAAAACGATAGTGATACTTTACGCAAGAAAATCTGTTTATATTTATATAAACTCCTCTTGTTAATGCAGCAAATTTATTATTATTGAAACGTTATAGATAGAAATATAGTATTGGATAGAATATATCTTTTATACATTGTTAGGTTATAAAAAATCTATGATTTGATTATTTTTCTCGTTTTTATTAAAACCAAACACACAAAATATACAATTATATAATAACTTATTTTGATACTTTGACATTATTCAAAACTAGATCCTTCTCAAAAGAAGGTTCTTTGATATCTAATACATGATACAATGAGTTTTTGATGGAATTAAACTCATTAACAATAACATTAACTTTCATTGCAACAACATACCATTTCAATGTTGGATTTTCATATAAAGACAGCTTTGTTTGTAATCTCTTTCTTTCTTCCAACCAAATTTCTGTATCTGATATTATTGCCAACAACAATCTGATATCTTTTCTTGATGGTCTTCTTTTTCGTGATGACGAAGACCAATTTTCTTTAATAAACAATTTAATCTTATCAAATGATTTATATGCATTATCAATAACTGTTTCGAGACTATTTTTGTTTTCATATCTACACATTACAGATGAAATTGCATCTCTAAACATATTCAATCTCACTTTAAGAACATCATATTCATATTTCTTTTGTTTCATCATCCATTTCTCTGTTGTATTTATAACTGTTTCCATATTGTTGTACTCGCGTTCTGTACATATTTCTTTCATTGTTTCTTTGTCTTTCATCGCAATTTTTGAGGTAGAAATTAATGTTTCTAATTCATCAACCATTTTTGAAATTTCTTCGGTCTCGAAGACATATTTGTATATGGATTGCTGCTGGTTAATGAAGTATTCTTTCCATTTATGTGGATCTTTCTTAGTTGAATTTTTAAGACGATACAAACCGTCGGAATTTTTGACAAATTCACTTTTTTCACTAATTAAACCTTCAGCCATGATTCTTGATGATCCATGAGGGAATATTTGAGCATCCGAGAGTACGTACATGTACTGGCCAACATTATTGATGTTGTCAACCTGTTTTCCACTTGAATTTACAAATTTAATTTTATCATATAAATCAATTGATGAATGATTCAAGGAAAACGTTGTTTTATAGCTACTACTCATTGTTGCTCCGTAATATGTTGCTCCTGTGCAAATTGCTTCTTCGGAATTCAATGAAAAAGAAAGTTTGTTGACTTTGAACGCATTTCTAGCAATATTTTGAATAGAAGGTACTCTTGAGCTACCACCAATCATGTGTACAATATCTACACGAGGACATTTGATAATCATCTTCTTGATTTTTTCTAATATCGGATATAATTCGGAATTGAATTCAATCCTTGAAATATTATATCCAAAAGGTGGTGTAGTTTCTATAAATCCTATTGCTTCTTCATTTGTCGTTAATCTATGCTTTATTTTCGTTGATTCTTGCATAATTTTTTCTTTATCAGAATCTGTGATTTCTTTTGATGGATAAATCTTCATTAACATATTATAGATAATAACATCAATGTCTCTTCCTCCTAATTGGTTGTTATAGTCATAATAAATTTCTTTTGAAATTATTTCTTTTTTGCCAGCAAATTCTGTAATTGTGATCTGCGTATTCGTTTCTCCTATATCCAAAAATGCTACTCGAAGTGGCAGAGTTGATTTAGAAATTTTATTATGATGGGAGTAAGCAAAAGCAAAAGATAATGCTTGGCTTTGATCAATTATATGGGATGTATAATTAAGCATATGTGAAATGCTTTGTATCGAATTTCTTTCTTGGGAAATCATAAATTTCGGAACTGCGAAATATGTAACTTCTTCTTCTATCTGAGGATCATGTGCTAGTAATGTATGATTAATTCTATCTAATGCATGATATAATAATACTTCAGGAAGAATTCCGTTGTAAGTTAGTCGATAATTTCCAATTACAGAGAGAGTAGGATATATATTACGTGCAAATAAACTTTTGAAATATTCTTTTGATGGAATTTTTGCTAAAAATGTTGAGAAAAAGCGGATAGTTTTATTTGGATATTTCAACGCTTTACTTTCCGAATTAAAATAGTAGTCGTAATTTCTAAAGTTTGTTTCATTGATAAGTTTAATTGTATTACCTGTTTTTGGCACAATTGTTAAGATTTCTCTAAAATATCTATTATTTAGATCATCAGAAAGAACCATTAATGGTTTTCCTGGATTGATATAACCTACTCTAAGCTTTTCCGCTCCTACATCAATTCCTAGAATTGCTGACGAGACTAGAAAAAAGTATAAAAAAAGCATTATGAAGATTCAGAAATTTATTTTTGAGAAAAAAATCCGAAATATTATTGAAAGTGTTATTCAAGTAAAATGATTGTATTTATCTGAATCTGACATGGTGACACTTTTTTGATCGGATGAGAATTCGGATTTCATTACTCATTTGATTGCTATTTATAAAAATCTTAGGAAAAAACAAAATTACAAAATGAATTAGAATATTTATTCTCAATTCTCTGATTCTGAATAATAATATTCTTCTTCTTCGCCCGTTTCATAACCACTAAATGAATGTAATTCATCTGAATCTTGTCTATCATCTGATTGTGCATTACTTAAAGACTCACGAAGTTGTGGATTAATTTGAACAACATCGCTGGTAGAAGCAGTTTGTTCAACAAATATTTCTACTCTTTCTTCATTAGAATCTGCTTCAATATAATCAGCTGTTTCTGGGTTAGCTTCAACTAAAATTTCAACTTCTGTCATATCACTCTGGCTACGATATGGTGGTTCTGAGATAATAGAATATTCTGACTCTAATCTGTATTTCTCTGGGCATGTTGACTTTGGATAAAGTCTATAATGTGGAATATCTTCTTCAATATCCATTGTCTTTGTAATCGAAGCAACAGAATCATCAGTAAATGTTCCTTCTTTAGCACGTATCTTAGCCTGAATTCTGGCTTCTCTTTCTGCCAAAATTCCTTGCTGAATTTCGTTGAAGAATGGATCATCCATAACATCTCCGAAATCGATTGTATTTGTTGTAACCATAAGTTCTTGGGTTTGAGAGAGAGTTTGTGTTGAATGAACAGTATCAACGATTGTTGACTCTGGTTCTTGTGTAAAAACAGCAAATTCATCATCAGAATCATGCTTAAGGAATCTCTTCTGTGTTATTCTCGTTTCAACCCATCCAGGTTCAAGTTCTTCAAAAACTTGTAAAGCTTTTGCAGAATATTTCTTATGTGAGCGGGTGCTACGTTCGGATTTAGTGTCAGTGCTGTTTTGATGTGGTAATTTAATTTCAACGCTATTCTTTTTATTATTATAATTGTAATCATCAGTTACGGTTTGAGTATTGATTGCAGTAAGATCATTTGTTTGATATGGAATCATTGAAACTTCTGTGAATGTATCCGTTATTGTATTTGTATGATGATGCTTATGAGGAAGGTAGTTTCCGTTCTCATCAAGAGCCCTTGGCTTCTTTACACGAATATGAACTTTTTGTACCTCACCATCTTGGGTCACTTTCTTTACGCGACGCCGAATTTTGCCACTTTCACTCATTAAAAGCCGTTATGAAGGGAGTTAGTACGATAGTATAAAAATATGAGGGAATCAAAATAACGTTAAGCAAGCTTATGGTGAACTTGGAAGATTTTAAATGATCAATACTCATAATTCTTAATTTTTGAATCAAATAAAATTATGAAACTCACAAGATTCGTTCAAAATCACTAAAAATATGAAAAACAAAATATATTTGAGTAGTAATTTATATAGAATCAAAGCATTAATTTTTTGATGATTAAAAAAATATTAAAAAATGGTCACTCTGGGGTTCGAACCCAGGCCCTCGCGGACCAGTGCCTTAAACTGGCGCCTTAGACCACTCGGCCAAATGACCTTGACATTTTTCTATAAATTTATATATATAAAATAACTATAATATCATTTCTTTATAAAGATTTATTTTGTCGATTTATTTTCTTTATAATCCACAAGTACAAGTAAATTATAATCGACAAAAGATATAAAATTATCTTCATACATATATAAACATTTTATTTTATGTAACATCAAAACTATCGATGTGGTACATAAAAATGGCATTGTTTACTTTTTATTTCTAATGAAATTCATCTTCGATAATATCAAAAAAAGAAGTATATTATGCATGAACACTATTTTTTGCGCCATATGAAATAAGAAGTTTGGCTGTTTCTGTATAATTACGATCTTCTGCAAGACGAAGAGGTGTGAATCCATTATTATTTTTTTCATTGATATTGGCACCATGTGTAATAAGATATTCTGCCGTTTCCTTGCTTTTTTTAATGTTGCAAGATGAAGAGCAGTAAATCCATTCCCATCTTTTTCGTTGATATTTGCATTGTGTAAAATAAGAAGTTCAGCTATTTCGTTATTATTTTCTATTGCAATATGGAGAGCTGTTTTTCCATATTTATCTTTTTCATTGATATTTGCACCATGTAAAATGAGAAGTTCTGTTGTTTCTTTACTATTTCGTGCTGCAATATGAAGAGCGGTGAATCCATAAATATTTCTTTCATTGATATTTGCACCGTGTAAAATAAGAAGTTCAGCTATTTCTTTGCAATTATTATCCATTGCAAGATGAAGAGCGGTTTTTCCATTCCCATCTTTTTCGTTGATATTTGCATTGTGTAAAATAAGAAGTTCAGTTATTTCGTTATTATTTTCTATTGCAATATGTAGAGCTGTTTTTCCATATTTATCTTTTTCATTGATATTTGCACCATGTATAATAAGAAGTTCTGCGGTTTCTTTGCATTTATTTTCTATTGCAATATGAAGAGCTGTTTTTCCATTTTTATCTTTTTCATTGATATTTGCACCATGTGCAATAAGAAGTTCAGCTAATTCTAGATTATTATTTTCTGCTACAATATGAAGAGCGGTGAATCCATATTTATCTTTTTCATTGATATTTGCCCCATGCGAAATAAGAAATTCAACCATGTCTTTACTATTACTATCTGCTGCAATATGAAGAGCTGTTTTTCCATTTGCATCTTTTTCATTGATTTTTGCACCTTGTGAAAGGAGGTATTCGCAAAAGGATGGGATTTCAAACATCGTTGAGTAAACAAAGACTATGTTAATATCATTAGTTTGATCAAAATAAACTAAAAATGATTCAAGATTATTACTCTTTCCACAAAAATTCAAATCTATCTCCATATTGTATTCATTCATCAAGAATGTAACAAAATCAATGTTGTGTGAAATGATTGCATACTTCATGCACATTTTATTAGGTTTTTGATATTTTAAACACTCACTCATGATCTCTTGATTTCCACCTAAAAATGAAAATTCTAGGCATTCTTCAGTTATTTTTAAGTTAAATCTGGTTCTTAAAAACTTGAAACAATCAACTGCTCCGTGGTAACAACATAATTCAAGTAATGAATAATCTTTGAAAAAACATGGATATAATTCGCTTTTAAGTCTTTGATTTTTATCAAACCCTTCCAATTCTGTGAATGAAATGAATCTCTCTAAATCATTATTCATAATTGCTCTGTAAATTGTATTTTCTGTCAGAACATCGAGATTTTCTATGTTATTATTTTCGAATTCATAAAACTTAGTTAACTTAATGCCATATTCTTTATAAAACAGGAAATTTGAAATATCTATAACATTGTTGACCTCTTTTATATGGTAATCATCAGAAATGAGTTTGGCAAGAGATAAATATTCCTTTGTATAGCGATTATTAAACGGAATAATATTTATAATGTCTCTTATAATGTTTACAGGGAGATATTTCCTTGAATCAATCAATTCTGTTTTGATCATTTTGTAAATCTTGTTTAAATCTTCTTCATTTTCTGCTTTTAGCTGGTACAAAGCATTAAATGAATCGATGAAGTATTTATACTTACTTCGTAATTCGCTATATTTATCTTGATGAATGTCTTTATCTGACATGAAAAAAAATTCAAAAAAAGGCAAAAAAATGATCAATAGTCTCCTACATATTTTGTTATAGGATTTGTATTTAAATATTACTGGATTGCTGTTATAAATAATTTTTTTATTAAACAATCTCCTTTCGAAAGATATATAATCTTTTCATTCATCACTTTCTCATCTCATATCCTGATTTTAATCCCTTTCGCCTCGATTCAAAATTTATGTTGAATTTCTTACTTTGTTTTGGACAAAGTAAAAATTTAACATTTTATACTTCAATAAATGCTTCGCAAAATGCAAAGTGTTCTATTGATAATCCTTGTTCATATAAATCTGTTATTCTTAAAGCAAAACAATATGATCATGTTATTTTTAATGATACATATATATTACAAAACGTCGACCTATTAGAATTTCAGTTCACTATCAATACTCTGATAGAAAATAGTGTCAAAGTCTCGGGTTCAGACCAAATTACAATCATAAATGGTACATTTCTGAAGCCAAAAACGGATTACTTCGTCATTGCACGTGAAGGATGCAAATTGTTTTATTTTGCCAACTTTGAATTTACTGGATTTAAACATCCAGTAATGGTAGTTAACGGAGTAGAGTTTGCGAACATGAAAAACGTCACATTTAAGAAGAACATGCTTGACAATAACTTTTGCATTGCTCTTTGGACGGTTTCCTACTTAAATATTTCAAATGTTAAATTTTCCGAAAATGCAGTCAATTACACAGCAGTTTTATTCATATCAACTGCCGTAATCATGGGAGACAACTTCATTTTCGAGAGAAACTACGGCGAACATCTTGGCCATGATTGTTTACTTCGATTATTGAATGGATACCTCCTTGTTGATAACATAATAATACGTGACAACAGTGCTAATGATGCCCCTCTAACATATCTCGATTGCAGAACCGGTGTTTTATTTTCAAATCTCACTTTAGAAAGAAATTATCATCCAGAACTGTTTTTATGCGATGGAAAGTGTAATTTCAGTTTCATTGATTGTAAAATACAAGGAAACAGAGGTGTTATATTAGAAACTACAGGTGAAGCTTATGCAGAACTCGTTAATACTTCATTGATAAATAATTTTTCGCCGGATGAGCCGTTATTCTATTTACCTAATGGAACATTTGGTTTCGAAAATGATTCGATGATTATTGGTAACCATGGAAAGAGCTTTATTGATATGCCGGATGAAAAATCCCAAATTTATATTATAAATTCGACATTTGAGTCAAATAGCTGGGATAGTTATGCGTTTGGATGTGGGTATAATGGGAATATTACAATAAGAAATACTTCTGTTCATTCAGATTTTTCAAAATTTTCAACTTTTAATGTTGAAACAGGATTAATTGATTTAGATAATTTTACATCCATATATAACTATAATTCCCTAGTTAATATAACTTCTGGTAATCTTACAGTTTTAAATTCAAATTTCACCGATGAAAAAGAAATTGAATTGTTCTTTACCGAAAATGTTACTTATGTTGGTATAAACAATACCTTCGCAGGTATATTTTATCAAGAAGAATCACATATTTCTAAAAATATGACAAATATTCTTCAGGAACAAAAAGATTCGCCAATATCAACAGAGTTGTAATACATTTGATATATTTTGTGTCTTCTTCCATATAATTATGTTTGTTTTGTTAAATTTATTTTCCAAAATTTTCATATTTTGCTTTGTATTGTTGTTATATTAGATAAATTGTTTTTTGTTATGTTATTTAAATGAATCATGAGTTTGATGCATAAATTTGGCTGTTTTGAAAATTCTCGATATCGTTGAAATAAGATTATGTAAAATCAAATGTCAACACATATAATATGCTGGTGTGGTATCATTAAACATGTTTGTTCTTCAAATCTGATTGAAATATAATTATGCCAAATCAAAAATACACTTTTTTAAATCTTAATATATATGATTGTTTACTTGATCTGGTTTGTAGATCAGGTAATATATTCACATAGATAAATGCAAATTGCACAACTTAATATTTTCCTCAAAATTTCTCTTCAGGTTCATACCTAAATAAGCTCTTTTTTTGAAAATTCAATTTTTTTCAAAAATGTATGAATTCAAAAGTTCAGATTATATCTAGTCATTTTCCAACATTAATTTTGTGTTTTAGTTTTTGAGATATTCATTTTATTATACGTATTATTCAGAAAATTAAAAGAATTTGTGAGGGAAAACGGAGGAGATAATAAATATGTAAAGATGGATGAATAGACAATTTGAAAAAAAAAATAATTTTGAAGTTGTGTTTATCTCTTTATGTGATGCATATTTTCACGATCTGACAGCAGAAATCGAATCAGCGGAGCCAGAAGAATCAGATTACATGTGGAAAATAGGTTTTGAACGCTTAGATAGGGCTAAAATGAGACTTTATGAGATGTGTTGTATAATTATAGTTTTTGCGATAATGTGTCATGAGATCAGAATATGAAGAGAGTAAATATGTATTATTGTCACAGGTTTATATGTGGGGATAGCTCGATAGAGTCTCTAAAAGAGATTAGTACGTGAGTAAGGCGATTTAATAAACAAAAGAAAGAAATAATTAAATTTTTTTTAACTTCGAAAAGATTGTATGAAAGTGTCTTTGATTGTAAGATACATTTAGATCGACAAGAGTGTATTGTGCACTCTTGTCGGTCAAACTTCCGCATTCAAGTTATGAATGCGGAAGATTGTCTCATTCTGGGAGACATGCAGTGACAATGTCTCCCGGAATGAGACATGCAGACCGACAAGAGTGCACAATACACTCTTGTCGGTCGAAGTTTTGCAATCGCGTTGTGATTGCAAAAGATTGTGCTATTCCTGCATATTTTCTACGAGCCTGCTTCATAAAATTGAATCCTTCTATCCAAATTAAATGCGATTTCGCTAATCTTTCATCTAAAATAAATAATCAGAAGCATATTGCAAGTTAACTTGAACCGGCATATTCCTCCTATCCTGTCTTTCAGTTCTTTCTATCAGCCATGGTTCACAAGGAGGAGAGCTTTGCGCACAATCAGACATAAGATTGCGGCAGAGGAACCGGGAAGAGAGCAGCTTGAAGCGGTAAGATGTCCGAATGCTGTCTTCCAGGTGTATCTGTCAGGCAAAGTTCACAAGGAGGAGAGCTTTGCGCACAATCAAACAGAAGATTGCGGCAGAGGAACCGGGAAGAGAGCAGCTTGAAGCGGTAAGCTGTTTTCAAGTCTTTAGTTAACAAACTTTAACAAAAGACATCTAAAAAATTTGAAATAATTGCAAAATAATGCCGTCAGGTAATGCGCACCTAAGGGAGGTGTTTTGCGGGAGCTGGGGGTATCTTGGTGAGTACTCAGGAGGCCAAGAAGGGCACCCCAACCGACATTTTGCTGACGCATTGTGTAAGCAACCATTCTGATAACCGCTCAAACCGTCGGGACAAAATAATTTATGAAATTATAAGTCATCTTTCTAATACATATTTTTGGAAGGGCGTAAGATACGCCAACTTAAATATATTATTAAATATGAGAAAATCGCTCAACAAAAAAACAATTCTTTCAAAAAGTTTAAAATTTATCTTTCTAATACATATTTTTGGAAGGGCGTAAGATACGCCAACTTAAATATATTATTAAATATGAGAAAATCGCTCGAGAAAGGGACAGACTAGCCCATTGTCACTTTTTAATTTAGCAAATGAACGCTTATGGAGTGGAGTTTTTGGGTAAATCTGATTTGCTTATAAATGAAATAAAATCAAAAGAAACCATATTGGCATTATATTATGCAAAAATAAATGATCTTACTTAGTACTTTTAAAGTTAATTTCAGAAAAAATTGACACAATGGTATCCGGCACATACAAGTGGTGTACAACCAAAATAAGTTAGTTTAAACATATATTGCTATATCTCATGATCTTACTTAGTACTTTTAAAGTTAATTTCAGAAAAATTTGACACAATGGTATCCGGCACATACAAGTGGTGTACAACCAAAATATAAGTTAGTTTAAACATATATTGCTATATCTCATGATCTTACTTAGTACTTTTAAAGTTAATTTCAGAAAAAATTTGACACAATGGTATCCGGCACATACAAGTGGTGTACAACCAAATCTTCGACTCGATGAACTTGTCATCGAGTTATATTCCAGTGTTGTTCCTTCATTCCTGATTAAGTTGCAAATTAAAGGTCTGGATTCAGAGAGAAGTGTTAAAGTTATCAAAAAAGTCACAAGAGATTTCGAAGAAATGACACAATTTAAAAAAGTCGAATGCATCAGTATGCTTGAAGCTGTTCAGAAAGGTCTGAAAAATGATACACTTGATCCCAACATTGTTTACTCAACATTAAAAATATTATTGCAAAGAAAACATTTGATTTAATAAACATTTAATTTATTATAATTAATTTTTTATTACAGTATAGTAAAAAATGCTATAAATAAATTATTATATTTTATTAAAATGTGACTTTTAATAGTAAGTGAATAAAATAAATCAGGAATTGGGAAAGAAATAAGGTTAATTAAAAATAATGAAAATTACAAGTTTAAGGTTAATGAAAAGTGACAATGGGCGAGTTTGTCCCCACTCAAATCGCTCACAAAAAAACAATTCTTTTCAAAAAGTTTGACATTGATCTTCTAATACATTCCTATGGAAGGAGTTTACATTCACAAAATAAAAAACCAGTTCAAAATCTTATTACTCCTTGAATTAAAATCATTTAATTTCAAATCCATTCCAAATCCTTAAATCTGTATTAAAATTATTTGCCAACAACCAACACAATACAAATTACATTTCCATATATCTTCTTGTCCATTTTAATTTTTTATCTCATTTTATTTAATTTTATTAAAGCATATAGACATCGAGATCCTTTACACATAGTTATATAAAAGTCAAATACATAATAAATTCTTAATTCTAGAGATATCTCAAAATCTCAATTTTTTAATTTAAAATACTTTTCATTTTTCACAGTACGATCACAACAAACAAGCCATTTACTAACACATATAAGAAAAATATCAAATTACAAAACAACTTTCAATATCATTCGCATCAAATTCTATTTTTTCATAATTATCAACTACATGTTATTATATAATATATGTCGGCGCATATTCCACTCTATACAAGTGTCAGACACACTCACACAAAGCTTGAGATTCATACCTCTATCAGTAGGACTTCTCAAATCAGGAACACATATGTTTCACTATCGCACATCTGTGTAGGATCTAATTAACCCTTTGGACTGGTACTTCAAAATTTGATAATTTGATAATTTCATGCGATATCATCATTTGCCTTTAAAACAACTGTGCGTTAAACTAGACACGTTTCTCTATCATAATGCAAAATATCAAAGTTTGGGAGACTCCCAAAGTGTCTGAAACTGATCATAAGGGTGAAAAACCGTTTTCCAGAAGTTGGGAACGTAGGGTAAAGTTAAATGAAGGAACCAATAATGCTTTACATGTTACAACGTGATAGCTTTATATAGTGATACTATATTTGATATTGTAATACATACTTATTCAACACTTAGATCTATGCCATTTAAGATTCTCTTTTCAGAATCGCGTAATGTAATATTTTTAGATGTGGCTCTATAATGGACCAATTTTCGGTAAACCACTTTAGGAGAACTCGATTGTCTCTTGAAGCATCACGATCCAATTTTAAGTGTGGCTCTCTTTGGTGTTCGCAAATAACCTGTGCAATACTCTTAAGTTCACTATGCGTAATTCCTGATCCAAATCGTTTTTGAATCTCAATCCATGCTATGCATCTTTCTGAATCAAAATTTGCAAGCCTTTTTCTTACCCTTGCTGCCTCTGTTCCATCACCTCGCTTTGTTTTCTTGCGTCTATGCTCATCATCTGAGCTAGAATAATCATCATAGTACTTCCGCCGTCGCATTTTTATAATTCCTCTCTATTTGCCATTTTCCTCTCAAATTCAAAATGATTCAAATGACAGATAGTATTAAGGATGTCAATTTGGAAGAAAAGTGAGAAAAATCCTAAAATGCTAAAAATGAATTTTCCAAACGTATTTTTTTATCTCATTTTTTTGATTTTGAAAAAAATTTGGAGAGAAGAACTCTTCGTTTTTGAATTTTATCACGATGGTTTTAAAGTATATTAGACACATGTATTGGTATTACTATTTTTGTATATTTTGAGAGAAAATCCCTAAAAAGTGAGAAAATCTAAGACGGTTTGAGAAAATATACCGTACCTTGAATAACCGGCGAACCATTCAATTGGTCATAGACCAATTTGAGATACCCTTTTCAGAGGAATCTAAAATGTTGTTTATATGGTTATTTATATATTATTTAATCATTTTCTTAAATAAAAATCATAAGTTCTCAATTTTTCTTCATAACGATTCTTATACCGTAGGTTGAATAGCCCGAGACCAATTTCAAAGGTCGTGTACCAATAAAAATTTTTGAATCAATTTACACAACGTGCCCATTTTACTCACTCAATATTTGAAAAAATAATTCAATTTTGAGAAGAATGGTCCTCTGCGTTTTGAGTGAGTGACGAAAAAAAATCTCAGAAAAATTGAATGAGTTTTTATGGCCATGAACCAAATTTGTGAAGTTCCCGTTTAAAAAAATGCAACCAAGAACACGAATTCCCGAGTTTGCAGAATTAGAAAACTATAAAAATCTTGGGCTATTGACCCAGATGCAACTCGATTTACTCTATCGAAGAGTAAATGGCGAGTCTTATCAACAAATACGGAATGTTTACTCAATTTCAAAGACGACAGTAGCACGCGCAATCATGCGCACTGCTACTTGTCGTTCATGGACAAAAGGTCAGTCAGGGGGTGGTATGACCCTTTTGTCACTACCAGATGAAATGCAGTTCAAAAAACTTGTTCAAGAGATGGCAGACGACTTGAACTGTATTACAACATCAATGGCCATTGCTGTCTGTACGGAATTACAAAATAGGAGATTAAAATTTGCGGCGCGGGTACTAATCGCTGCAAGATGCCCGCATCTTCTAGCGAAGCTCGATGATTACTGCCCATCGCCATCCCGTGGCTGGCTTAATCATATCGCCACAAGATTGTCAATTCGGATTGTGAGCTCCCAAACTATTGATATGCTCCGACGCTCTACCTGTGACGCAAACCATATTCGCCAATTTTTCCTCTCCAAGCATAGATACTTTGCCCGCAGGAAGAAGTTTATTGCGAATATGGACGAGACAATGCTCTATTCCAAACGTCGCTATAAAGTTCTTACTGCTGGCCGGAATCGCCCAGTTCGCGCTGAAAAGTCTCAGCTTCCACATCTTACAGGGGTCTGTACCATCTTTGCAGATGGTACAACTATGAAGCCAATGGTGATACTTCCACAAAAGAAGACCCTTGATGCGGAATTGGAAGATCTGGACGCCTTTTTTGTTCGCTCCGAGAGTGGATGGATGAACAAATACCTTTTTATGGTATACTGTATCATGTTCATCTGCAAAGTACAGGAGAAAAGGTCTCAAATGAATGTGTTTGATGCCCAGGTACCTTTTCTCCTAATTGTAGATGGTCATCCATCCAGGCTCTCTTTCTTGGCCGTTCGCCTCTTGAGCGCCTTCAATATCGAGCTTCTTGTTCTCCCAGGCCATACATCTCATATCTTACAACCTCTTGATGTTGGGATTTTTTCTCCCTTGAAGGCCCAATTCAAGAAGTTGTTTGATATGGCGACTATCCGGTACGATCAGCAAGGGCATATGGTGATCAATTATGTATGGAACGCCAGAGAACTGCGCTATATCATGGTTCGCAGCTTCCTTGATGCATGTAGTGTGTCTTGCACAGCTACAAACATCGAAAATGCTTTTAAAGCAACAGGAATCTATCCATTGGATATGAACAAACCTCTTGCTTCCAGATACATTGTAGCAAATGGAGTTCCTCCTGCAAGGCCCAATTTTGTCAACGACAAAGTCCTTACAGATCCAAATGTGATGATGCAAGTCTTCCAAATGGAATATGGACGCCCCATGCAGCAACAGGATTGGTATTTCAATCTGTTTGTGGCTATGCAATCTGTGTTGGCCTGGAATGGAGCATATGGCCAGGTTCTTAGTCGTGAGTTACATCTCCTTTATCCTACTGCAGGTGGATTTCAAAAAATCCAATTAAAATGATATAAAGCTGAGGAGCTCCAGGGTGAAGAGGAATTGATGAAGAAAAGAAGCAGCTGATAATGGAGTGAGGAAGCATCTTGATGAAGAGAGGAAGCACCTTGATCAAGAGAGGAAGTACTTTGAAGAAGAGAGGAAGCACTTTGATTTAGAGAGGAAGCTGCATGATGTAGTGAGGAAGCTGCATGATGAAGATAGGAAGCACTTTGTTGAAGAGAGGAAGCATCTTGATGAAGAGAGGAAGCACCTTGATCAAGAGAGGAAGCATCTTGATCAAGAGAGGAAGCATCTTGATCAAGAGAGGAAGCTGCATGATGGAGTGAGGAAGCATCTTGATGAAGAGAGGAAGTACTTTGAAGAAGAGAGGAATCACTTTGTTGAAGAGAGAAAGCATCTTGATGAAGAGAGGAAGCACTTGATGAAGAGAGGAAGCATCTTGATCAAGAGAGGAAGCACCTTGATGAAGAGAGGAAGCTGCATGATGGATGCATGATGGAGTGAGGAAGCATCTTGATGAAGAGAGGAAGCGTAAGAACCGATAACATTTACAAAATATTAAATTTATTTTGTAAATTTTCCAAAAGCCTTAGTACCAATGTAATATAAATGCTCCAAAAATACCATCCCTTCTTCCAAAAGCGTAAGAACCGATAACATTTACAAAATATTAAATTTATTTTGTAAATTTTCCAAAAGCCTTAGTACCAATGTAATATAAATGCTCCAAAAATACCATCCCTTCTTCCAAAAGCGTAAGAACCGATAACATTTACAAAATATTAAATTTATTTTGTAAATTTTCCAAAAGCCTTAGTACCAATGTAATATAAATGCTCCAAAAATACCATCCCTCCTTCCAAAAGCGTAAGAACCGATAACATTTACAAAATATTAAATTTATTTTGTAAATTTTCCAAAAGCCTTAGTACCAATATAATATAAATGCACTAAAAACCCAACTGCCAATAGCATGTATTCAAAAAATGCAATTCAATACAAATTTGATTGCATTTTTTGAGATGGAAGTGTATCTGAATTCACAATTGTAATCCACGAATACACTTCCATCTCATTGATAAGAGGCTAATGTTTTTCTCATTAATAAGGCGCTGTTGGCCTCTATCCATAGCCGAAGTGATATTAACGTATGTTAACGTACAAAGTAAAAACATGTTTTTTTCTTTTTAAAATCATTTAGTAAGTAATAATATTTAGCACTCATAGTAAAAACATTAAAATTTATAAGAATCGTTATGAAGAAAAATTGAGAACTTATGATTTTTATTTAAGAAAATGATTAAATAATATATAAATAACCATATAAACAACATTTTAGATTCCTCTGAAAAGGGTATCTCAAATTGGTCTATGACCAATTGAATGGTTCGCCGGTTATTCAAGGTACGGTAAATTTTAATGTTTTTACTATGAGTGCTAAATATTATTACTTACTAAATGATTTTAAAAAGAAAAAAACATGTTTTTACTTTGTACGTTAACATACGTTAATATCACTTCGGCTATGGATAGAGGCCAACAGCGCCTTATTAATGAGAAAAACATTAGCCTCTTATCAATGAGATGGAAGTGTATTCGTGGATTACAATTGTGAATTCAGATACACTTCCATCTCAAAAAATGCAATCAAATTTGTATTGAATTGCATTTTTTGAATACATGCTATTGGCAGTTGGGTTTTTAGTGCATTTATATTATATTGGTACTAAGGCTTTTGGAAAATTTACAAAATAAATTTAATATTTTGTAAATGTTATCGGTTCTTACGCTTTTGGAAGGAGGGATGGTATTTTTGGAGCATTTATATTACATTGGTACTAAGGCTTTTGGAAAATTTACAAAATAAATTTAATATTTTGTAAATGTTATCGGTTCTTACGCTTTTGGAAGAAGGGATGGTATTTTTGGAGCATTTATATTACATTGGTACTAAGGCTTTTGGAAAATTTACAAAATAAATTTAATATTTTGTAAATGTTATCGGTTCTTACGCTTTTGGAAGAAGGGATGGTATTTTTGGAGCATTTATATTACATTGGTACTAAGGCTTTTGGAAAATTTACAAAATAAATTTAATATTTTGTAAATGTTATCGGTTCTTACGCTTCCTCTCTTCATCAAGATGCTTCCTCACTCCATCATGCATCCATCATGCAGCTTCCTCTCTTCATCAAGGTGCTTCCTCTCTTGATCAAGATGCTTCCTCTCTTCATCAAGATGCTTCCTCTCTTCATCAAGATGCTTTCTCTCTTCAACAAAGTGATTCCTCTCTTCTTCAAAGTACTTCCTCTCTTCATCAAGATGCTTCCTCACTCCATCATGCAGCTTCCTCTCTTGATCAAGATGCTTCCTCTCTTCAACAAAGTGATTCCTCTCTTCTTCAAAGTACTTCCTCTCTTGATCAAGATGCTTCCTCACTCCATCATGCAGCTTCCTCTCTTCTTCAAAGTGCTTCCTCTCTTCATCAAGATGCTTCCTCTCTTGATCAAGGTGCTTCCTCTCTTGATCAAGGTGCTTCCTCTCTTGATCAAGATGCTTCCTCTCTTCAACAAAGTGATTCCTCTCTTCTTCAAAGTACTTCCTCTCTTGATCAAGATGCTTCCTCACTCCATCATGCAGCTTCCTCTCTTCTTCAAAGTGCTTCCTCTCTTGATCAAGGTGCTTCCTCTCTTCATCAAGATGCTTCCTCTCTTCAACAAAGTACTTCCTCTCTTCATCAAGATGCTTCCTCTCTTGATCAAGGTGCTTCCTCTCTTGATCAAGATGCTTCCTCTCTTCAACAAAGTGCTTCCTCTCTTCTTCAAAGTACTTCCTCTCTTGATCAAGATGCTTCCTCACTCCATCATGCAGCTTCCTCTCTTCTTCAAAGTGCTTCCTCTCTTGATCAAGGTGCTTCCTCTCTTCATCAAGATGCTTCCTCTCTTCAACAAAGTACTTCCTCTCTTGATCAAGGTGCTTCCTCTCTTCATCAAGATGCTTCCTCACTCCATCAAGATGCTTCCTCTCTTCAACAAAGTGATTCCTCTCTTCTTCAAAGTACTTCCTCTCTTGATCAAGATGCTTCCTCTCTTCTTCAAAGTACTTCCTCTCTTGATCAAGATGCTTCCTCTCTTCAACAAAGTGCTTCCTCTCTTCATCATGCAGCTTCCTCTCTTCAACAAAGTGCTTCCTCTCTTCTTCAAAGTACTTCCTCTCTTGATCAAGATGCTTCCTCTCTTGATCAAGGTGCTTCCTCTCTTCATCAAGATGCTTCCTCTCTTCAACAAAGTGCTTCCTATCTTCATCATGCAGCTTCCTCACTACATCATGCAGCTTCCTCTCTAAATCAAAGTGCTTCCTCTCTTCTTCAAAGTACTTCCTCTCTTGATCAAGGTGCTTCCTCTCTTCATCAAGATGCTTCCTCACTCCATTATTCAGCTGCTTCTTTTCTTCATCAATTCCTCTTCACCCTGGAGCTCCTCAGCTTTATATCATTTTAATTGGATTTTTTGAAATCCACCTGCAGTAGGATAAAGGAGATGTAACTCACGACTAAGAACCTGGCCATATGCTCCATTCCAGGCCAACACAGATTGCATAGCCAAACAGATTGAAATACCAATCCTGTTGCTGCATGGGGCGTCCATATTCCATTTGGAAGACTTGCATCATCACATTTGGATCTGTAAGGACTTTGTCGTTGACAAAATTGGGCCTTGCAGGAGGAACTCCATTTGCTACAATGTATCTGGAAGCAAGAGGTTTGTTCATATCCATTGGATAGATTCCTGTTGCTTTAAAAGCATTTTCGATGTTTGTAGCTGTGCAAGACACACTACATGCATCAAGGAAGCTGCGAACCATGATATAGCGCAGTTCTCTGGCGTTCCATACATAATTGATCACCATATGCCCTTGCTGATCGTACCGGATAGTCGCCATATCAAACAACTTCTTGAATTGGGCCTTCAAGGGAGAAAAAATCCCAACATCAAGAGGTTGTAAGATATGAGATGTATGGCCTGGGAGAACAAGAAGCTCGATATTGAAGGCGCTCAAGAGGCGAACGGCCAAGAAAGAGAGCCTGGATGGATGACCATCTACAATTAGGAGAAAAGGTACCTGGGCATCAAACACATTCATTTGAGACCTTTTCTCCTATCATAAGACAAATTACGGAAAGTGAACTCAAACAAAAAGTGACACAATGCATTTGCCAACCAAATAACTTTACAAAGCAAAAACTTAAATTACTTGTCAAGCTTACTATTCTTATTTTAACAATTAAAAAATTAAATTTTATTTTTTATTTAAAAAAATCATCTTATATCATCTGATATATATATATAACAGCATTAATATTTCAATGATTCACAAATCAACTTTTTCATTATTTTAAATAATTATAGAATATATACCGACTTTTTGTACATAAATATTTTTAGATTCAATAATGATTTACGGTTTTTTTCAAAACTTATAATTTTCAAATGAGTGGTAGAATCTTCGATTTAATTGATTTAGAATGGTTAAATCAAGCTAATCAACAAATTCAAAGCGGTATTAACGTCGAAACCGTTCTCCAAAATGTCCCTTTAACAGATGGAAGAATTCTTCCCACAATATCACATAAAACTTTTAAAAACGCTCTTAATTTCAATCAAATTGAAATTCCAAAATTACGTACAGGTCCAAAACCAAAAGATCCACCACAAGGGATCAAATTCAAAATTTAATCGAAAATTATAACGCAACACCACATAACAGTTACCAAAAAATCCAGAAATACATACCTGGTTTACACCAAACAAATTTTATGATATCAGCGAAAAATATGATACCACCAAAGAACCCCTTTGGAAAGTTGATGGAGAAATTAAGGATTTGAGGATTTCTCTTCAACATTTCCGCGAGAGGAGAGCCAATCAAAGAAATTAATTCGGTAATATTTTAAAATCGAAAATAAAATCTAATTTTTAACACAAATTAACAATATCGATTACATCTTCTTACTAAGCTCAGTCAGATTAATAAGAATAAACACTTACTTTTTAAAACATTTACATATTTTTTTTCTTCGTTACAGAGATACGCAAGTTGCAGAAGAAGCAGCAACTGTAGTACAGTAATTTGACACTCCGAAATCGAACATTAGTGACTTTGAGTAGATTTTGAATTTAATATAGATCTTGATTTTTAATAACCATCATAGCAAGAGCTAGTTGGTGAATGGTATCCGCGAATTTCGGCTTGAAAGTTGGGAAACTTTGTCTGAATGTTAAACTATTCGGACAAAGTTTCCCGCTGTTTGCGAAGGAATTGTTGGCTATGATGTACTGATTCATGATCAGTGCATCATAGCCAACAATTCCTTATACAAAGTTCAAAAACTTGGGTGCAATCAGAACTGATTGCACCCAAGTTTTTGAACTTTCTCGAGGGAATGAAAGGGTAAGAGGTATACATTATGAATATATACCTCTTACCCTTCCATTCCCTCTCTGACAGCGGGAAACTTTGTCTGAATGTTAAACTATTCAGACAAAGTTTCCCGCTGTTTGCGAAGGAATTGTTGGCTATGATGTACTGATTCATGATCAGTGCATCATAGCCAACAATTCCTTATACAAAGTTCAAAAACTTGGGTGCAATCAGAACTGATTGCACCCAAGTTTTTGAACTTTCTCGAGGGAATGGAAGGGTAAGAGGTATACATTATGAATATATACCTCTTACCCTTCCATTCCCTCTCTGACAGCGGGAAACTTTGTCTGAATGTTAAACTATTCAGACAAAGTTTCCCGCTGTTTGCGAAGGAATTGTTGGCTATGATGTACTGATTCATGATCAGTGCATCATAGCCAACAATTCCTTATACAAAGTTCAAAAACTTGGGTGCAATCAGAACTGATTGCACCCAAGTTTTTGAACTTTCTCGAGGGAATGAAAGGTAAGAGATATCCATTTCCTTTCACCTTCGTTCTCAATAATTAACTTATAAATTTTTTAAAGCAAAAAAAGTCTGATTTTTTTTGACAAGTAAATATATAGGGAATTTATCCGACCAAATAAGTGTCACTTTTTCGGTTCACCTCACTTTCCGTAACTCGTCTTACAACACTCCTGTACTTTGCAGATGAACATGATACAGTATACCATAAAAAGGTATTTGTTCATCCACCCACTCTCGGAGCGAACAAAAAAGGCGTCCAGATCTTCCAATTCCGCATCAAGGGTCTTCTTTTGTGGAAGTATCACCATTGGCTTCATAGTTGTACCATCTGCAAAGATGGTACAGACCCCTGTAAGATGTGGAAGCTGAGACTTTTCAGCGCGAACTGGGCGATTCCGGCCAGCAGTAAGAACTTTATAGCGACGTTTGGAATAGAGCATTGTCTCGTCCATATTCGCAATAAACTTCTTCCTGCGGCAAAGTATCTATGCTTGGAGAGGAAAAATTGGCGAATATGGTTTGCGTCACAGGTAGAGCGTCGGAGCATATCAATAGGTTGGGAGCTCACAATCCGAATTGACAATCTTGTGGCGATATGATTAAGCCACGGGATGGCGATGGGCAGTAATCATCGAGCTTCGCTAGAAGATGCGGGCATCTTGCAGCGATTAGTACCCGCGCCGCAAATTTTAATCTCCTATTTTGTAATTCCGTACAGACAGCAATGGCCATTGATGTTGTAATACAGTTCAAGTCGTCTGCCATCTCTTGAACAAGTTTTTTGAACTGCATTTCATCTGGTAGTGACAAAAGGGTCATACCACCCCTGACTGACCTTTTGTCCATGAACGACAAGTAGCAGTGCGCATGATTGCGCGTGCTACTGTCGTCTTTGAAATTGAGTAAACATTCCGTATTTGTTGATAAGACTCGCCATTTACTCTTCGATAGAGTAAATCGAGTTGCATCTGGGTCAATAGCCCAAGATTTTTATAGTTTTCTAATTCTGCAAACTCGGGAATTCGTGTTCTTGGTTGCATTTTTTTAAACGGGAACTTCACAAATTTGGTTCATGGCCATAAAAACTCATTCAATTTTTCTGAGATTTTTTTTTCGTCACTCACTCAAAACGCAGAGGACCATTCTTCTCAAAATTGAATTATTTTTTCAAATATTGAGTGAGTAAAATGGGCACGTTGTGTAAATTGATTCAAAAATTTTTATTGGTACACGACCTTTGAAATTGGTCTCGGGCTATTCAACCTACGGTATAAGAATCGTTATGAAGAAAAATTGAGAACTTATGATTTTTTTAAGAAAATGATTAAATAATATAAAATAACCATATAAACAACATTTTAGATTCCTCTGAAAAGGGTATCTCAAATTGGTCTATGACCAATTGAATGGTTTGCCGGTTATTCAAGGTACGGTATGAGTGCTAAATATTATTACTTACTAAATGATTTTAAAAAGAAAAAACATGTTTTTACTTTGTACGTTAACATACGTTAATATCACTTCGGCTATGGATAGAGGCCAACAGCGCCTTATTAATGAGAAAAACATTAGCCTCTTATCAATGAGATGGAAGTGTATTCGTGGATTACAATTGTGAATTCAGATACACTTCCATCTCAAAAAATGCAATCAAATTTGTATTGAATTGCATTTTTTGAATACATGCTATTGGCAGTTGGGTTTTTAGTGCATTTATATTATATTGGTACTAAGGCTTTTGGAAAATTTACAAAATAAATTTAATATTTTGTAAATGTTATCGGTTCTTACGCTTTTGGAAGGAGGGATGGTATTTTTGGAGCATTTATATTACATTGGTACTAAGGCTTTTGGAAAATTTACAAAATAAATTTAATATTTTGTAAATGTTATCGGTTCTTACGCTTTTGGAAGAAGGGATGGTATTTTTGGAGCATTTATATTACATTGGTACTAAGGCTTTTGGAAAATTTACAAAATAAATTTAATATTTTGTAAATGTTATCGGTTCTTACGCTTTTGGAAGAAGGGATGGTATTTTTGGAGCATTTATATTACATTGGTACTAAGGCTTTTGGAAAATTTACAAAATAAATTTAATATTTTGTAAATGTTATCGGTTCTTACGCTTTTGGAAGAAGGGATGGTATTTTTGGAGCATTTATATTACATTGGTACTAAGGCTTTTGGAAAATTTACAAAATAAATTTAATATTTTGTAAATGTTATCGGTTCTTACGCTTTTGGAAGGAGGGATGGTATTTTTGGAGCATTTATATTACATTGGTACTAAGGCTTTTGGAAAATTTACAAAATAAATTTAATATTTTGTAAATGTTATCGGTTCTTACGCTTCCTCTCTTCATCAAGATGCTTCCTCACTCCATCATGCATCCATCATGCAGCTTCCTCTCTTCATCAAGGTGCTTCCTCTCTTGATCAAGATGCTTCCTCTCTTCATCAAGATGCTTCCTCTCTTCATCAAGATGCTTTCTCTCTTCAACAAAGTGATTCCTCTCTTCTTCAAAGTACTTCCTCTCTTCATCAAGATGCTTCCTCACTCCATCATGCAGCTTCCTCTCTTGATCAAGATGCTTCCTCTCTTGATCAAGATGCTTCCTCTCTTGATCAAGGTGCTTCCTCTCTTCATCAAGATGCTTCCTCTCTTCAACAAAGTGCTTCCTCTCTTCTTCAAAGTACTTCCTCTCTTCATCAAGATGCTTCCTCTCTTCAACAAAGTACTTCCTCTCTTCAACAAAGTGCTTCCTCTCTTCTTCAAAGTGCTTCCTCTCTTGATCAAGGTGCTTCCTCTCTTCATCAAGATGCTTCCTCTCTTCAACAAAGTACTTCCTCTCTTCATCAAGATGCTTCCTCTCTTGATCAAGGTGCTTCCTCTCTTGATCAAGATGCTTCCTCTCTTCAACAAAGTGCTTCCTCTCTTCTTCAAAGTACTTCCTCTCTTGATCAAGATGCTTCCTCACTCCATCATGCAGCTTCCTCTCTTCTTCAAAGTGCTTCCTCTCTTGATCAAGGTGCTTCCTCTCTTCATCAAGATGCTTCCTCTCTTCAACAAAGTACTTCCTCTCTTGATCAAGGTGCTTCCTCTCTTCATCAAGATGCTTCCTCTCTTCATCAAGATGCTTCCTCTCTTCAACAAAGTGATTCCTCTCTTCTTCAAAGTACTTCCTCTCTTGATCAAGATGCTTCCTCACTCCATCATGCAGCTTCCTCTCTTCATCATGCAGCTTCCTCACTACATCATGCAGCTTCCTCTCTAAATCAAAGTGCTTCCTCTCTTCAACAAAGTGCTTCCTCTCTTCTTCAAAGTACTTCCTCTCTTGATCAAGGTGCTTCCTCTCTTCTTCAAAGTACTTCCTCTCTTGATCAAGGTGCTTCCTCTCTTCATCAAGATGCTTCCTCACTCCATTATTCAGCTGCTTCTTTTCTTCATCAATTCCTCTTCACCCTGGAGCTCCTCAGCTTTATATCATTTTAATTGGATTTTTTGAAATCCACCTGCAGTAGGATAAAGGAGATGTAACTCACGACTAAGAACCTGGCCATATGCTCCATTCCAGGCCAACACAGATTGCATAGCCACAAACAGATTGAAATACCAATCCTGTTGCTGCATGGGGCGTCCATATTCCATTTGGAAGACTTGCATCATCACATTTGGATCTGTAAGGACTTTGTCGTTGACAAAATTGGGCCTTGCAGGAGGAACTCCATTTGCTACAATGTATCTGGAAGCAAGAGGTTTGTTCATATCCATTGGATAGATTCCTGTTGCTTTAAAAGCATTTTCGATGTTTGTAGCTGTGCAAGACACACTACATGCGTCAAGGAAGCTGCGAACCATGATATAGCGCAGTTCTCTGGCGTTCCATACATAATTGATCACCATATGCCCTTGCTGATCGTACCGGATAGTCGCCATATCAAACAACTTCTTGAATTGGGCCTTCAAGGGAGAAAAAATCCCAACATCAAGAGGTTGTAAGATATGAGATGTATGGCCTGGGAGAACAAGAAGCTCGATATTGAAGGCGCTCAAGAGGCGAACGGCCAAGAAAGAGAGCCTGGATGGATGACCATCTACAATTAGGAGAAAAGGTACCTGGGCATCAAACACATTCATTTGAGACCTTTTCTCCTGTACTTTGCAGATGAACATGATACAGTATACCATAAAAAGGTATTTGTTCATCCATCCACTCTCGGAGCGAACAAAAAAGGCGTCCAGATCTTCCAATTCCGCATCAAGGGTCTTCTTTTGTGGAAGTATCACCATTGGCTTCATAGTTGTACCATCTGCAAAGATGGTACAGACCCTGTAAGATGTGGAAGCTGAGACTTTTCAGCGCGAACTGGGCGATTCCGGCCAGCAGTAAGAACTTTATAGCGACGTTTGGAATAGAGCATTGTCTCGTCCATATTCGCAATAAACTTCTTCCTGCGGGCAAAGTATCTATGCTTGGAGAGGAAAAATTGGCGAATATGGTTTGCGTCACAGGTAGAGCGTCGGAGCATATCAATAGGTTGGGAGCTCACAATCCGAATTGACAATCTTGTGGCGATATGATTAAGCCAGCCACGGGATGGCGATGGGCAGTAATCATCGAGCTTCGCTAGAAGATGCGGGCATCTTGCAGCGATTAGTACCCGCGCCGCAAATTTTAATCTCCTATTTTGTAATTCCGTACAGACAGCAATGGCCATTGATGTTGTAATACAGTTCAAGTCGTCTGCCATCTCTTGAACAAGTTTTTTGAACTGCATTTCATCTGGTAGTGACAAAAGGGTCATACCACCCCTGACTGACCTTTTGTCCATGAACGACAAGTAGCAGTGCGCATGATTGCGCGTGCTACTGTCGTCTTTGAAATTGAGTAAACATTCCGTATTTGTTGATAAGACTCGCCATTTACTCTTCGATAGAGTAAATCGAGTTGCATCTGGGTCAATAGCCCAAGATTTTTATAGTTTTCTAATTCTGCAAACTCGGGAATTCGTGTTCTTGGTTGCATTTTTTTAAACGGGAACTTCACAAATTTGGTTCATGGCCATAAAAACTCATTCAATTTTTCTGAGATTTTTTTTTCGTCACTCACTCAAAACGCAGAGGACCATTCTTCTCAAATTGAATTATTTTTTCAAATATTGAGTGAGTAAAATGGGCACGTTGTGTAAATTGATTCAAAAATTTTTATTGGTACACGACCTTTGAAATTGGTCTCGGGCTATTCAACCTACGGTATAAGAATCGTTATGAAGAAAAATTGAGAACTTATGATTTTTATTTAAGAAAATGATTAAATAATATATAAATAACCATATAAACAACATTTTAGATTCCTCTGAAAAGGGTATCTCAAATTGGTCTATGACCAATTGAATGGTTTGCCGGTTATTCAAGGTACGGTATGAGTGCTAAATATTATTACTTACTAAATGATTTTAAAAAGAAAAACATGTTTTTACTTTGTACGTTAACATACGTTAATATCACTTCGGCTATGGATAGAGGCCAACAGCGCCTTATTAATGAGAAAAACATTAGCCTCTTATCAATGAGATGGAAGTGTATTCGTGGATTACAATTGTGAATTCAGATACACTTCCATCTCAAAAAATGCAATCAAATTTGTATTGAATTGCATTTTTTGAATACATGCTATTGGCAGTTGGGTTTTTAGTGCATTTATATTATATTGGTACTAAGGCTTTTGGAAAATTTACAAAATAAATTTAATATTTTGTAAATGTTATCGGTTCTTACGCTTTTGGAAGGAGGGATGGTATTTTTGGAGCATTTATATTACATTGGTACTAAGGCTTTTGGAAAATTTACAAAATAAATTTAATATTTTGTAAATGTTATCGGTTCTTACGCTTTTGGAAGAAGGGATGGTATTTTTGGAGCATTTATATTACATTGGTACTAAGGCTTTTGGAAAATTTACAAAATAAATTTAATATTTTGTAAATGTTATCGGTTCTTACGCTTTTGGAAGGAGGGATGGTATTTTTGGAGCATTTATATTACATTGGTACTAAGGCTTTTGGAAAATTTACAAAATAAATTTAATATTTTGTAAATGTTATCGGTTCTTACGCTTTTGGAAGAAGGATGGTATTTTTGGAGCATTTATATTACATTGGTACTAAGGCTTTTGGAAAATTTACAAATAAATTTAATATTTTGTAAATGTTATCGGTTCTTACGCTTTTGGAAGGAGGGATGGTATTTTTGGAGCATTTATATTACATTGGTACTAAGGCTTTTGGAAAATTTAAAAATAAATTTAATATTTTGTAAATGTTATCGGTTCTTACGCTTTTGGAAGAAGGGATGGTATTTTTGGAGCATTTATATTACATTGGTACTAAGGCTTTTGGAAAATTTACAAAATAAATTTAATATTTTGTAAATGTTATCGGTTCTTACGCTTTTGGAAGGAGGGATGGTATTTTTGGAGCATTTATATTACATTGGTACTAAGGCTTTTGGAAAATTTACAAAATAAATTTAATATTTTGTAAATGTTATCGGTTCTTACGCTTTTGGAAGAAGGGATGGTATTTTTGGAGCATTTATATTACATTGGTACTAAGGCTTTTGGAAAATTTACAAAATAAATTTAATATTTTGTAAATGTTATCGGTTCTTACGCTTTTGGAAGAAGGGATGGTATTTTTGGAGCATTTATATTACATTGGTACTAAGGCTTTTGGAAAATTTACAAAATAAATTTAATATTTTGTAAATGTTATCGGTTCTTACGCTTTTGGAAGAAGGGATGGTATTTTTGGAGCATTTATATTACATTGGTACTAAGGCTTTTTGGAAAATTTACAAAATAAATTTAATATTTTGTAAATGTTATCGGTTCTTACGCTTTTGGAAGGAGGGATGGTATTTTTGGAGCATTTATATTACATTGGTACTAAGGCTTTTGGAAAATTTACAAAATAAATTTAATATTTTGTAAATGTTATCGGTTCTTACGCTTTTGGAAGGAGGGATGGTATTTTTGGAGCATTTATATTACATTGGTACTAAGGCTTTTGGAAAATTTACAAAAAAATTTAATATTTTGTAAATGTTATCGGTTCTTACGCTTTTGAAGGAGGGATGGTATTTTTGGAGCATTTATATTACATTGGTACTAAGGCTTTTGGAAAATTTACAAAATAAATTTAATATTTTGTAAATGTTATCGGTTCTTACGCTTTTGGAAGGAGGGATGGTATTTTTGGAGCATTTATATTACATTGGTACTAAGGCTTTTGGAAAATTTACAAAATAAATTTAATATTTTGTAAATGTTATCGGTTCTTACGCTTTTGGAAGAAGGGATGGTATTTTTGGAGCATTTATATTACATTGGTACTAAGGCTTTTGGAAAATTTACAAAATAAATTTAATATTTTGTAAATGTTATTTCTTACGCTTTTGGAAGGAGGGATGGTATTTTTGGAGCATTTATATTACATTGGTACTAAGGCTTTTGGAAAATTTACAAAATAAATTTAATATTTTGTAAATGTTATCGGTTCTTACGCTTTTGGAAGAAGGGATGGTATTTTTGGAGCATTTATATTACATTGGTACTAAGGCTTTTGGAAAATTTACAAAATAAATTTAATATTTTGTAAATGTTATCGGTTCTTACGCTTTTGGAAGAAGGGATGGTATTTTTGGAGCATTTATATTACATTGGTACTAAGGCTTTTGGAAAATTTACAAAATAAATTTAATATTTTGTAAATGTTATCGGTTCTTACGCTTTTGGAAGGAGGGATGGTATTTTTGGAGCATTTATATTACATTGGTACTAAGGCTTTTGGAAAATTTACAAAATAAATTTAATATTTTGTAAATGTTATCGGTTCTTACGCTTTTGGAAGGAGGGATGGTATTTTTGGAGCATTTATATTACATTGGTACTAAGGCTTTTGGAAAATTTACAAAATAAATTTAATATTTTGTAAATGTTATCGGTTCTTACGCTTCCTCTCTTCATCAAGATGCTTCCTCACTCCATCATGCATCCATCATGCAGCTTCCTCTCTCATCAAGGTGCTTCCTCTCTTGATCAAGATGCTTCCTCTCTTCATCAAGATGCTTCCTCTCTTCATCAAGATGCTTTCTCTCTTCAACAAATGCTTCCTCTCTTCTTCAAAGTACTTCCTCTCTTCATCAAGATGCTTCCTCACTCCATCATGCAGCTTCCTCTCTTGATCAAGATGCTTCCTCTCTTGATCAAGATGCTTCCTCTCTTCTTCAAAGTACTTCCTCTCTTGATCAAGGTGCTTCCTCTCTTCATCAAGATGCTTCCTCTCTTCATCAAGATGCTTCCTCTCTTCGACAAAGTGCTTCCTCTCTTCTTCAAAGTGCTTCCTCTCTTGATCAAGGTGCTTCCTCTCTTCATCAAGATGCTTCCTCTCTTCAACAAAGTACTTCCTCTCTTCATCAAGATGCTTCCTCTCTTGATCAAGGTGCTTCCTCTCTTGATCAAGATGCTTCCTCTCTTCAACAAAGTGCTTCCTCTCTTCTTCAAAGTACTTCCTCTCTTGATCAAGATGCTTCCTCACTCCATCATGCAGCTTCCTCTCTTCTTCAAAGTGCTTCCTCTCTTGATCAAGGTGCTTCCTCTCTTCATCAAGATGCTTCCTCTCTTCAACAAAGTACTTCCTCTCTTGATCAAGGTGCTTCCTCTCTTGATCAAGATGCTTCCTCTCTTCATCAAGATGCTTCCTCTCTTCAACAAAGTGATTCCTCTCTTCTTCAAAGTACTTCCTCTCTTGATCAAGATGCTTCCTCACTCCATCATGCAGCTTCCTCTCTTCATCATGCAGCTTCCTCACTACATCATGCAGCTTCCTCTCTAAATCAAGGTGCTTCCTCTCTTCATCAAGATGCTTCCTCTCTTCAACAAAGTACTTCCTCTCTTGATCAAGGTGCTTCCTCTCTTCATCAAGATGCTTCCTCTCTTCATCAAGATGCTTCCTCTCTTCGACAAAGTGATTCCTCTCTTCTTCAAAGTGCTTCCTCTCTTGATCAAGGTGCTTCCTCTCTTCATCAAGATGCTTCCTCTCTTCAACAAAGTACTTCCTCTCTTGATCAAGATGCTTCCTCTCTTCATCAAGATGCTTCCTCTCTTCATCAAGATGCTTTCTCTCTTCAACAAAGTGCTTCCTCTCTTCTTCAAAGTACTTCCTCTCTTCATCAAGATGCTTCCTCACTCCATCATGCAGCTTCCTCTCTTGATCATGCAGCTTCCTCTCTAAATCAAAGTGCTTCCTCTCTTCAACAAAGTACTTCCTCTCTTCAACAAAGTGCTTCCTCTCTTCTTCAAAGTGCTTCCTCTCTTGATCAAGGTGCTTCCTCTCTTCATCAAGATGCTTCCTCTCTTCAACAAAGTACTTCCTCTCTTCATCAAGATGCTTCCTCTCTTGATCAAGGTGCTTCCTCTCTTGATCAAGATGCTTCCTCTCTTCAACAAAGTGCTTCCTCTCTTCTTCAAAGTACTTCCTCTCTTGATCAAGATGCTTCCTCACTCCATCATGCAGCTTCCTCTCTTCTTCAAAGTGCTTCCTCTCTTGATCAAGGTGCTTCCTCTCTTCATCAAGATGCTTCCTCTCTTCAACAAAGTACTTCCTCTCTTGATCAAGGTGCTTCCTCTCTTCATCAAGATGCTTCCTCTCTTCATCAAGATGCTTCCTCTCTTCAACAAAGTGATTCCTCTCTTCTTCAAAGTACTTCCTCTCTTGATCAAGATGCTTCCTCACTCCATCATGCAGCTTCCTCTCTTCATCATGCAGCTTCCTCACTACATCATGCAGCTTCCTCTCTAAATCAAAGTGCTTCCTCTCTTCAACAAAGTGCTTCCTCTTCTTCAAAGTACTTCCTCTCTTGATCAAGGTGCTTCCTCTCTTCTTCAAAGTACTTCCTCTCTTGATCAAGGTGCTTCCTCTCTTCAACAAAATACTTCCTCTCTTCAACAAAGTGCTTCCTCTCTTCAACAAAGTACTTCCTCTCTTGATCAAGGTGCTTCCTCTCTTCATCAAGATGCTTCCTCTCTTGATCAAGATGCTTCCTCTCTTCAACAAAGTACTTCCTCTCTTGATCAAGGTGCTTCCTCTCTTGATCAAGGTGCTTCCTCTCTTCTTCAAAGTACTTCCTCTCTTGATCAAGATGCTTCCTCTCTTCAACAAAGTGCTTCCTCTCTTCATCATGCAGCTTCCTCTCTTCAACAAAGTGCTTCCTCTCTTCTTCAAAGTACTTCCTCTCTTGATCAAGATGCTTCCTCTCTTCATCATGCAGCTTCCTCTCTTCTTCAAAGTGCTTCCTCTCTTCAACAAAGTGCTTCCTCTCTTCTTCAAAGTACTTCCTCTCTTGATCAAGGTGCTTCCTCTCTTCTTCAAAGTACTTCCTCTCTTGATCAAGGTGCTTCCTCTCTTCATCAAGATGCTTCCTCTCTTGATCAAGATGCTTCCTCTCTTCAACAAAGTACTTCCTCTCTTGATCAAGATGCTTCCTCTCTTGATCAAGGTGCTTCCTCTCTTCTTCAAAGTACTTCCTCTCTTGATCAAGATGCTTCCTCTCTTCAACAAAGTGCTTCCTCTCTTCATCATGCAGCTTCCTCTCTTCAACAAAGTGCTTCCTCTCTTCTTCAAAGTACTTCCTCTCTTGATCAAGATGCTTCCTCTCTTCATCATGCAGCTTCCTCTCTTCTTCAAAGTGCTTCCTCTCTTCAACAAAGTGCTTCCTATCTTCATCATGCAGCTTCCTCACTACATCATGCAGCTTCCTCTCTAAATCAAAGTGCTTCCTCTCTTCTTCAAAGTACTTCCTCTCTTGATCAAGGTGCTTCCTCTCTTCATCAAGATGCTTCCTCACTCCATTATCAGCTGCTTCTTTTCTTCATCAATTCCTCTTCACCCTGGAGCTCCTCAGCTTTATATCATTTTAATTGGATTTTTTGAAATCCACCTGCAGTAGGATAAAGGAGATGTAACTCACGACTAAGAACCTGGCCATATGCTCCATTCCAGGCCAAACAGATTGCATAGCCACAAACAGATTGAAATACCAATCCTGTTGCTGCATGGGGCGTCCATATTCCATTTGGAAGACTTGCATCATCACATTTGGATCTGTAAGGACTTTGTCGTTGACAAAATTGGGCCTTGCAGGAGGAACTCCATTTGCTACAATGTATCTGGAAGCAAGAGGTTTGTTCATATCCAATGGATAGATTCCTGTTGCTTTAAAAGCATTTTCGATGTTTGTAGCTGTGCAAGACACACTACATGCATCAAGGAAGCTGCGAACCATGATATAGCGCAGTTCTCTGGCGTTCCATACATAATTGATCACCATATGCCCTTGCTGATCGTACCGGATAGTCGCCATATCAAACAACTTCTTGAATTGGGCCTTCAAGGGAGAAAAAATCCCAACATCAAGAGGTTGTAAGATATGAGATGTATGGCCTGGGAGAACAAGAAGCTCGATATTGAAGGCGCTCAAGAGGCGAACGGCCAAGAAAGAGAGCCTGGATGGATGACCATCTACAATTAGGAGAAAAGGTACCTGGGCATCAAACACATTCATTTGAGACCTTTTCTCCTGTACTTTGCAGATGAACATGATACAGTATACCATAAAAAGGTATTTGTTCATCCATCCACTCTCGGAGCGAACAAAAAGGCGTCCAATCTTCCAATTCCGCATCAAGGGTCTTCTTTTTGGAAGTATCACCATTGGCTTCATAGTTGTAACATCTGCAAAGATGGTACAGACCCCTGTAAGATGTGGAAGCTGAGACTTTTCAGCGCGAACTGGGCGATTCCGGCCAGCAGTAAGAACTTTATAGCGACGTTTGGAAAGAGCATTGTCTCGTCCATATTCGCAATAAACTTCTTCCTGCGGGCAAAGTATCTATGCTTGGAGAGGAAAAATTGGCGAATATGGTTTGCGTCACAGGTAGAGCGTCGGAGCATATCAATAGGTTGGGAGCTCACAATCCGAATTGACAATCTTGTGGCGATATGATTAAGCCAGCCACGGGATGGCGATGGGCAGTAATCATCGAGCTTCGCTAGAAGATGCGGGCATCTTGCAGCGATTAGTACCCGCGCCGCAAATTTTAATCTCCTATTTTGTAATTCCGTACAGACAGCAATGGCCATTGATGTTGTAATACAGTTCAAGTCGTCTGCCATCTCTTGAACAAGTTTTTTGAACTGCATTTCATCTGGTAGTGACAAAAGGGTCATACCACCCCCTGACTGACCTTTTGTCCATGAACGACAAGTAGCAGTGCGCATGATTGCGCGTGCTACTGTCGTCTTTGAAATTGAGTAAACATTCCGTATTTGTTGATAAGACTCGCCATTTACTCTTCGATAGAGTAAATCGAGTTGCATCTGGGTCAATAGCCCAAGATTTTTATAGTTTTCTAATTCTGCAAACTCGGGAATTCGTGTTCTTGGTTGCATTTTTTTAAACGGGAACTTCACAAATTTGGTTCATGGCCATAAAAACTCATTCAATTTTTCTGAGATTTTTTTTTCGTCACTCACTCAAAACGCAGAGGACCATTCTTCTCAAAATTGAATTATTTTTTCAAATATTGAGTGAGTAAAATGGGCACGTTGTGTAAATTGATTCAAAAATTTTTATTGGTACACGACCTTTGAAATTGGTCTCGGGCTATTCAACCTACGGTATAAGAATCGTTATGAAGAAAAATTGAGAACTTATGATTTTTATTTAAGAAAATGATTAAATAATATATAAATAACCATATAAACAACATTTTAGATTCCTCTGAAAAGGGTATCTCAAATTGGTCTATGACCAATTGAATGGTTTGCCGGTTATTCAAGGTACGGTATGAGTGCTAAATATTATTACTTACTAAATGATTTTAAAAAGAAAAAACATGTTTTTACTTTGTACGTTAACATACGTTAATATCACTTCGGCTATGGATAGAGGCCAACAGCGCCTTATTAATGAGAAAAACATTAGCCTCTTATCAATGAGATGGAAGTGTATTCGTGGATTACAATTGTGAATTCAGATACCACTTCCATCTCAAAAAATGCAATCAAATTTGTATTGAATTGCATTTTTTGAATACATGCTATTGGCAGTTGGTTTTTAGTGCATTTATATTATATTGGTACTAAGGCTTTTGGAAAATTTACAAAATAAATTTAATATTTTGTAAATGTTATCGGTTCTTACGCTTTTGGAGGAGGGATGGTATTTTTGGAGCATTTATATTACATTGGTACTAAGGCTTTTGGAAAATTTACAAAATAAATTTTAATATTTTGTAAATGTTATCGGTTCTTACGCTTTTGGAAGAAGGGATGGTATTTTTGGAGCATTTATATTACATTGGTACTAAGGCTTTTGGAAAATTTACAAAATAAATTTAATATTTTGTAAATGTTATCGGTTCTTACGCTTTTGGAAGAAGGGATGGTATTTTTGGAGCATTTATATTACATTGGTACTAAGGCTTTTGGAAAATTTACAAAATAAATTTAATATTTTGTAAATGTTATCGGTTCTTACGCTTTTGGAAGGAGGGATGGTATTTTTGGGAGCATTTATATTACATTGGTACTAAGGCTTTTGGAAAATTTACAAAATAAATTTAATATTTTGTAAATGTTATCGGTTCTTACGCTTTTGGAAGGAGGGATGGTATTTTTGGAGCATTTATATTACATTGGTACTAAGGCTTTTGGAAAATTTACAAAATAAATTTAATATTTTGTAAATGTTATCGGTTCTTACGTTCCTCTCTTCATCAAGATGCTTCCTCACTCCATCATGCATCCATCATGCAGCTTCCTCTCTTCATCAAGGTGCTTCCTCTCTTGATCAAGATGCTTCCTCTCTTCATCAAGATGCTTCCTCTCTTCATCAAGATGCTTTCTCTCTTCAACAAAGTGATTCCTCTCTTCTTCAAAGTACTTCCTCTCTTCATCAAGATGCTTCCTCACTCCATCATGCAGCTTCCTCTCTTGATCATGCAGCTTCCTCTCTAAATCAAAGTGCTTCCTCTCTTCTTCAAAGTACTTCCTCTCTTGATCAAGATGCTTCCTCACTCCATCATGCAGCTTCCTCTCTTCTTCAAAGTGCTTCCTCTCTTGATCAAGGTGCTTCCTCTCTTCATCAAGATGCTTCCTCTCTTCAACAAAGTACTTCCTCTCTTGATCAAGGTGCTTCCTCTCTTCATCAAGATGCTTCCTCTCTTCATCAAGATGCTTCCTCTCTTCAACAAAGTGATTCCTCTCTTCTTCAAAGTACTTCCTCTCTTGATCAAGATGCTTCCTCACTCCATCATGCAGCTTCCTCTCTTCATCATGCAGCTTCCTCACTACATCATGCAGCTTCCTCTCTAAATCAAAGTGCTTCCTCTCTTCAACAAAGTGCTTCCTCTCTTCTTCAAAGTACTTCCTCTCTTGATCAAGGTGCTTCCTCTCTTGATCAAGGTGCTTCCTCTCTTCTTCAAAGTACTTCCTCTCTTGATCAAGATGCTTCCTCTCTTCAACAAAGTACTTCCTCTCTTGATCAAGATGCTTCCTCTCTTCAACAAAGTGCTTCCTCTCTTCTTCAAAGTACTTCCTCTCTTGATCAAGATGCTTCCTCACTCCATCATGCAGCTTCCTCTCTTCTTCAAAGTGCTTCCTCTCTTGATCAAGGTGCTTCCTCTCTTCATCAAGATGCTTCCTCTCTTCAACAAAGTACTTCCTCTCTTGATCAAGATGCTTCCTCTCTTGATCAAGATGCTTCCTCTCTTCATCAAGATGCTTTCTCTCTTCAACAAAGTGATTCCTCTCTTCTTCAAAGTACTTCCTCTCTTGATCAAGATGCTTCCTCACTCCATCATGCAGCTTCCTCTCTTGATCATGCAGCTTCCTCTCTTCTTCAAAGTGCTTCCTCTCTTCAACAAAGTACTTCCTCTCTTCAACAAAGTGCTTCCTCTCTTCTTCAAAGTGCTTCCTCTCTTGATCAAGGTGCTTCCTCTCTTCATCAAGATGCTTCCTCTCTTCAACAAAGTACTTCCTCTCTTCATCAAGATGCTTCCTCTCTTGATCAAGGTGCTTCCTCTCTTGATCAAGATGCTTCCTCTCTTCAACAAAGTGCTTCCTCTCTTCTTCAAAGTACTTCCTCTCTTGATCAAGATGCTTCCTCACTCCATCATGCAGCTTCCTCTCTTCTTCAAAGTGCTTCCTCTCTTGATCAAGGTGCTTCCTCTCTTCATCAAGATGCTTCCTCTCTTCAACAAAGTACTTCCTCTCTTCATCAAGATGCTTCCTCTCTTGATCAAGGTGCTTCCTCTCTTGATCAAGATGCTTCCTCTCTTCAACAAAGTGCTTCCTCTCTTCTTCAAAGTACTTCCTCTCTTGATCAAGATGCTTCCTCACTCCATCATGCAGCTTCCTCTCTTCTTCAAAGTGCTTCCTCTCTTGATCAAGGTGCTTCCTCTCTTCATCAAGATGCTTCCTCTCTTCAACAAAGTACTTCCTCTCTTGATCAAGGTGCTTCCTCTCTTCATCAAGATGCTTCCTCTCTTCATCAAGATGCTTCCTCTCTTCAACAAAGTGATTCCTCTCTTCTTCAAAGTACTTCCTCTCTTGATCAAGATGCTTCCTCACTCCATCATGCAGCTTCCTCTCTTCATCATGCAGCTTCCTCACTACATCATGCAGCTTCCTCTCTAAATCAAAGTGCTTCCTCTCTTCAACAAAGTGCTTCCTCTCTTCTTCAAAGTACTTCCTCTCTTGATCAAGGTGCTTCCTCTCTTCTTCAAAGTACTTCCTCTCTTGATCAAGGTGCTTCCTCTCTTCATCAAGATGCTTCCTCTCTTGATCAAGATGCTTCCTCTCTTCAACAAAGTACTTCCTCTCTTGATCAAGATGCTTCCTCTCTTGATCAAGGTGCTTCCTCTCTTCTTCAAAGTACTTCCTCTCTTGATCAAGATGCTTCCTCTCTTCAACAAAGTGCTTCCTCTCTTCATCATGCAGCTTCCTCTCTTCAACAAAGTGCTTCCTCTCTTCTTCAAAGTACTTCCTCTCTTGATCAAGATGCTTCCTCTCTTCATCATGCAGCTTCCTCTCTTCTTCAAAGTGCTTCCTCTCTTCAACAAAGTGCTTCCTATCTTCATCATGCAGCTTCCTCACTACATCATGCAGCTTCCTCTCTAAATCAAAGTGCTTCCTCTCTTCTTCAAAGTACTTCCTCTCTTGATCAAGGTGCTTCCTCTCTTCATCAAGATGCTTCCTCACTCCATTATTCAGCTGCTTCTTTTCTTCATCAATTCCTCTTCACCCTGGAGCTCCTCAGCTTTATATCATTTTAATTGGATTTTTTGAAATCCACCTGCAGTAGGATAAAGGAGATGTAACTCACGACTAAGAACCTGGCCATATGCTCCATTCCAGGCCAACACAGATTGCATAGCCACAAACAGATTGAAATACCAATCCTGTTGCTGCATGGGGCGTCCATATTCCATTTGGAAGACTTGCATCATCACATTTGGATCTGTAAGGACTTTGTCGTTGACAAAATTGGGCCTTGCAGGAGGAACTCCATTTGCTACAATGTATCTGGAAGCAAGAGGTTTGTTCATATCCATTGGATAGATTCCTGTTGCTTTAAAAGCATTTTCGATGTTTGTAGCTGTGCAAGACACACTACATGCGTCAAGGAAGCTGCGAACCATGATATAGCGCAGTTCTCTGGCGTTCCATACATAATTGATCACCATATGCCCTTGCTGATCGTACCGGATAGTCGCCATATCAAACAACTTCTTGAATTGGGCCTTCAAGGGAGAAAAAATCCCAACATCAAGAGGTTGTAAGATATGAGATGTATGGCCTGGGAGAACAAGAAGCTCGATATTGAAGGCGCTCAAGAGGCGAACGGCCAAGAAAGAGAGCCTGGATGGATGACCATCTACAATTAGGAGAAAAGGTACCTGGGCATCAAACACATTCATTTGAGACCTTTTCTCCTGTACTTTGCAGATGAACATGATACAGTATACCATAAAAAGGTATTTGTTCATCCATCCACTCTCGGAGCGAACAAAAAAGGCGTCCAGATCTTCCAATTCCGCATCAAGGGTCTTCTTTTGTGGAAGTATCACCATTGGCTTCATAGTTGTACCATCTGCAAAGATGGTACAGACCCCTGTAAGATGTGGAAGCTGAGACTTTTCAGCGCGAACTGGGCGATTCCGGCCAGCAGTAAGAACTTTATAGCGACGTTTGGAATAGAGCATTGTCTCGTCCATATTCGCAATAAACTTCTTCCTGCGGGCAAAGTATCTATGCTTGGAGAGGAAAAATTGGCGAATATGGTTTGCGTCACAGGTAGAGCGTCGGAGCATATCAATAGTTGGGAGCTCACAATCCGAATTGACAATCTTGTGGCGATATGATTAAGCCAGCCACGGGATGGCGATGGGCAGTAATCATCGAGCTTCGCTAGAAGATGCGGGCATCTTGCAGCGATTAGTACCCGCGCCGCAAATTTTAATCTCCTATTTTGTAATTCCGTACAGACAGCAATGGCCATTGATGTTGTAATACAGTTCAAGTCGTCTGCCATCTCTTGAACAAGTTTTTTGAACTGCATTTCATCTGGTAGTGACAAAAGGGTCATACCACCCCTGACTGACCTTTTGTCCATGAACGACAAGTAGCAGTGCGCATGATTGCGCGTGCTACTGTCGTCTTTGAAATTGAGTAAACATTCCGTATTTGTTGATAAGACTCGCCATTTACTCTTCGATAGAGTAAATCGAGTTGCATCTGGGTCAATAGCCCAAGATTTTTATAGTTTTCTAATTCTGCAAACTCGGGAATTCGTGTTCTTGGTTGCATTTTTTTAAACGGGAACTTCACAAATTTGGTTCATGGCCATAAAAACTCATTCAATTTTTCTGAGATTTTTTTTCGTCACTCACTCAAAACGCAGAGGACCATTCTTCTCAAAATTGAATTATTTTTTCAAATATTGAGTGAGTAAAATGGGCACGTTGTGTAAATTGATTCAAAAATTTTTATTGGTACACGACCTTTGAAATTGGTCTCGGGCTATTCAACCTACGGTATAAGAATCGTTATGAAGAAAAATTGAGAACTTATGATTTTTATTTAAGAAAATGATTAAATAATATATAAATAACCATATAAACAACATTTTAGATTCCTCTGAAAAGGGTATCTCAAATTGGTCTATGACCAATTGAATGGTTTGCCGGTTATTCAAGGCACGGTATGAGTGCTAAATATTATTACTTACTAAATGATTTTAAAAAGAAAAAACATGTTTTTACTTTGTACGTTAACATACGTTAATATCACTTCGGCTATGGATAGAGGCCAACAGCGCCTTATTAATGAGAAAAACATTAGCCTCTTATCAATGAGATGGAAGTGTATTCGTGGATTACAATTGTGAATTCAGATACACTTCCATCTCAAAAAATGCAATCAAATTTGTATTGAATTGCATTTTTTGAATACATGCTATTGGCAGTTGGGTTTTTAGTGCATTTATATTATATTGGTACTAAGGCTTTTGGAAAATTTACAAAATAAATTTAATATTTTGTAAATGTTATCGGTTCTTACGCTTTTGGAAGGAGGGATGGTATTTTTGGAGCATTTATATTACATTGGTACTAAGGCTTTTGGAAAATTTACAAAATAAATTTAATATTTTGTAAATGTTATCGGTTCTTACGCTTTTGGAAGAGGGATGGTATTTTTGGAGCATTTATATTACATTGGTACTAAGGCTTTTGGAAAATTTACAAAATAAATTTAATATTTTGTAAATGTTATCGGTTCTTACGCTTTTGGAAGAAGGGATGGTATTTTTGGAGCATTTATATTACATTGGTACTAAGGCTTTTGGAAAATTTACAAAATAAATTTAATATTTTGTAAATGTTATCGGTTCTTACGCTTTTGGAAGGAGGGATGGTATTTTTGGAGCATTTATATTACATTGGTACTAAGGCTTTTGGAAAATTTACAAAATAAATTTAATATTTTGTAAATGTTATCGGTTCTTACGCTTTTGGAAGGAGGGATGGTATTTTTGGAGCATTTATATTACATTGGTACTAAGGCTTTTGGAAAATTTACAAAATAAATTTAATATTTTGTAAATGTTATCGGTTCTTACGCTTCCTCTCTTCATCAAGATGCTTCCTCACTCCATCATGCATCCATCATGCAGCTTCCTCTCTTCATCAAGGTGCTTCCTCTCTTGATCAAGATGCTTCCTCTCTTCATCAAGATGCTTCCTCTCTTCATCAAGATGCTTTCTCTCTTCAACAAAGTGATTCCTCTCTTCTTCAAAGTACTTCCTCTCTTCATCAAGATGCTTCCTCACTCCATCATGCAGCTTCCTCTCTTGATCATGCAGCTTCCTCTCTAAATCAAAGTGCTTCCTCTCTTCTTCAAAGTACTTCCTCTCTTGATCAAGATGCTTCCTCACTCCATCATGCAGCTTCCTCTCTTCTTCAAAGTGCTTCCTCTCTTGATCAAGGTGCTTCCTCTCTTCATCAAGATGCTTCCTCTCTTCAACAAAGTACTTCCTCTCTTGATCAAGGTGCTTCCTCTCTTCATCAAGATGCTTCCTCTCTTCATCAAGATGCTTCCTCTCTTCAACAAAGTGATTCCTCTCTTCTTCAAAGTACTTCCTCTCTTGATCAAGATGCTTCCTCACTCCATCATGCAGCTTCCTCTCTTCATCATGCAGCTTCCTCACTACATCATGCAGCTTCCTCTCTAAATCAAAGTGCTTCCTCTCTTCAACAAAGTGCTTCCTCTCTTCTTCAAAGTACTTCCTCTCTTGATCAAGGTGCTTCCTCTCTTGATCAAGGTGCTTCCTCTCTTCTTCAAAGTACTTCCTCTCTTGATCAAGATGCTTCCTCTCTTCAACAAAGTACTTCCTCTCTTGATCAAGATGCTTCCTCTCTTCAACAAAGTGCTTCCTCTCTTCTTCAAAGTACTTCCTCTCTTGATCAAGATGCTTCCTCACTCCATCATGCAGCTTCCTCTCTTCTTCAAAGTGCTTCCTCTCTTGATCAAGGTGCTTCCTCTCTTCATCAAGATGCTTCCTCTCTTCAACAAAGTACTTCCTCTCTTGATCAAGGTGCTTCCTCTCTTCATCAAGATGCTTCCTCTCTTCATCAAGATGCTTCCTCTCTTCAACAAAGTGATTCCTCTCTTCTTCAAAGTACTTCCTCTCTTGATCAAGATGCTTCCTCACTCCATCATGCAGCTTCCTCTCTTCATCATGCAGCTTCCTCACTACATCATGCAGCTTCCTCTCTAAATCAAAGTGCTTCCTCTCTTCAACAAGTGCTTCCTCTCTTCTTCAAAGTACTTCCTCTCTTGATCAAGTGCTTCCTCTCTTGATCAAGTGCTTCCTCTCTTCTTCAAAGTTCCTCTCTTGATCAAGATGCTTCCTCTCTTCAACAAAGTACTTCCTCTCTTGATCAAGATGCTTCCTCTCTTGATCAAGTGCTTCCTCTCTTCTTCAAAGTACTTCCTCTCTTGATCAAGATGCTTCCTCTCTTCAACAAAGTGCTTCCTCTCTTCATCATGCAGCTTCCTCTCTTCAACAAAGTGCTTCCTCTCTTCTTCAAAGTACTTCCTCTCTTGATCAAGATGCTTCCTCTCTTCATCATGCAGCTTCCTCTCTTCTTCAAAGTGCTTCCTCTCTTCAACAAAGTGCTTCCTCTTCATCATGCAGCTTCCTCACTACATCATGCAGCTTCCTCTCTAAATCAAAGTGCTTCCTCTCTTCTTCAAAGTACTTCCTCTCTTGATCAAGGTGCTTCCTCTCTTCATCAAGATGCTTCCTCACTCCATTATCAGCTGCTTCTTTTCTTCATCAATTCCTCTTCACCCTGGAGCTCCTCAGCTTTATATCATTTTAATTGGATTTTTTGAAATCCACCTGCAGTAGGATAAAGGAGATGTAACTCACGACTAAGAACCTGGCCATATGCTCCATTCCAGGCCAAACAGATTGCATAGCCACAAACAGATTGAAATACCAATCCTGTTGCTGCATGGGGCGTCCATATTCCATTTGGAAGACTTGCATCATCACATTTGGATCTGTAAGGACTTTGTCGTTGACAAAATTGGGCCTTGCAGGAGGAACTCCATTTGCTACAATGTATCTGGAAGCAAGAGGTTTGTTCATATCCAATGGATAGATTCCTGTTGCTTTAAAAGCATTTTCGATGTTTGTAGCTGTGCAAGACACACTACATGCATCAAGGAAGCTGCGAACCATGATATAGCGCAGTTCTCTGGCGTTCCATACATAATTGATCACCATATGCCCTTGCTGATCGTACCGGATAGTCGCCATATCAAACAACTTCTTGAATTGGGCCTTCAAGGGAGAAAAAATCCCAACATCAAGAGGTTGTAAGATATGAGATGTATGGCCTGGGAGAACAAGAAGCTCGATATTGAAGGCGCTCAAGAGGCGAACGGCCAAGAAAGAGAGCCTGGATGGATGACCATCTACAATTAGGAGAAAAGGTACCTGGGCATCAAACACATTCATTTGAGACCTTTTCTCCTGTACTTTGCAGATGAACATGATACAGTATACCATAAAAAGGTATTTGTTCATCCATCCACTCTCGGAGCGAACAAAAAAGGCGTCCAGATCTTCCAATTCCGCATCAAGGGTCTTCTTTTGTGGAAGTATCACCATTGGCTTCATAGTTGTACCATCTGCAAAGATGGTACAGACCCCTGTAAGATGTGGAAGCTGAGACTTTTCAGCGCGAACTGGGCGATTCCGGCCAGCAGTAAGAACTTTATAGCGACGTTTGGAATAGAGCATTGTCTCGTCCATATTCGCAATAAACTTCTTCCTGCGGGCAAAGTATCTATGCTTGGAGAGGAAAAATTGGCGAATATGGTTTGCGTCACAGGTAGAGCGTCGGAGCATATCAATAGTTTGACAATCTTGTGGCGATATGATTAAGCCAGCCACGGGATGGCGATGGGCAGTAATCATCGAGCTTCGCTAGAAGATGCGGGCATCTTGCAGCGATTAGTACCCGCGCCGCAAATTTTAATCTCCTATTTTGTAATTCCGTACAGACAGCAATGGCCATTGATGTTGTAATACAGTTCAAGTCGTCTGCCATCTCTTGAACAAGTTTTTTGAACTGCATTTCATCTGGTAGTGACAAAAGGGTCATACCACCCCCTGACTGACCTTTTGTCCATGAACGACAAGTAGCAGTGCGCATGATTGCGCGTGCTACTGTCGTCTTTGAAATTGAGTAAACATTCCGTATTTGTTGATAAGACTCGCCATTTACTCTTCGATAGAGTAAATCGAGTTGCATCTGGGTCAATAGCCCAAGATTTTTATAGTTTTCTAATTCTGCAAACTCGGGAATTCGTGTTCTTGGTTGCATTTTTTTAAACGGGAACTTCACAAATTTGGTTCATGGCCATAAAAACTCATTCAATTTTTCTGAGATTTTTTTTTCGTCACTCACTCAAAACGCAGAGGACCATTCTTCTCAAAATTGAATTATTTTTTCAAATATTGAGTGAGTAAAATGGGCACGTTGTGTAAATTGATTCAAAATTTTTATTGGTACACGACCTTTGAAATTGGTCTCGGGCTATTCAACCTACGGTATAAGAATCGTTATGAAGAAAAATTGAGAACTTATGATTTTTATTTAAGAAAATGATTAAATAATATATAAATAACCATATAAACAACATTTTAGATTCCTCTGAAAAGGGTATCTCAAATTGGTCTATGACCAATTGAATGGTTTGCCGGTTATTCAAGGTACGGTATGAGTGCTAAATATTATTACTTACTAAATGATTTTAAAAAGAAAAAACATGTTTTTACTTTGTACGTTAACATACGTTAATATCACTTCGGCTATGGATAGAGGCCAACAGCGCCTTATTAATGAGAAAAACATTAGCCTCTTATCAATGAGATGGAAGTGTATTCGTGGATTACAATTGTGAATTCAGATACACTTCCATCTCAAAAAATGCAATCAAATTTGTATTGAATTGCATTTTTTGAATACATGCTATTGGCAGTTGGGTTTTTAGTGCATTTATATTATATTGGTACTAAGGCTTTTGGAAAATTTACAAAATAAATTTAATATTTTGTAAATGTTATCGGTTCTTACGCTTTTGGAAGGAGGGATGGTATTTTTGGAGCATTTATATTACATTGGTACTAAGGCTTTTGGAAAATTTACAAAATAAATTTAATATTTTGTAAATGTTATCGGTTCTTACGCTTTTGGAAGAAGGGATGGTATTTTTGGAGCATTTATATTACATTGGTACTAAGGCTTTTGGAAAATTTACAAAATAAATTTAATATTTTGTAAATGTTATCGGTTCTTACGCTTTTGGAAGAAGGGATGGTATTTTTGGAGCATTTATATTACATTGGTACTAAGGCTTTTGGAAAATTTACAAAATAAATTTAATATTTTGTAAATGTTATCGGTTCTTACGCTTTTGGAAGGAGGGATGGTATTTTTGGAGCATTTATATTACATTGGTACTAAGGCTTTTGGAAAATTTACAAAATAAATTTAATATTTTGTAAATGTTATCGGTTCTTACGCTTTTGGAAGGAGGGATGGTATTTTTGGAGCATTTATATTACATTGGTACTAAGGCTTTTGGAAAATTTACAAAATAAATTTAATATTTTGTAAATGTTATCGGTTCTTACGCTTCCTCTCTTCATCAAGATGCTTCCTCACTCCATCATGCATCCATCATGCAGCTTCCTCTCTTCATCAAGGTGCTTCCTCTCTTGATCAAGATGCTTCCTCTCTTGATCAAGATGCTTCCTCTCTTCATCAAGATGCTTTCTCTCTTCAACAAAGTGATTCCTCTCTTCTTCAAAGTACTTCCTCTCTTCATCAAGATGCTTCCTCACTCCATCATGCAGCTTCCTCTCTTGATCATGCAGCTTCCTCTCTAAATCAAAGTGCTTCCTCTCTTCTTCAAAGTACTTCCTCTCTTGATCAAGATGCTTCCTCACTCCATCATGCAGCTTCCTCTCTTCTTCAAAGTGCTTCCTCTCTTGATCAAGGTGCTTCCTCTCTTCATCAAGATGCTTCCTCTCTTCAACAAAGTACTTCCTCTCTTGATCAAGGTGCTTCCTCTCTTCATCAAGATGCTTCCTCTCTTCATCAAGATGCTTCCTCTCTTCAACAAAGTGATTCCTCTCTTCTTCAAAGTACTTCCTCTCTTGATCAAGATGCTTCCTCACTCCATCATGCAGCTTCCTCTCTTCATCATGCAGCTTCCTCACTACATCATGCAGCTTCCTCTCTAAATCAAAGTGCTTCCTCTCTTCAACAAAGTGCTTCCTCTCTTCTTCAAAGTACTTCCTCTCTTGATCAAGGTGCTTCCTCTCTTGATCAAGGTGCTTCCTCTCTTCTTCAAAGTACTTCCTCTCTTGATCAAGATGCTTCCTCTCTTCAACAAAGTACTTCCTCTCTTGATCAAGATGCTTCCTCTCTTCAACAAAGTGCTTCCTCTCTTCTTCAAAACTTCCTCTCTTGATCAAGATGCTTCCTCACTCCATCATGCAGCTCCTCTCTTCTTCAAAAGTGCTTCCTCTTATCAGGTGCTTCCTCTCTTCATCAAGATGCTTCCTCTCTTCAACAAGTACTTCCTCTCTTGATCAAGGTGCTTCCTCTCTTCATCAAGATGCTTCCTCTCTTCATCAAGATGCTTCCTCTCTTCAACAAAGTGATTCCTCTCTTCTTCAAAGTACTTCCTCTCTTGATCAAGATGCTTCCTCACTCCATCATGCAGCTTCCTCTCTTCATCATGCAGCTTCCTCACTACAATGCAGCTTCCTCTCTAAATCAAAGTGCTTCCTCTCTTCAACAAAGTGCTTCCTCTCTTCTTCAAAGTACTTCCTCTCTTGATCAAGGTGCTTCCTCTCTTGATCAAGGTGCTTCCTCTCTTCTTCAAAGTACTTCCTCTCTTGATCAAGATGCTTCCTCTCTTCAACAAAGTACTTCCTCTCTTGATCAAGATGCTTCCTCTCTTGATCAAGGTGCTTCCTCTCTTCTTCAAAGTACTTCCTCTCTTGATCAAGATGCTTCCTCTCTTCAACAAAGTGCTTCCCTCTTCATCATGCAGCTTCCTCTCTTCAACAAAGTGCTTCCTCTCTTCTTCAAAGTACTTCCTCTCTTGATCAAGATGCTTCCTCTCTTCATCATGCAGCTTCCTCTCTTCTTCAAAGTGCTTCCTCTCTTCAACAAAGTGCTTCCTATCTTCATCATGCAGCTTCCTCACTACATCATGCAGCTTCCTCTCTAAATCAAAGTGCTCCTCTCTTCTTCAAAGTACTTCCTCTCTTGATCAAGTGCTTCCTCTCTTCATCAAGATGCTTCCTCACTCCATTATTCAGCTGCTTCTTTTCTTCATCAATTCCTCTTCACCCTGGAGCTCCTCAGCTTTATATCATTTTAATTGGATTTTTTGAAATCCACCTGCAGTAGGATAGGAGATGTAACTCACGACTAAGAACCTGGCCATATGCTCCATTCCAGGCCAACACAGATTGCATAGCCACAAACAGATTGAAATACCAATCCTGTTGCTGCATGGGGCGTCCATATTCCATTTGGAAGACTTGCATCATCACATTTGGATCTGTAAGGACTTTGTCGTTGACAAAATTGGGCCTTGCAGGAGGAACTCCATTTGCTACAATGTATCTGGAAGCAAGAGGTTTGTTCATATCCATTGGATAGATTCCTGTTGTTTTAAAAGCATTTTCGATGTTTGTAGCTGTGCAAGACACACTACATGCATCAAGGAAGCTGCGAACCATGATATAGCGCAGTTCTCTGGCGTTCCATACATAATTGATCACCATATGCCCTTGCTGATCGTACCGGATAGTCGCCATATCAAACAACTTCTTGAATTGGGCCTTCAAGGGAGAAAAAATCCCAACATCAAGAGGTTGTAAGATATGAGATGTATGGCCTGGGAGAACAAGAAGCTCGATATTGAAGGCGCTCAAGAGGCGAACGGCCAAGAAAGAGAGCCTGGATGGATGACCATCTACAATTAGGAGAAAAGGTACCTGGGCATCAAACACATTCATTTGAGACCTTTTCTCCTGTACTTTGCAGATGAACATGATACAGTATACCATAAAAAGGTATTTGTTCATCCATCCACTCTCGGAGCGAACAAAAAAGGCGTCCAGATCTTCCAATTCCGCATCAAGGGTCTTCTTTTGTGGAAGTATCACCATTGGCTTCATAGTTGTACCATCTGCAAAGATGGTACAGACCCCTGTAAGATGTGGAAGCTGAGACTTTTCAGCGCGAACTGGGCGATTCCGGCCAGCAGTAAGAACTTTATAGCGACGTTTGGAATAGAGCATTGTCTCGTCCATATTCGCAATAAACTTCTTCCTGCGGGCAAAGTATCTATGCTTGGAGAGGAAAAATTGGCGAATATGGTTTGCGTCACAGGTAGAGCGTCGGAGCATATCAATAGGTTGGGAGCTCACAATCCGAATTGACAATCTTGTGGCGATATGATTAAGCCAGCCACGGGATGGCGATGGGCAGTAATCATCGAGCTTCGCTAGAAGATGCGGGCATCTTGCAGCGATTAGTACCCGCGCCGCAAATTTTAATCTCCTATTTTGTAATTCCGTACAGACAGCAATGGCCATTGATGTTGTAATACAGTTCAAGTCGTCTGCCATCTCTTGAACAAGTTTTTTGAACTGCATTTCATCTGGTAGTGACAAAAGGGTCATACCACCCCCTGACTGACCTTTTGTCCATGAACGACAAGTAGCAGTGCGCATGATTGCGCGTGCTACTGTCGTCTTTGAAATTGAGTAAACATTCCGTATTTGTTGATAAGACTCGCCATTTACTCTTCGATAGAGTAAATCGAGTTGCATCTGGGTCAATAGCCCAAGATTTTTATAGTTTTCTAATTCTGCAAACTCGGGAATTCGTGTTCTTGGTTGCATTTTTTTAAACGGGAACTTCACAAATTTGGTTCATGGCCATAAAAACTCATTCAATTTTTCTGAGATTTTTTTTTCGTCACTCACTCAAAACGCAGAGGACCATTCTTCTCAAAATTGAATTATTTTTTCAAATATTGAGTGAGTAAAATGGGCACGTTGTGTAAATTGATTCAAAATTTTTTATTGGTACACGACCTTTGAAATTGGTCTCGGGCTATTCAACCTACGGTATAAACTATTGAAAATTTGAATTAAACTTCTAATTTGGAAAAAAGAAATTTGGAAAGAAGAAAATTCAAAAATCGAGATTTAGACTCAGCATTAAATGGAGAACAAAATGTTTCTTCATATGAAGGAAAAAAATTTTCTTGTGAAGAAATAGAGTTTTTAAAATTTTATTGTATGTAATAAAATAAACAAATATTAAAATTATTTTTTGATAACAAGAAAATTCCCAATAGAAAATATTTGAGAGAAAGAAAAAAAGAAAATTGAAAAATATTACTCTCCTTTATATTTCATGAGATTTTAAATTTATTCTCATAAAATTGACAATTTTATACGTTTAGATGAAAATAAGTGATTTTGGTTGAAATAGAAATTATTATTTGCTTACAGCTATCAAATAGATTTTTGCTATTTTGATTAAAATTTGTTAATCAAATTAATAAATTTTTTCTAAATATCTTAAATATCTGGATCACTCACATATACAATGAATTGAACGATAAAAATAATACAAACTCAACTAAGTTTCCTGTCTTTCAACTAAAAAAATTATGCAAATTAAATTAAATTGTTTATTCAAATATAAAACAAAGATGAAGTAATTACAGTTATCATAAACTTTATGAATAACTCTGTAATTGGTTCAGATTTTCGTAAAAATATTTTTATTAATATCGATAAGAATACGTTTACCTACTATCACAACATATCGATAAACAAGAGTAGAGTGATTTTTATCATCGAAACTTTTTAAAAGCTGTAAGCTGGAAGGAAAAATCTTGTTTTTTCTGAGTTAGTTGTAGAACTATTGATGCACGAGTTATCATTGTGATGTAGAAGGATGTCAATGTACTGACTGAAGGATATGAAGTGAATTGAATTTCATTGCATTTCAATTTGATCAAAATTTGTTGAAATGATATGAATGTGTCAACATCTGTATCACTCTCTTTCACTCCTTCCCTATTCTTTCGAGAACGAAGCTAGCTCAGCTTTCGCTAAGCGAATTGACACTTTTGATGCCCTAAACGTACATGCTCTCAAATTTATCGAAAAAAATTATACCACCTAAACTAGTATATTCTTATTTTAAATATGATATTATCCTTAGAATCCACACTAGAATATATTTAAATCAACTTTTAAAAAAGTTCGAATCCTGCGCGTCTCACTTTTTAAATTTTCGAAAAGGAAAATTATATTCTCCTAAAATGAAAATAATTTTCCGAATTGACATCCTTATAATAGTATCAATTAAAATTGTACTAATAGCATTATATAATTATTTCAGACAATTTTTGTGAAATTCAGAAGTTTCTGATGTTTTCTCTCAATTTATTCCGTTTTTACATTCGTTTTGATTTTTTAAGAAAATAAAAGTTATTAATATACTGTAAGTATTTCCTAATTGTTCACTTGACTAACACTGTAAAATTTTCTTATAGTTTTTCAAAGATTTATGGAACTTCTAATTCATTTATGATTGGCAATTGAAACAATAAAGATCCATTTGAAGGCTATATTAATGGAAAACTCAAAAGGTAGGCAAATGAAATTTAAATTGCCAACTAAAAATGATGCAGATGACATGATTTAGGAAAGAAAATATGAATTGTACAATGATAGTGGCCAAAGAAATAAAACGAAAAATATATATAGATGGCAATAGATGAGATATCCGAAGTTACTCAATAAATGAATCTAGAAAAATGAAATATATTATAACAATTCCTATATTTAGTATGATCTAGCCAACTTAATGAGATGTATACACTAGAATTAATAATTCTATCCAATAATTCTATCTAAATTTATCCATTAAGGAGATTATTCTATTACATAGAAGTAGAAAACGATAAATATAGCTTTATTCATTACCAAATGAAAATTTCTAATAAGGTTCCTTGTTCACATGAGCATATAGTGTCAATCAATGAGATAGCTTGACATATTCATCTTGTAATGAATGTTTAGTGTGGTAACAAGCTCTATATATATGGTGATTAATTTCGAAATTTAAAGAAAGCAAAAGCTTTAAAAGAGTTTATTTATATATGAAGTATAGATGAATTTTGAGTTTCTTTTTATCTCATTTTTATATAAGAAATATGATGCAATGATTCCCTTTTATAAAAAAGATGAAGAATTTGAATTTAGCGATATTTCTGACGATGACAATAATCAAAATACCCTTGACATCCCGGATCTTGATCAATTTACTGAACTTTGCGACAATTTCGAACTATTATCAATAAAAAATAACACTGAAAGCCAAGAAGCAATATCAGAATACACCAATCTTGTCAATACCTTTTACAATTTTAGACGATTAGCTAATGATAAAAGATATTTGCAAATTATTTTTACAGAACAAGTAATTAAATACATGACAGATCAAATTCAAGTGTTTTATGATGACGAAAGTAACCAAATTTATATATCCCGCCTCATGAAATGCTTAAAATATTACGCAGCCATTTCAAGAAAAGCAGCTTATGATATGTTGCGATTTGGAATTCTTTATAAAATGGGTCAGTCATTTCATTATTACAATGATTACAATCAAATTCTTTCGTTAAAAATAATAATTACTTTATTCAGAGAAAGATCGATTTTACTATTGGAGGTACTGGAATCTTCATTAGATTGCGCTTTGAGACTTATAAATGATTCATATAAAGCCATAAAAGACATGACATTTCGTGATATGTGCAGAAAAGCAGTTTATTATATTGTTTCAATGAGTAATAATGAAAAAATTATTTTAGCAGGGTATAAGTTTATATATAGCAATGAAGCATCTATTTCTAGAGACGAAATTTTGGCAAATATTATTAGAGAAAATGCGGAAAAGCTCATTCCTATGAATAATGAAAGTTGTTGTTTGGCCTTGAAATTATTAAATGGGGATTCTCCTACCAAAATTGCGTTGGGGCTAATGATCTCATATTCAATCATAAAATACTTGAATGAAGAGCAGTTTGATCAGTTCTACTCCAACTACCCATTCGAAATAATCCTGATTTGCTTGAAAGATTCAGCAATGGAGCTACAATTAAGTGCATTAAAAGTAATTAACCAATATTTAGAAAAACAAATCAATGATTTTGTTTTCAATGATGAGTTCATGCCTCAGATCTTCGAACTTCTTGATTCTCCTTTTGAAATCAAAGAATATGTTCTCAAAGTTTTATCTGACTTAGTAATGCAATCAGATACTGCACATTTACCTTTGTTCTTCCAAAGTGGCTTGGAAATTGATGATTTGGTCGATTCGATGGAATCATCAAATTATTCTTTTCTAATTCTACAAGCAATATATAAACTTGCTTGTGAGGTAGATGGTGTAGTCGATGCCCTTGCTGAAACAAACATTTTACCAATGATTGAAGATTTCAAATTGGAAAAATTTAGTGAAGAAGAGCAACAAGATATTGAGCTTATTAGAAATAACTTAATTGAGATGTTTCAATAAAAATTGTTCGTATATTTATTAATTATTTTCTCAAATTTAAACTATTTATCACTTGTATATGATAATCAGTGATAATTCACAAGTTTGAAGATCACCACAATTGAAAAATTGGTTCATACAAGAAGGATGCATTATATTTTTTATTTTTTTTATCAATACGTCAATATATGCCGAAAATGTGTACCAAATGAATATATATATATATAATGGATAACTTCATGAATAGATGGTAAAATTTATTGATATTTTTCAAAATTTGATGGAAAATGTGTCCAAATTTTTTTTGTTTACAAAAAGATTCTGGCGAAGTTTTACCATTTCAAAAATCGGATTGTTTATGATTGGGTAATTAATATTTAAAATTTTAAAATTGAGAGAAAATTTTGATTGAATGAAATTTTTTGTGAGCTTTCACAGAACTATCAAAAATATCATTTTAACTATGTCGTTCGATCTTCAGCATCTCGCTATAGATCCCTCTCTTATCAAGGAAATCAAACCTTGCGTTTACGAGATTCCAATTGGTTTCGTTCCAAACATGAAGGTTCCAGGTTATTTCTACTCAACACCAGAAATGGCAAAGTATGCATTCGATGAACTCGAAAACTGGATGTCAAACCGTAACCAAGGTCTCCCATCAATCTTACAGATTTCATTTGTTGCTACACTTCCAGGTATCACAAAGGGCTCATTCGGTATGCCAGATATGCACTCTGGTTATGGTTTCTCAATTGGTGGTGTTGCTGCATTCGATACAACAGATCCAGATGCACTCATCTCTCCAGGTGGTGTTGGCTACGATATCAACTGTGGTGTCCGCTTGATGACAACAAACTTAACATGGGAAGAGGTCGAGCCAGTCAAGAAGGAACTCGTTGAGAAGCTCTACAAGTACATTCCAGTTGGCGTTGGTGGCAAGCTCGATGGAATTTGCCCATGTCGTCATCTTCGTGATGTCATGTTAAAAGGTGCTGGCTGGGCACTTGAGAATGGTTTCGCAGTTCAGGAGGATATCGATAACTGTGAAGAGAATGGTTGTCTCAAGGGTGCTGATCCATCTTTGATATCAGATCGCACAATTGCACGTGGTACAGGCCAGCTTGGCACAGTTGGTGCAGGAAACCACTACATCGAAGTTCAGCGTGTTGACAAGATCCTCGATGAGGAGAAAGCACGCGTGATGGATCTTCACGAGGGACAAGTTGTCGTCATGATCCACACAGGATCTCGAGGCTTAGGTCACCAGGTTGCAGATGAGAACATGAAAGTATGCTCAGAGAAGTTTGTCAAGGAATCACTCCCAGACAAGCAGCTCGCTGCACCATCTTTCCACTCTGAGGAAGGCCAGAAGTACTTGCGTGCAATGTACGCAGCTGCAAACTTCGTTTGGTGCAACCGTCAGGTAATCATGCACAACGTTCGCCGCGCATTTTCTGATGTCTTCAAGGACCGCAAATTAGAGACACATCTCGTCTATGACGTTGCACACAACATCGCAAAGGTCGAAAAACACAACATCGACGGTGTTGAGAAGGAGTACATCGTCCACCGTAAGGGTGCCACACGTGCATTTGGTCCAGGCCGCCAGGAGATCTCAGAGAAGTACCGCTCGATCGGCCAGCCAATCCTCATTGGTGGATCAATGGGAACAGCATCATATGTTCTCGTCGGAACAGATGAGTCAATGAAGTGTGCATTCGGATCAACATGCCACGGTGCAGGACGTCTCATGTCTCGTTCAAAGGCACTCAAGACAATTCCTCTCGAGAAGGTACAGAATGATCTTGCTTCACATGGTGTCTTCCTCAAGGCAGCAGACAAGCAAACAATACAGGATGAGTCTCCAGACGCATACAAGGACATCGAGCAGGTTATCGATGCATGCGAGACAGTTGGTATCTCACACAAGGTTGCACGCCTCGTCCCAATGGGCGTTATCAAGGGATGATCCTAAATTACAAAAGCAAATGAATAAATGTTTTGTAATAATTTGTCAAGTTATCGAGTATAATAAATAAGACTTATGCAAAGTATAAGATTTGTCGTTCTATGTTAGATATTGAAATGAAATTCATTGAGGAGATCAAAAATCTAGATACGATCGCAGAATATGATTTATCAATAGCAATACATCTCTCTTACAATAACATCATTATCAAAACAAAATATAATTGAAGTCTATTTTTGTATTTAAACCCAGACGCCTATCATTAAGCAAGTTTTCGCTAGGGGTTTGCTACGTTGGATGAAATAACATATATATGCCTCTTTTCTAAATGGCTGGCTTCGATTTTTATTTCCGATTAAAAATCCTGAAGCGAAATGTATTGCATCGTTAATGTAAAATCTGTTTGTCCATTAGCAGCGATGGTTTCCTTCCGAAGATAAGAGAGATTTCATTTCGAAGAATTGTCACTTTTGCTTGGATAAATCTCCCATTCAAAAAATTATTTTTATAACCTCCAAATGTGAAATGATACGATTTTAGGTTATATGGCATTTTTACAATTTAGGCATTATAAAGGTTATCCTAAACAAATAAAAAAGTACCATGACATTTTCTTATCCCCCATAGTTGGCAACATCAAGTAAACTTCTCAAATTCATATCCCCTATCGTTTTTGACAATTTTTTTCACTTTATAAAAATGCTCGACGTAGCTAATCGCCCAATGCCAAAGCCAGAGATGTTCGCAGCCCACCGTGCTAAGACACTCGCTGAATTAAGAAAGCGCAAATTAGAGGGTGTTGTTCTCATCTACGGCTTCCCAGAGCCAACACGCGCCCACTGCGACTTCGAACCAGTCTTCCGCCAGGAATCCTGCTTCTACTGGCTCACCGGCGTCAATGAGGCCGACTGCGCCTACTTCCTTGATATCGAGACAGGAAAGGAAATCCTCTTCTACCCAGATATCCCACAGGCTTACATCATCTGGTTCGGTGAGCTCGCCACCATCGATGACATCAAGAAGAAGTACGGTTTCGAGGATGTCCGCTTAATGCCAAAGATCCAAGAGACACTTGCTGAATACAAGCTCAAGAAGATCCACACACTCCCAGAAACATGCATTCTTAAGGGTTACGATGCTCTTCTCGACAAGAACGAGTTCATTGACGTCGTCGGCGAACTCCGCCAGATCAAGGATGACGATGAGATGGTTCTCATCCAATACGCATGCGATGTCAACAGTTTCGCTGTCAGAGACACCTTCAAGAAGGTCCATCCAAAGATGTGGGAGCACCAGGTCGAAGCAAACCTCATCAAGCACTACGTCGACTACTACTGCCGCTGCTTCGCCTTCTCAACAATTGTCTGCTCAGGCGAGAACTGCTCCATCCTCCACTACCACCACAACAACAAGTTCATCGAAGATGGCGAACTTATCCTCATCGATACAGGCTGTGAGTACAACTGCTACGCTGCTGATAACACACGTACAATCCCAGCCAACGGCAAGTTCTCACCAGATCAGCGCGCTGTCTACCAGGCTGTTCTCGATTGCCACAATTACGTCGTCGCCCACGCTAAGCCAGGCGTCTTCTGGCCAGACCTCGCTTACGACTCCGCCAAGGTCATGGCTGCTGGACTCCTCAAGCTCGGCCTCTTCCAGAACGGTACAGTCGACGAGATCGTCGATGCTGGCGCTCTCGCCGTCTTCTACCCACACGGTCTCGGCCACGGCATGGGTATCGACTGCCACGAAATCGCTGGCTGGCCACGTGGAACATGCCGCGGAAAGAAGCCACACCACTCATTCGTCCGCTTCGGCAGAACACTTGAGAAGGGTGTCGTCATCACAAACGAACCAGGCTGCTACTTCATCCGCCCATCTTACAACGCTGCTTTCGCTGACCCAGAGAAGTCTAAGTACATCAACAAGGAAGTCTGCGAGAGACTCAGAAAGACAGTCGGAGGCGTCAGAATCGAGGATGACCTCCTCATCACAGAGGACGGCTGCAAGGTTCTCTCCAACATTCCAAAGGAGATCGACGAGATCGAAGCTTTTATGGCAAAGAAGGAGTAAACATTTAACTTAGTAGTTTTTTCAGCAATTAATACTTCTAATGTTTTAATCATACAAAAAAAAGAACAAAATTTAAAAATTTCGGAATTTGATTAAGAAAAAAGTATCAATCTAGTTATCTATAGTTGGTTCTTGACTAATTTGAGATGAGTGTTTTAAATAGAATGCGTCATAAAAGAGAATGTGGAGTAAATACATCTGAGAATAATGAAAAAAAAATTTCATCATGGTGATAAGATAATTAGAAATGCACCAGATGATTTATTGATACAGGAATATGATAGTCATTCTATCCTTTGTTATTTTGTTCTTTTTTTTCGGAAATATTTATAAACTTGTTTGTAATTTTTTTATGAATTTTAGAAATTGACATTTTCATATCTTATTCATTCAAAGTTCACTATGCATTTCTGAAGCATATTGTTTCTATAACACCATTAATATTTTGATTCATTATGTAATAGAATTTGTCTAGTACATCATTTAGTGATGATATAATTTCTCATATCAGGTACTTACGAAAGATGATAATATGAAAAAAAGTTACAACAACAATTCGACACAACCATAATTTATAAGTTTTTGTTAAAATATAAAGAATGGATAGAATTGGGGAAAAATTGGATACTCATTAACTTAAACTGCTTTTCGAATGCTGGAATATTAGTTTTTTGCACCATTTAAAAGAAGAAGTTCAGCTATTTTGGTACTTTTTTGATTTGTCGCAATTTCAAGAGCCGTTTTTCCATTTTTATCTTTTTCATTGATATTAATACCATGTGAAATAAGAAGTTTGGCTGTTTCTTTACTATTCATCCATGCTGTTTCATGAAGAGCTGTTTTCCCATCTTTATCTTTTTCATTGATATTAATACCATGTGAAATAAGAAGTTCGGCTGTTTCTTTATAATTAAAACGTACTGCATAATGAAGAGCAGTTTCTCCATTTTTATCTTTTCATTGATATTAATACCATGCGAAATAAGAAGTTCGGCTGTTTCTTTATAATTAAAAACGTACTGCTGTATGAAAAGCTGTTTTCCCATTTTTATCTTTTTCATTGATATTAATACCATGTGAAATAAGAAGTTCGGCTGTTTCTTTACTATTCATCCATGCTGTTTCATGAAGAGCAGTTTTCCCATCTTTATCTTTTTCATTGATATTAATACCATGTGAAATAAGAAGTTCGGCTGTTTCTTTACTATTCATCCATGCTGTTTCATGAAGAGCAGTTTTCCCATCTTTATCTTTTTCATTGATATTAATACCATGTGAAATAAGAAGTTCGGCTGTTTCTTTACTATTCATCCATGCTGTTTCATGAAGAGCAGTTTTCCCATCTTTATCTTTTCATTGATATTAATACCATGCGAAATAAGAAGTTCGGCTGTTTCTTTACTATTCATCCATGCTGTTTCATGAAGAGCAGTTTTCCCATCTTTATCTTTTTCATTGATATTAATACCATGTGAAATAAGAAGTTCGGCTGTTTCTTTACTATTCATCCATGCTGTTTCATGAAGAGCAGTTTTCCCATCTTTATCTTTTTCATTGATATTAATACCATGTGAAATAAGAAGTTCGGCTGTTTCTTTATAATTAAAACGTACTGCATAATGAAGAGCAGTTTCTCCATTTTTATCTTTTTCATTGATATTAATACCATGCGAAATAAGAAGTTCGGCTGTTTCTTTATAATTAAAACGTACTGCTGTATGAAAAGCTGTTTTCCCATTTTTATCTTTTTCATTGATATTAATACCATGTGAAATAAGAAGTTCGGCTGTTTCTTTACTATTCATCCATGCTGTTTCATGAAGAGCAGTTTTCCCATCTTTATCTTTTTCATTGATATTAATACCATGTGAAATAAGAAGTTCGGCTGTTTCTTTACTATTCATCCATGCTGTTTCATGAAGAGCTGTTTTCCCATCTTTATCTTTTTCATTGATATTAATACCATGTGAAATAAGAAGTTCGGCTGTTTCTTTACTATTCATCCATGCTGTTTCATGAAGAGCTGTTTTCCCATCTTTATCTTTTTCATTGATATTAATACCATGCGAAATAAGAAGTTCGGCTGTTTCTTTACTATTCATCCATGCTGTTTCATGAAGAGCTGTTTTCCCATCTTTATCTTTTTCATTGATATTAATACCATGTGAAATAAGAAGTTCGGCTGTTTCTTTACTATTCATCCATGCTGTTTCATGAAGAGCTGTTTTCCCATCTTTATCTTTTTCATTGATATTAATACCATGCGAAATAAGAAGTTCGGCTGTTTCTTTACTATTCATCCATGCTGTTTCATGAAGAGCAGTTTTCCCATCTTTATCTTTTTCATTGATATTAATACCATGCGAAATAAGAAGTTCGGCTGTTTCTTTACTATTCATCCATGCTGTTTCATGAAGAGCAGTTTTCCCATCTTTATCTTTTTCATTGATATTAATACCATGTGAAATAAGAAGTTCGGCTGTTTCTTTACTATTCATCCATGCTGTTTCATGAAGAGCAGTTTTCCCATCTTTATCTTTTTCATTGATATTAATACCATGTGAAATAAGAAGTTCGGCTGTTTCTTTACTATTCATCCATGCTGTTTCATGAAGAGCAGTTTTCCCATCTTTATCTTTTTCATTGATATTAATACCATGTGAAATAAGAAGTTCGGCTGTTTCTTTACTATTCATCCATGCTGTTTCATGAAGAGCAGTTTTCCCATCTTTATCTTTTTCATTGATATTAATACCATGTGAAATAAGAAGTTTGGCTGTTTCTTTACTATTCATCCATGCTGTTTCATGAAGAGCTGTTTTCCCATCTTTATCTTTTTCATTGATATTAATACCATGCGAAATAAGAAGTTCTGCTGTATCTTTACTATTATAAAGTGCTGCAATATGAAAAGCGGTTCCTTCTTCATAAAGTTTTTTATTGATATCTACTCCTAATGAAAGGAAATATTCGCAAAGGGAAGGAATATTGAACATCGGAGAAAAAATAAAGCAGTCGATTAAAAAATGAGTTCGATCGAAAAAAACTAAAAATGAATCAAGATTAATATATTTTCCGCAATTATACAAGTCGATATATATTTTGTACTCATTCACTAAGAATGTTACAAAATCAATGTTGTGTGAAATAATTGCATATCTCATGCATTCATCATCTGGCTTATGATATTTCAAACATTCACTCATTATCTCTTGATTACCTCCTATAAATGAAAGTTCGAGACATCTTTTTGTTATTTCTAAGTCAAATTCTGTTCTTAAGAACTTGAAACAATCAACCGCTCCATAGTAACAACATAATTCAAGTAATGAAAGTTCATTTTCATTAGGAAATACTAAAGGTCTATTAAAATCTCTAAATAAGTTGCTTTCAAGTTTTTGATTTTCATTAAATCCTTCTCTTTCAGTGAAGGCAATGAATATTTGTAAGTCATTATTCATAATTGCTCAGTAAATTGTATTTTCCTTAAGAATGTCGAGATTTTCTGATTTAATTTTTTCGAAATCAGCATGCTTATCTAATTTAATGCCATACTCTTTGTAAAACAAAAGGTTTGAAACGAGATTAACATTGCGGACCTCTTTTATTTGATAATCATCTGATATGAGTTTGGCAAGATATAAATATGACTTTGTATAGCGATTATTATACGGAATGATATCCAAAATATCTTTTATTATAATTTGGGGAAGACGCTTCTTTAAATCAATCAAATTCGTTTTGATCATTTTGTAAATCGAGTTTAAATCTTCTTCTTTTTCCGTTTTCAGCTGATACAACGCATTGTATGAATCAATGTAGTATTTGTAGATACTTCGCAGTTTACTGTATTTGTTCAGATTACTGTCTTGATCAGACATTTGAAAATTTAAAAAGTAAAATATCACGAAAGAAATTGGGGAGAAGCTTCCTAAACTTTTTAATCCCATAAATATGGTCATTATCTGGAATAAAGAGTTAAGCGTCATATGTCACTTTTTGTACTAAGGAAACATCGACTTTATGCGTTATGACTTTTCGATGAGGAAACAAGTGTTCACGTATTATAAACTTCCTTATTCCAATAAACCGACCCTAAACATAATTAATTCTAAGCATGATAATGGTCTCTTTTCTATGATAACCAAATCAATTTGGTTATCATAGTAAAGCACCAAAAACTGGAATAGGAATCGGCAATATGGAATCATGAAGCAACTCGGATAAAATAAATATGGAACATTCATACATCCATTCCCTATTTTTAACCATATTATATTTTCAAACAAAATTCTCGTACTATTTTCAATAAAATTTGCATAACCTTGTTATTACTCTTAGGCGAAAGATGATTTTAATGTTAATTTTATAGAAGAACTTTTAATGCATAATAAAATAACCATTTCCTATAAATTTAGACTTAAAACGGTGACAATAAACAAGCTTTAGTCTAGAAATTAATTTTCTACTACTATAAATGCATCTTTATCTTTAATTAGAAAAAAATTTATCAATTTTATTATCCAGATGAAAAAAGAAGTGACATATGATATTTTATCTAATTTAAAATCTTTTATTGATTGTTTTTAAAAACTTTGCATTTTGTATGAGTATTTCATGTTTAAATCAGTATAAATACGCAAAATACTTATGAAATTCCAGCTGTTATTCAGTACTATTCATTTTTCAGCAATCATTAACTGTGGAAGAGTATGGCAAACGTTCGATAATGATCATGTATACTCAGATCAGCAAGAATGAATTAAAGTCAATGCAGGGAAATGGATAATCCGATTAAAAACCCAAAAAAGGAAAAAGATATTATATGAATGTCTCACAAATGGTTAGTACTAAGCTCTTTCCTGATGATTGAATATTCTTTCATATTTTTGTATATTGTAAGGGATTTTCTCCCCAAATATATAATACCTTCCTTATAAACGATCTACTTTCTTTGAATACAAGTATAATTTTACATTTTAGGAAAAAAAATTATTTTTTCAAATTTATCTTATAACAATAGAGATTTATATATGTATGTGTCAATATAGGCTTTAGTGGTATAAAATTGGGTAGATTTTGTTTTATTTTGAGTAAAAAAATCAAAAAATACTACCTCATTTTGCGTGCAAAGGAATAGTCAGAGCTATTTAATAACATTTTACGAATGAACTATGGAATTACTATAACTTTTGAAGAAATTTCAAAGTTAATAGAAGATTGTATTTTAGAAATCAGCTAAAAGAATGATGTGCATGCATCAAGCGTTAAAGTATCCTAATCAGAATATAGTAATATACAATGATTAGCAAAGCAGATTTGAATCGGCAAGAAGAGTTGCTTAAAAAATCAGTTGAGTCTTCTCTAGTTTCCACACTGCCTATTCCTGTTTAAGTGCGGTTATTCCTATTCCAGTTTTTGGTGCTTTACTATGATAACCAAATTGATTTGGTTATCATAGAAAAGAGACCATTATCATGCTTAGAATTAATTATGTTTAGGGTCGGTTTATTGGAATAAGGAAGTTTATAATACGTGAACACTTGTTTCCTCATCGAAAAGTCATAACGCATAAAGTCGATGTTTCCTTAGTACAAAAAGTGACATATGACGCTTAACTCTTTATTCCAGATAATGACCATATTTATGGGATTAAAAAGTTTAGGAAGCTTCTCCCCATTGATTAAAATGCGATACACTATTCTCTTGTGGTATAATTGCTTTGCAGAGTCAAAAGTTATGAAAATTTCATATTAGATTTTAATATTTTTGCCCATATGTATGAGGGGAAGTGTTCATTATAATAAACTCAATTATAATTAAATTTCATTTTCTAAGAAAAAACAAGGCAGACATGTAGAATTTCTAATTGGTAGAGGTTCAAGGGCGGGTCGCCTTAATTTTTTTATTTATAATAATAAAGACTCTTATTTCCAGACTATACTTGAAACCATTGAGAAACATACAGAAGTACAGTCTCAAAAATTTTGAATCATCAACACAATAAATTGAATGACCGCTGGGTTTCATTCAATTAAAAATGGTACCAAACAATATATCATGCAAGATATTGCGAAATATTTTTGATAACTTGTAAAAAAAGTGTAAACTTCAGAATACACAATAATATGTTGTTTGGATATTATATATAGTTACAAATATTATTGTCACTCAAAAATCACGATATCGATTTATCTCGAAAAATAGCCTTGAAATGTGTATTAATTTTACTACGTATAAGCATTATATTATATGCTAGTGGACTTATTGCAATCGTCCCTATTAAACATGTATATATGTTCCTCCAAAGTTCTTTCAATTTCATTGAAAGGGAGGAAAAAGCTGTAATATACTTGTGATCAGTGAAAAATCTTTGTAAACTTATGAGTTAAAAAGTGACAGATTTAGATGTGTAAAGAAATTGATAGTGATTCAGGAACAAGAGAATCGATTTCATCAAGGACAACTAAGTCTACTACAACATACTCACTTCCAAGCCCCGAAGAACCACCAAAACAGATAATCGACCAAATAAGATTACCTGATCATACAACAGGATTAGGAGGAGATCCCTATAAGATCACTCTACAGAATGATTTAGGTGATTTAGACATTTCAGATCTCTCAGGAAAATGAAAATCTACAACAATAACGTAATTGCCTTCATTTTACAATAATATACTTACTTTGTACATGTTATCTAAGCTATAATATACTTCGGTTTATTTGTTTTTTGTATTTTCTTATAAAAATAAAATTTTTGTTTTTTTGAAATTTTCAAAAATTTTCAACAATTACTAATAATATACAATTTATTATACTAAAACAAGCAAAAAATAATATAAAAATAAAGTTCATTCCTGTGACATATTCAAGATATCGAGTAAAGTATCTTTGTCATCTCTATCTTTTTCTTTCTCTTTGTGAGCGTTGTCATAAACGATGTCATTTGGTACATCATCGTAAGAGTCATCACTTTCTGCTCTCGGAATCTGAGTGAACATTGTCAACTCTTCTTCTGAGATGATTTTCTTTTTCTGAGGTTTATCTTGGTATTCGTTATTTGGTGTTTTTGTCATTCTTCTCAAATCTTTCATTAATGTTCCAAACATTTGTTTTTCTTCCATTTCTTTCTTCTTTTTCCTTTCTTCTTCCTCTTTCTCTTTTCTTTGTTTTTCTTCCAATTCCTTCCGTTTCTTTTCTTCTTCGATTTCTCTCATTTTTTCTATTTCTTCTCTCCTTCTTCTTTCAAGTTCTTCCTCTTTCTTCCTCTTTTCTTCTTCAGTTTCTCTTTGTTTCCTATTTTCTTCTTCAATTTCTCTTTGTTTCCTCTTTTCTTCTTCAATTTCTTTTCTTCTTTTTTCTTCAAGTTCCTTTTGTTTTCTAATTTCTTCTTCTTTTCTTCGTTTTTCTTCTTCAATTTCTTTTCTTCTTTTTTCTTCCAATTCTTTCTTTCTTTTTTCTTCTTCAATTTCTTTTCTTCTTCTGATTTCTTCTTCTTTTCTTTTTCTTTCTTCTAATTCTTGTTGTCTTCTGATTTCTTCTTCTTTCTTTCTCTTTTCTTCTAATTCTCTTTGTTTTCTTTGTTCTTCTTCGAGTTTGTTGATGTGATCTAGTTGAGATTTAAGAGAAAGTTGAGTGTTTTGATGAGAAAGATCTGATTCAAATGTTCCAGAACTTTGTGAAATATATTGCTGAATTTCAGGACAAATAACTTCATCATCTGATGAAAGGAAATCAATTGTTTGTTCTTGATTTCCTTGTTGTTGTTGTGATTCAACTGGTGTTGTATCTGGTGTCAGAAAATTCACTTTTTTCACACCTTCTGTTGGTTCAATTTTTTGTGTATTTTCACTTCTCTTTTTCTGACTAACTATAACAACACTTCCATCATCAGAATCATCATCATTAAACTTCTTGTCACTTTTCTTAAAACTGTCACTTTTATAAGTATTGTCACTTTTCAAGAAATTGTCACTTTTATAAGGATTGTCACTTTTGTTATTTGTGTTGTCAGTTTTTTGTGATTTTTCAGTTTTGTTGTTAGAAGAAGATTTTTGAGAAAAGTCACTTTTTTGATTATAATTTGCAGATACAATTTTAAGGGGTCTACTCAATATTACGTGATTCAATGATTCATCGTCATCAGATTCGTCTGAGATGAAATTTTGTGCAACTCTTTTGATCTCTTCTATATTTTGAGTTGTCACTTTTTGTGGTTGATTTTTTGCCAAAATTACTTGACTTAAATCAGCATCATCACCATCATTTGCCCACAACTCAAGAGCATCAACACTAACAACTGTTATTCCCCATTTCAATGCCATTTCGTATTTACTTCCACTCTGTTTATTAGCTATTAAATATGACACCTTTTTTGTCAAATTTTTTGAGTGAACAGCACCGATCATATTTATTCCCTCAATTACATTGAGAAGTACTTGGCCATCAGTGAAACCCGTTGTTGATATCAGTGTTCCTTTCTTCATTTCTTTCGGATTTTTTGGCGGAATAAATAATGGAAATTCTCTTTGATCCAAAATTGATCCTGATTCGATACAACTCACAAGCCAACAAATAGATCTGCAGTTTCCTGTTCCATCGTCTCTGTCAGAAATTGTTATTCCTTTGCCAACAGATCCGCTGTTTTCTCTGATCATTTTTCCAACTTCGCGGCTCTTTTTCGGATCTCTGAAGTCGATTTTGAACGACTTGTCATGGAACAATGTTGATGAAACACATGGTGGAGCGTTTGGTTGAGGATTTCTCTCGGATTCAATTTCTTTGATCGCATCTGGAGAGAAAAACATCAGATTCCTGCGTAATGAGATCTGAGCAATGGTAGAGGTTGGTGTTTCGCATGTAATTACGCAGTTTGTTTGTGTTGTAAGGCCATCTGATGCAATTCCACCGTTTTCGGTAATGACATGAGCGAAATGAGCTTGCTCATCACGTACTCCGGTGAAGGCGAATACTAATCCTGTTAGTAACTTAATCATATGATTGTCTGGAGGAATATATTCATTTGATGACTGTAAATCATCAAACCAGCTCGGTAAAACGCACTTAATTTTTTGTCTTTGAGCAAATAATGTTCGTTCTGTTTGTGAATTATTAGTAATTAGAACATTTGTATATTTATTTAATCTGTTATCGACAAGTCCACCCATTTGGCGTACTAACACTTTGTATTTTTGACGAATAATACAATTCAATCCGGAAAATGCGACGTGTGTGTTGTATAAATGTAAATTTATCAGTCCGCAATCAGGAATTGTTATTTCCTTGAGAGTCATTCCTTTTTCTGCTATATTTTGAAGCGCGGTGATAGACAAAGGAGGTGGATTTTTTGATACATGTTGTTCAAATTCAGAAATTCCGACAATTCGAAATCGACAACTTGTAAATTCATCTGATATAATAGATGCCCCATGGAATTCTTTTTCTATCTCCGATATTGCAAAATCCCTATCTGACTGTTTTAGTTCGCGAGAAACGAAAACATTCATCAATTCCTCGGGGAACTAAAATTACTTCCTCTTTTTTTTTTTGAACTTCTACCATTTTATAACTTTTTTGTAAAATTTGTTTTTACTATAGTTATATATCATATGAAGTTTTCCACTTTTTGCCACTTATCATAGACAATTGAAGATCATGATGTTTTCAATTTGTTAAAGATATTCATTAATTCAAATTTTTGACAACTCGCGTGATGCGTCATTGAAGGCCATGTCATAGAGGTGTAAGTTCATCCTAAAAAATGGTGTGAAGAAATACCTTTATTGTTATTTCCTATTACATTACTAGATTTTAGTCATCAATAGCTTGTTAAAATACAATTTTATACATATACGGATATTGGCTTGCTTGAAAATATGAGAATTATAATATTTTCGAGATTTCCAAATTATATTAATTTGTAAAATAGGAGTTAGAACATAAAATCCACAACCTAAGCTCCTAATATGAATCTAACAATATGTATCCAAATAGTTTATCCATATTCATTTCCGTAAGAATAAGGGTTTCGTTTTGCGAAAAAAACGTACAATACGCAATTTCGCTAAAAAACATTTAGCTAGCAATTTCGACCTTTGACTCCACTCAAGACGTCACTTTTTTAATTTTGCGGTATCATATTTTTGGAAAATCTTTATGAATATTATATAAAAAGTCTCTTTAATATCTATATTTCATATTTTTATCGATTTTTCAAGTTTTTGCGAAAAGTATTCAATTATTTTTGCTATTTTGTCGGGTAAATGTCAGATTTGCGACATTTTCTGATATGATATTCAGATTCTACGTTGATAATAATGCTTATAGAACCCTCTTGCTATTGTGTCAAAATTGCGAAACCGATAGCAAAAATATCTCGCAATATCAAAATTGAGATATTGAGTGAATTATGCATTATAGAGATTAAAAATCTGATTTGTGAAAACATCTCATCAGTTTCTAGCTAATTCAAAAATCTTTACTATCTTATTCGATTAAAATGAAAAGGGAATAGTTTCATTATGCTTTAAATGACAGCCTTATAATATAATCATAGTTTTCGCTCAATATGCAGCATTTTTTTTTCGAAATCTATGGTCAATATCCTAAATACTGATTGCTTTGCATTCATATCTCTTACATTTTCTATACCCACATCACTATTCATTGCTATTCCTATCTTTTTTATTTTTGTTTGTTTCTCATAATTTCTCAAAAAACATGATAACTTGATATTTGTAAATATCATACTTTATAACGTAAATAAGAACTTGACCTATTAAGAAAAGCAGTAATGAAAAGAAAATCTGAAATTCATAAAAATTACAAGTTTCTGATGACAATTAGCTTAATTAAACCAGGTACAAGATTATATAATTGTATTTTCTATCCAATTATCCATATAATATCTTATCCAGAAAAAATAACTTGATCAATACCAAATGATTTTTTAACTAGTAAATAAAGTATTTTCTTTACACACACATTGTATATCATAGTTTTTTTTTTGGTTTCGCAAAACATCCAAAAACAAATATGCTATAAAAGTGACAATTTTAGCAAAACGAAACCCTTAGTAAGAATCGAATGGCCTTCATAAAATTTATCTAAACAGAATTAGTATTTGAATGATAGAGCTTTGAACCAAGAACTTTAGAAAAACCAATAAGAAACTGTGCGTTCAGAGATATAGGGAAAATTGTGAATTTATATTTTCACTTTGGGATTGCTTTTTAGCTTCGTAAAAACGTATTAAGGAAAGATATATCATGAATTTTTTATTAAAAATATAAAGATAATAGGAGTGGGGGACAAACTCGCCCATTGTCACTTTTCATTAACCTTAAACTTGTAATTTTCATTATTTTTAATTAACCTTATTTCTTTCCCAATTCCTGATTTATTTTATTCACTTACTATTAAAAGTCACATTTTAATAAAATATAATAATTTATTTATAGCATTTTTTACTATACTGTAATAAAAAATTAATTATAATAAATTAAATGTTTATTAAATCAAATGTTTTCTTTGCAATAATATTTTTAATGTTGAGTAAACAATGTTGGGATCAAGTGTATCATTTTTCAGACCTTTCTGAACAGCTTCAAGCATACTGATGCATTCGACTTTTTAAATTGTGTCATTTCTTCGAAATCTCTTGTGACTTTTTTGATAACTTTAACACTTCTCTCTGAATCCAGACCTTTAATTTGCAACTTAATCAGGAATGAAGGAACAACACTGGAATATAACTCGATGACAAGTTCATCGAGTCGAAGATTTGGTTGTACACCACTTGTATGTGCCGGATACCATTGTGTCAAATTTTTCTGAAATTAACTTTAAAAGTACTAAGTAAGATCATTTATTTTTGCATAATATAATGCCAATATGGTTTCTTTTGATTTTATTTCATTTATAAGCAAATCAGATTTACCCAAAAACTCCACTCCATAAGCGTTCATTTGCTAAATTAAAAAGTGACAATGGGCTAGTCTGTCCCTTTCTCAGATAATAGAATGAAAAATAAAAATTCCTAACTGATGAAGAATTTGAAAGGTGGAAGATGATAAGCTGAATACGCCATATATCAACATATATATTATTGTTGTAATTTTACGGTGATGTTTTTCAATTTAAAGTAAAAATTGTGAAGTATACAACGCTGAAAACCGTTCCGGTGAACCTCTCATATTGAAAATGTATATGTTTATTCAATTTGAATTGATCCGAAGTTTGAGTGATTATAGTATATTCAATGGCTTCATTAAAAATTGCTAATAATTTTTTTTAATATAAAATCTGACAGTGGGTTCATTTTGATAAAATGTTTCTCAATCTTCTTCCCTTTATTCACCTCGATTTGGGAAGGAACGATTACCTTATTAATGGTACAACAACATTTAAACTTCCGAAATCTTACCACGTCGGAATTCTTCCCAATGAAACTGAAGGATTCACATTTGAAGACTCAGAGAATAACACATATACTGATTTCCCAATTATTTTAACTATTGGAACTCATTTAATTATAACACCTTCACAAGAAACAGGAGCTAAAAAGATTTCAATTATTGCAGCTCCTATATACAAAGAATGCGATGAAAGAAGGTTTATCTTAGATGGTTTCATGAAGACAGATGAAACAGTTGGTTATTATAAGGAACCAAATTGTTACATTTTTATGAATCCAAAATTCGATAATATATCAGTACAAGTAATTTCTAACACCCCTATTGGTCGCTTGAAATATGGAACTGGTGAAAATCCAATTGCTAGAGAATACTATGATCCAATTATCGGATCATCGGCAACACTCATGATTCAAGATTATGCAGATAGCTTTGTCCAAATGACTATGATAGACAGCAATATCTTTGATGTTGGTGATTTCGAAATTTCATTTAAAGATGAATATGAATTTCACATTCCTCCAAATTCTGTCTTTGTTGCACACACAATTAAAGATTACATATTCGAATCTGATAAAGAACCTATTGCAGATGGTGTTTTCTTTGACAAAGATTCAAGATATTCAGTTAAGGCCAAAAAGCCAGGAAAGAACACAATCGTTGGTAGTATTTCTGTTATTAGCCCATACGTACCATGTACAGAGCTCAACGTTGAAATTGTACGCAGTGAAACATCAACAATTTTCGGAGCAATAGATTCAGACTATACAATTGATGAAGATTCCACCTTCTGCCATATATTCACTTCTCCAGTTCCTCGTCGTTACAAATTTGTAATTCAAGGACAATATAATTTGGCTTACATTTCAAATCCGTATTCAACTGATGAGAATGATTTCTCTGATTACAGAGGCTTCCCATACATTAACAAATCAGCTATTTATTACCTAACTGTTTCTCATGACTTAAATATTAAATCAGGTCTTGAAACAACAAATATTGTCACGCCATACCATGATTTTCCAGATTGCAGAGATGGAGAAACCCTGAAAATCTATGGAAATATTCCAAGAAACCCTAAACCAGCAAAACCCTTCAAATTACCTGACGGACTACGCAATGTCAACTACTTAACTGGTAGGTATCAAATAAATATTCCTTCTGAAGGTGCAAATATCACATTCCAGATGAATTCCATTGTCATATTTCATAATGCTCATTCATTTAAAGGAACCCTTGGACAAGATCCTGTTTTACACGACACAGGAAACTATGTCTTCAACTTCACTGATATGATTAATTATTTCAAAATCAAACCAGTGAAGAATCAAAGTTTAATTGCAAATATTTCAGTTTTAGTCTATAAAATTAAGGGCTGTCCTCCAGCAACAACAAATGATGTTATTGTTGTTTCTCCTAATCACCCTGTATCATTCACCGTTTCTCCAGAATCTCAATTTGGTTCTAATTTGACTTATGACAAACGTCAATCAGTCAAATTTAATGTCTTTGCATCATCAGCATTCTACTATACAGTAGATTCAGATACAATCTATAATTGCTCAGAATATTGGTGGTATGGAACGAATTTTGAAGGGCATGATTACAGAATTTCTGAATTCAGAACAGTGACAACAATTGATCCAGAAACTGAAGAGATTTATGGTTTGTTCCGTGGAGCTCTATCTTACACAGATCTCAAAAAGTCTCATTTTAATGGATATCGTACTCCTAAAGTTTATACATATGGAAACGAATATTATCCACCTGATAATTACTACAACTATCCAAAATTTGAAATATCGGCTGTATTTATTATTGGAATTACTATTCCAATTATCATTGCAATTGTTGTTGCGGCTTTCCTCATAGTTGTATGTATCAGAAGAAGAAGGAAGAGTTATGCAAATGTGACTTATACTGAAACAAATTATATGAATGAAAATGAAGCTGCTCAAGAACAAATTTATGTGAAATATGGTGAAGATGATTCTGAGCAAAAAGTTGATAGGCCGGCTTCAACTAAAGCCCAAGCTAAAACTCCATCTTTGGAAACTCCATTGAATCCTATTGCGCAACCTCCACCTGTCTATATAATCATCCAACCTGGACAACCAGGTCCGGCTCCAAACCCTTACACTTAACTTATTTTGCGAGTAATTGGTATTTTAATTATTTAATGATTAAAACATTTCATATACGTATCTATTTGAATACTTATTTATTTTGGAAGTTCATTTAATATTAAATTAAATTGGCAAGCCATATTGTGAACTATATATATAGTATTATATAATAACTTTTTAACGACCAAAAATACTAACTCTTCGCCTTTGAAATAGTGACCTTATCGGTGCATTTATCACTTTTTGACAACCTCTCATAAAATCATATCATCCTGATTGCATTGTACACAATCATAGCATTTCTTAGCTGTGGTATCTGATAATGCATTATTTATTTTCTTTAATCTCACTTCGAATTATATTCTATATTTTTAGCCATTCAATTTTTAGCGTTAAAAGTGACACATCAAAAAATTTTCACAAAGTATGTCAAGTTCTGAGGAGTCACGAAATGAAACTGGATGTGATTTTAATGACATCAAACCAATTAAAGTATTCGAATACCCAGATCAAGCATCAAAAATTATATGGGTGTCGATTCCAATAATATTTTACAAACATCTTCACAAATTATCGAATTAATTGCAAATAGCAAAATATCTATCCAAATGGCGCTATATTTGATTGATATTATTTCACAAATTCGTGTTAAAGAAATTAAATTATTTTCAGAACTTTATCAAAAGATATCAAACGCATTTTCATACATCCATGAACCAGAAAATAAGATATTAGCAACACTTTTACATTTTCAAATTTAAATACTTCGAACCTGAAATAGAAGAAGAAGAAATTCTGAATTTATATTCAACAGAATCTCCTTTATACTATATTGCATGGGACAAAGTTGATGATCTTAAGAGTAAATTCCCAAATCTTGATGTTAATCAGAAGATTAATGATATCAAACCTCTTGACTGCGCAATTAAATACGGATCAGAATTATGTTTCAATTACTTGAAAAATTTAGGATCTCAATACACTAAATACTCCAAAAAGTATGCTGTTCAAGGTGGAAATAAAGAGATTTTTATGCAAATGATAGAAGATGGTAAATAATTTGATAACATGATTAATGCAGCATTGGATTATCGAAACTATGAAATTGCTGAGTACCTTAAATCAAATTTTGGACAAACATTTAATTCAATAGCAGAAAGTATGTATTTCGGAAATTATGATATTGCATCTTATTTACTTTCTAATGGAGGAAATATCAACAAAATTTATAATATCTTTCTTTTCATGTTTATTATTGTTTTATTCGATTTTCTTTCTCTTCATATTTATCATTGTTTTATAGAATTGTCTTTCTTTTCATATTTATCATAATTTTATTGGATTCTCTTTCTTTTCATATTTATCATTGTTTTATGATATTATCTTTCTTTTCAAATTTATCATTATTTTATGATATTATCTTTCTCTTCATATTTATCATTTTTTAATAAAATTATCTTTCTCTTTATATTTATCATTGTTTTATGGCATTATTTTTCTTTTCATATTTATCATTGTTTTATTACATTATCTTTCTTTTCATACTTATCATTGTTTTATGACATTATCTTTCTTTTCATATTTATCATTGTTTTATGACATTATTTATCTATTCATATTTATCATTGTTTTATGACATTATTTATCTATTCATATTTATCATTGTTTTATGACATTATTTATCTATTCATATTTATCGTTGTTTTATGACATTATCTTTCTTTTGATATTTACCATTGCTTTATCGCATTATCTTTCTTTTCATATTTATCATTGTTTTATAATGTTCTCTTTTCTATCATGTTTAACATTGTTTCATGAAATTTTCTTGATAGTAATAAATGCCCACTTAGTATTGCAATTCAACGGAATTCGATAGAACTTGTTAAATTCTTAGTTGAGCACGGTGCTGATGTTAACATTAAACTTATTCTCTTAGCTTTCATATTTATCGTTGTTTTATAGAATTGTCTTTCTTTTCATATTTATCATTATTTTATGAAATTCTCTTTCTTTTCATATTTATCATTGTTTTATTACGTTATCTTTATCGTCATATTTAGCATTGTTTTATCACATTATCTTTATCTTCATATCTATTATTGTTTTATGACATTATCTTTCTCTTCATATTTATCATTGTTTTATGACATTATCTTTCTATTCATATTTTTATTTGTTTTATGAAATTCGATTTCTTTTCAAATTTATCATTATTTTATGAAATTTTCTTTATATTTATATTTATCATTGTTTTATGAAATTTTCTTTATATTTATATTTATCATTGTTTTATTGGATCCTCTTTCTTTTCATATTTATCATTGTCTTATTGGATTCTCTTTCTCTTCATGTTTATCATTGTTTAATAAAATTCTCACTATATTAATGAATGTCCTCTTAGTATTGCCATCGAAAATAATTCAATTGAAATTATCCAATTCTTAGTTGAGCATGGTGCTGATGTTAACATTAAACTTATTCTCGATCTTTTCATATTCATCATTATTTTATGAAACTCTTTTACTCTTCATATTTATCATTGTTTTATCACATTCTTTTTCGCCTCATATTTTTCATTGTTTTATGACATTTGATCTCTTTCCATATTTCACATTGTTTTATAGAATTCTCTTTCGCTTCATATTAGTCTTTGTTTTATTGTATTCTCTTTCTCTTAATATTTATCGTTATTTTATTATATTCTCTTTCTATTTATTGGATTTTCTTTCTTTTCATATTTATCATTATCTTATGGAATTTTCTTGCTATTTTCATTTTTCATTGTATTATGGAATACTCCTTCTCATCATGTAAATCATTACTTAAACAAATTCTCTATCACTTAACATTTATCATTTTTTTATAAAATCCTGTTTGTTTTCAAATTAATCATTACTTAATCAAATTCTCATTATCTTCATATTTATATTTGTTTTATGAAATTCTCTTGTTTTTCATATTAACCATTGTTTTATTACATTTACATTCTCTTCATGTTTATCATTGTTTAATAAAATTCTCATAATATTAATGAATCTCCTCTTAGTATTGCCATCAAAAATAATTCAATTGAAATTATCCAATTCTTAGTTGAGCATGGTGCTGATGTTAATGCGAAGCTTATTCTCTTTCTTTTTATATTTATCTTTATTTTATGAAATTCTTTGTCTGTTCATATTTATCATTAATTTATTGGATTCTCTTTCTCTTCATATTTTTCATTGTTTTATTACATTCTCATTCTCTACATATTTTTCATTATTTTATGAAATTCATTTCCTTTTCATATTTATCATTGTTTTATCGCATTATCTTTCTTTTGATATTAACCATTGTTTTATACAATTCTATATCTTTTCATATTTATCGTTGTTTTATAGAATTCTTTATCTTCTCATATTGATTATTGTCTTATTGGATTCTTTTTTCCCTCATATTTAACATTGTTTTATTGGGTTCTCTTGATATTAATGAAAGCCCTCTAAGTATTGCCATCAAAAATAAATCAATCGAAATTATCCGATTTTTAGTTGAGCATGGTGCTGATGTTAATATGAAGCTTATTCTCTTATTATTCATATTTATCATTATTTTATGAAATTCTCTTTCATTTCATATTTTTCATTGTTCTATGGAATTTTCATTCTCTTTCTCTTCATATTTATCATTGTTTTGTTGGATTCTCTTCCTTTTCATACTAATCATTATTTTATGGAATTCGCATTCTTTTCATATTTATCATTGTTTTATGCCATTATCTTTCTTTTCATATTAATCATTATTTTATAGAATTCTCTTTTCTATCTTGTTTATCAATGTTTAATGAAATTCTCTCGATAGTAATGAATGCCATCTTAGTATTGCCATCAAAACTGGTGCAACAGATATTATCGATTTCTTAGTTGAGCATGGTGCTAAAAATGTCTAATAATTCGATTTTCAGTAGCAATATTCTATATTGAAAAAGATATAGTAACATATGCTTTATTACAGAATAAACATCTCATAATAATTTAATGTTAATTTACTGCATTATTACACTCAAATTTAAAGATGGTACATGTTTGAAGGATTAAACAATCGTTTTTCAACCTATTACGTTGTGACGCCTTGTAGCATCGAACCCAGTGTTTACCCAAAATCTTAATAATAAAATATCCCTTCTAATTAATTTGAAAACAAAAATCATTACTTTGCACAGATTCCTTTGAGACATTTGAAGAGTATAATCTTCGATTTGGCAAACCCAAATTTTAGCTAAAAGTGACAGGGAAAAAAAACGTTTAGTATTAAAAAAAAAGACCGATGAGAGCTTCGTTCGAAATATAGAGGGAACTGAGAATGCGCAACCATTCTCAGGGAATATTGGATGCTATTCCCGTTCCCTCTGTATGGAAAATTGAGGTTTTCAAAGGGAGTTAAAATAATATCAAATTTATACTAATTTACTTCAAAATACAAAAGTATTTGACAGCTAAAATTAGTTACTTTAGCAAGCCTATCAATACCCTTTTACGATTATTGTTACTTTTTCGAAATAAAAGTAAAAACAAATTTATACTAATTTACTTCAAAATACAAAAGTATTTGACAGCTAAAATTAGTTACTTTAGCAAGCCTATCAATACCCTTTTACGATTATTGCTACTTTTTCGAAATAAAATAAATTTATTATCAAAAACCTTTTTTTTCTTAGTAAAAATAAACGAAATTTTTTACCTTATGAACTTTTGATGGAAATATGCAAATTTAAAATAATAAAGAAAGCCGCGAGCGAAGCGATCGGCTTAGTTCGAAGATTTTGATTCAAATCTTTGCTGATCTGTAATTCGCGGAAGCCGCGAGCGAATCGAGCGGCTTAGGTCTAAGATTTTGATTCAAATCTTTGCTTATATTCCTTAAATTCTTTATGAAACTCGCAACAGTTCCATAAAAAATTTTAAATTCTAAACTGTCGAAATTACCGATCGGTAATCACACCATTCACGGGTGTGTCGCTTTTTACAGGCGTGTCACTTTTAGCTAAAATTACCCCTACTCTCTTCGATTTTGTGGAATTTACTGTGCTTACTTTCAATATTATGTATACTACATATTAATGATTTAAAATTGGCATCAGTATCAATGCAATGATGGAAGATATTTTAATGTCCCCCAAAATAAGCTAAAAATCTGCCAGCTAAAAACGGTTATTTCCCCTCAAAAAATGGTAAATCTGGTAGTTTTTCGCTTTCAAAAAAATCATTAATTCTCAGACATACGATTATTTTTGATTCAAATGCTGTTCGGTATTAAAAGCAAAAATAATCATATGCCCGAGAATTACACTTTTCCGACATTTTTGGGTCGCTTCGCGCCCCTGACAAAACGTCGGAAAAGTGTAAATTTTATGATATATAGGAAGAGAATCAGAAATAGAACATATATAATAAGTATGAGACAAAAAATGGAAACATCATTTAAATCTCACGTTTCTGCCATTAGCTAGCCCCAAAATTTTTGGCTAATTTTGGGAACATTATAAAGTCTTTTCAGGGGGGTTATACCGTGATATTAGCCTTGTACTGAAAAAAAGTGACGGGCAATGCCGTAAAATAATATTTTATTAAAAAATTTTTGGTGGAGAATTGGAAAATTTTTGTTGGAAAATTGGAAAATTTTCCTAATCATTTGGATATAACCTGGCATATTAGGGAGTTTTGTCAACAACTCAGTGCTGGGATCAAGATAGTTTGTAATCCAAAAGTAGAAACGTTCCTTGGTGTCTTGTTCTGGCTTCCTGCAAAATCTGTGATTTGCAGGATTCTTCTTAATATTGTCAGAAATTGCGCAAATCATGTCCATCGTCGTCAATTCTTCACCATTGATGTTAAAACGATTTCGATTACGGTAATTTCTTTTCTCTTGCAATTCTTTTTCTGCAGGAGTCAATTCACGAACATACTTATTATGTTTGAGAGCTTCTACAGAACAAGGGCAAAGACCGCAGGCGGCGGCAGCATTTTGAACCGTTCTTAATGATACTGATTCTTGCCATGCGCTAATAAATGAGTAGATAATGGCGTAGCGCATCATTGCAGCATTGCTGTTGAACTCTTGCTTCGGTGCCTTAATGTAATCTCTCAGATAATATCCGTGAATTTGGACTTTAATCTTTTGGCAATGCCAACATCAAATACTTGTAAAATGTGTGTTGTATGTGCGGGAAGAACAATTAATTTGATGTTGGCACTTGCCAAAAGGAACAATGCCAGAGGATTCTCGCGGCTGGAGTGTCCATCACACACAATGAGAGCAGGCTTGTCACGTATATCTTCTGGCATTCTCTGGCGTTCAAAGTTAAGCCACTCGATGAAGAAAATGCAATACAATAAGAATACACTTCTGTTCACCCAGCCTTTTGGCGTAGAAGTAAACCAACAATGTCTTTCGCGCTGGAATACTTTCAGTTCTCTAGGTAGTTCTGCAATACATGGGAGAACAAAGAGAGGTGGGACAGATTTGCCTGTCATTGAGCATCCGCATAAAGCTGTAATGTGCGGAAAGTTTGGAATTCCTTTGGCGATCATATGCTCTATCTCCTCAGGTAATGCAACTTTCTTCTTCTTAAATTTGTTTATGAATGTTTCATCGATACTAAAAATCAACTCCTCTGGAGTACTTTCGATTGTTTCACGATGTTTATCGTAGAATTCTTCGATAATTCTTGGTTCACACGCCATGTATCTTGATTCTTCAATCTCTTGGCATGCCTTAAGCTTGCAATGCAATTGCTGTAAAATATGGTTAACATAAGGTCTCGATACATCATCACCACCAAGAGTATTGATAACTTCTTCTGCAAGAGTAGGACAATTAATCTCAAGAAGGAATCTGTAACCATAATCTCTTCTGAGCTCTTTCAACTTGAACGCCTCGTCAATAATGTCAGCGGCTTCTAGAGCTTCACCTTTGTAAGCAGAATCTTCGATAATTTCTTTTAAAGTGAGCTGATCACGCTCGCATAGGTATGGATCTGCACCGCCATGATTCCCTTTTTCCCAGTATAGACCTAATGCAGCTCTTTTAAGTGCAGGAGCAATGAGATTGGATGTTAAAGTTCCGAGATCTGGGTATTCTTCCTCCCATGCAAGCTTAGTTTGACTATATGTCATACCTTCGGCGCGACAATTGATGATAAACTTTTGTTGTCTATCAAGAAATTCGACTGTGAGAAATTCCATTTTTAATTTTAAACGAGCACTTGAGCCACGTTTTATCTGACTTCACCAGCCAAAAAGCCCCTGTACTAAGTGTCATGTTTTTGTATATTTTAAAGTTTCTGCCATGTAATGGTTTACATTGCAAATTTTTGAATACTTTACATCACCATAAAATGGCAGTACAAGGCTAGTTTATCGGTACAAGGCTCTTGAAATGACTTTATAAGCTGACATTCCGAGAGAGGGTCAAAGTTGCTATTTGTCACTTTTCCACAAGAATATAATGGGGAAAAAGTTATCATATAGTTGATCTCATTCACTGAGGTGAGAGATGCATGTAGTGTAATGTTATAAACAGTGGGATTGCTGCTCTAAGTCCTAGGTTCGAGACACATTGGCTTCATTTTTCTCTTTTTTATTGACGTAAACTATTCAATTTTTGTGTTCTCCATTCAAATTTCAGAATTTTTTTTGCAGATTTCACGCTACATTCGAAGTTACCTTTTGTAACAACCACCACTGCCTACGAAAGACGAAAGTGTGTCACGATTTCACCCGGAAATCCGACGGTTGTTTAAGAGTATGCACTTTTGTCACCTACTCCTGACATTCCCACTTTACATTGTCAAAATTAAAAATCGTTTCTGATTAATAGTTCAGATTGGATGTAGTTTGCTTAAAAGTATATTTATTGGAAATTCAAATTGTTTCTTTAGTTTTGGACAAGCTGTCCAGCATTTCGAAAATCTATGAGATTTTTACTTATTTTATAAATATTTAAGTTTGTTATTATAAGCAGATGTCAAAGGAGTATGATATTCAAATCATTTTTTTTCCCAAATATTGGAAAAACCTCTGATGAAAAAAAAATCTAAACGCAAAAAATAATGGAAAAAAGTACAACTACGTTCAGTCCATCCAAGTCGATCAACATTAACGTAGATGTGACTGGAGACGTTAAAACAAAGCAACAAGTTCAAGAACTTCGCCAATTGCTTCAAGAAAGAATGACCGAATTTGGATTACTCCAAACAGAATGGAGTAAGAAAGAAAGCGAACTCAGAGCTCAATCTGAAGATCTTGTATCCCAACTTCACGAAATTCAAAATCAATATTTACAAGAAGAAAGTGCTGAAAAAGCTCAACATCTTCAAGCATTAAACGAACGCACAAAAGCTCATCAAGAACAACTGGCTGAATTACAGGCTGAACTTGATGAGTGCTTAATGAGTACTGATGCTCCTAACGAATTCGAAGATATCGATAACGAAATTGAAGAACTTAAAGAGCAATTGAAAGAAGCCGAGAATTTACAGCCAACACACTCTGATAATGAAGATGAGAGTGAGGATGATGAATATGATGACTCAGAACAAAGAATTACTGAGTTAGAGCAGCGTCTTGAAGAGATGCAAGGAATCTACGAACAAGCCTTAAGCGACCGTGATGAAGATTCCAAGAAGGCTACACAAATGATTGAAGATATAATAACGAAATACGAAGCAATCGAAGAGCAGCATCAGAATGAGCTTGCCGAAGTAATTAATGATATTAACCAACTTGAAAAGCAGCGTGCTGATAGAGTTGCTCAATTACAGAAAGAAGTTGCCGATTCTAAAAAGCAAATTGCCGGACAGCTCAAGACAACAGTAAAGAGAATGACCGATATCGAAGGCCAACTTGCCAAGTCCCAGAAAGACCATAACTTGGCAATGCAGCAGCTCCAAGAACAAGCAGACGCTTTAAGAACCCAACTTGAAGGTTTAACAGCTCGCCAGAAGCAGCAGCTCAAGGAATCATCAGCTAGTGCAAAGCGCTATGCAGAAGAGAAGAGAGCTTTCGTTGCAAAGCACAAAGAATTACAAATGCTCAATGCAGAGCTTGTTCGTGAGCGTGTCGAACACCAAACACTTATGAAGGAACTTAGTAAGATGGATGATACTGTTTTAAGCCAGCTTTCGACTGGTTCTTTCTCCAAATCTCGTATTTCTTCAATTTATTAAAAATGTATTTAAATTTGGATTTCATATATTTTACATTACATAGATTTAAACCAAAGTGTTTTTTATTTATAGTAATTATGATTCTGTTTGGGATTGACAATCAAATTCAAAGGTGACCAAACTATTTTTTGAAAGTCCGCCATAACTTTAATGGTACTATTTCAGCGTGTACAATGAATACAAAAATTCTAAGAGTGCCACATAAAATAGTACTTTAGACTTGAGTTAATGCTACCAAGCAAATGTTAAAAAGATGACTTTAGTGTTTTGATAATCAAAGATTAAAATCATTATTGTCTAAATCAATAATCATAACGACAGAAGTTAATGTTTTTTCATAAGTGCTTTAAATCCACTTTTAAAAGTATACCTCAAAAATCAAAATATCAAAAAAAATTGGCCGATAGGTTTGGCTTTAATTTTTGTCTGCTTTTATGATTTGATATGGATGTTATAATTTTAAAAGTTGAGCCAAATTCACCAATAGATTTTTGAGATTTGCAAATACTCAATAATTTTCAGCGTGTTATCTTTTATTAAAAGAACTATTTGGTTTCAGTATCATATAAATTGATATTTACTTTCTATTTGAACCTTCATTTAGCTAATGATTTAATAATACAGATTTCATCTAGTCCTTATAAGAGAATTTTGAATTTGTTATAATAAAAAAACAAACAGATATAGCTTACACTTCTATAATAAAGATACCTTTTATAGAAATCAGTATGAAATGTGTTTTGGCTTATTGGAAGCATATCAGACATAATCGCCATAATCAAAAAATCTATATACCCAATAAGTAATAAATTTGTCGATATAGATTTTCCATAAAATTAGTTTTTAGTCTGATCTTAAAATAAATTTAATTTTTTATAAAAAAAATCACATTTAAAAGTACCTTTTTAGTAGATCGAAATCCTGTTGGTGGATTTCGGGCGTACTTCAAAATTAGCTTTTCTTCTCCATATGCAAGCTATATTTTAAATATGGAGCAAATCGGATCGGCGAAAGTAGTTTAGTTACCTTTATCAAATTCTAAAAAATTATTATTCACATTAGATTTTCCATTGAAAATTAATTCAGAGGAGTATAGTATATCTTGTGACATGAGAGATAACGAGTGTCGTATCGGTACGTTTGGCAATTAATTTTCTTCAAATATTGATTCTTTTGAAAGTGTGATTAGCTCATGATAGTCAATACAATTAATTCACAATAGTGTTTAGATTAGAGTCAGATTGATAAATCAAAGTTCGAAATTTTACACGAAAACATCATATCGATAGCATGAGAATATAAATTTTGATAAGTTATTCATAATATATGTCAATCTTAGATGCAAAAAGAGAAAAAAAATCCGGTAATAAAAATCACTTCGTAATGTAATCTAATTTATAGGATTACCTTACATTGAGCTGTACTTTCGAGTTTTTTACTGGAGATCGCGATTGACGTAAAAAAATACAAATTGACTGGTTATTTAGAAGGTTGATAAACAAATTTTTATACTATATAAACATTTAATATATATCAGTTCGTTTCCGAGTTGGACATATCCATGTCAACCTTCGCATTTTGCTCGGAATCAGATTCGCAATGAACAGGCGGAATTAATTCTGATAAGTAAAATGTATCTGGTAATGCCTCTTCCTTTGATTGATCCTTTGCACCCTTTTTGGAGCCTTTTACTTGATCTTTTTCTTTGCACATTGTAAAAAATGAAAAATTTTTAAATGTGACAATTTAAGATGGAAAATTAAATTTAGTAAATTTTGATCAATTATTGATTTAGATTAATATTTCTATAAAATTCCATCCCGCGTAAAGTTCTGAATTTCCCGTATAAAATCCGATAGTTACCTGAATAAAAAAATTCGAAAAATGAAATTCAGGATAGACCTTCGAAATAGAAATGTTTTCCGATTTATTTTAATTCAAGTTCACGATTTTCAAATAGAAAACTAGAATTTTAAGAAATTTCTCATACATATATATTTACAACAAGAAATGGTTGATTAGCACAATAATGCAGATTCAAAATTATCATTTGGGATCTGAAAAAATAAAATGTCATTTGAGTAAATCTTTACTAGCATCTTGTGTACCAACACTATTGAATCAATGCTTACTCCCATAATTAAGAGTGTAGACACATTATAAATTCAATTTTTTTTATATACTTTAGGTAATTATATAAATTTATCCGCCGAATTAGGACTTTAATGAAAAATAAATAACTTCTATGGATTTGTTTCTTTTGCAAACCTCATCCTCTTTATAAAAAAGTCCTCTTATTTCAAATTGTTAAAAAAAATCACAAAAATATCGTTTTAAGAAAAATTGACTAATCAAAAATACATTGTAAGTACTGATTTTTTCAAAATCCGAATTTTTTTGGAATTAGAAATCTTTCCCAAAGGGTACTCTGGGCTAAAAAGCTTCATTTCAGACTAAGTTTTCCTTATAATACTCTCTTTCTGATCTTATTTACTTTTCAATCCAAAATTCACTCAGCCTTTATTATTTAAATGCATCAGAATAGTTATGCATACAGAAAATTCCTATATTTCAGTTTACAGAAACCAACTTCTTTTATGATATTTTTTAAATTCCAAAAATTATATCGACGCGGATTGCCAAGATTTTAAAGTGATAGAAAATAGTCCGAAATATCAACAGAAATAGAAGAAAAATTATTATTCACAAAAAATAATTTTTATCCTTTTAGACTTTTGGTACATTCGGTCTATTTCATCCATACTTGTACATTATAAATTACAGCTTTGAAAGTCTCTCATACTTCTTACTTTAAAAATAAAATTATTATTGTATTACTTGGAAATATCTTAATTATACTATCTTAAACTAAAAATCTGCTATCTTTATATAATATTTTTGTGAACAGAGTAGTAATAATGCAATCATGACATTATCGAAATGGTTTTGAAGGTAAAATAATTAAGTTAGAAGACCAATAATCCATCACAACTAGACATTATTCTTCGATGAGCAATATTCTGCAGTTTAAATCTTTGTAATAGCCAATTTTATGATGATCTTAAGACTAAACTCAATTTTATTTATATTGCGATACCCAATTCATTTATCGTCACTTTTGAGAGGTTTATACGACACAATTTAAGGAAGTTAAAAACCCATAAAATATGAAATATAAACTGTAAACAATATTTACATCTTATTGATTCCATATGGTTTTTTACGTGGCCAAAGTTTATTCCTCAAAGTCCAATCATGTCCGCGCACAAAACAAATTCAAAAACAAATCCTTTAAATATATTTCTTATTCTCAATCGGTTGAAATATCAAACAATAGAATAATGTAGCCTTCAATTTGAGAACCAATTCAATTTTAGAAAGGGAAAGTGGAGATCACCTATATTGATTTTATATTGGTAACCTATTGACTTTTAAAAGTAACAATATAAAAAAAGTTAAATAAAATGGAGGACTCTGAGTACGAGCTCTCCAGTGAACCATCAACAACCACAGCTTCAGGCGACGAAGTAGTTGATCCAGATAAGCTACCAACCACTAAATCGTACGCAAATATTCCTATGCCTAGGAAAAAGAAGAAAGATCATATCATTTTCCCGATTATGACAATCGTTTTACTAGAACTTATTCTTCCTATATGCTACCTGATCAACTCAATCAGTACTCAGTCCATTATGGGCTTACTTAATATTATTATCTTAATCGTGAATGTTATTATTACAAATTTAACAAAAAAGAGTATTACTGGTCACAAGGTAATCCTCTCCATTGAACTCGTATATAATATTATACTTCTCGCTTGCGCAGCTACCCTTGGATATCGCTCCGATAGACTGACTAACAAGGCTCTTATTTATTTAGGCTTAGATTTCAATAATACAGTTGTTAAGAGCCCATTACTCACAATTGTTGTCTCATCAATCGCAATTTTCCTTGAATTAGTTGCCGTTGTTTTCATTTCTAAGACAAAGCCTGAGCAAATGATCAGATTAAGAGAGATGTTCTTCGCTTCAATGGGATGGATATTCTCTGCTGACTTCATTTGGTGTTTCTGCCTTGCTTATGCTGGTGCATCAAACACATCTTATCTTTTCATGCCACTGCTTTTGTATTTCGTATATATTTCAATTACTATGGGTATCATTGGTCGTCCATGCGTACCCCATATCATGCAGTATGTCGTTTACGGGTATTCAATCTTATATTCAATGTATTTGTTCTATCAAGTATCAAATATCGGTAAGATCTACTCCATAGCAAATCAAATTAAATTCGTCATGCTCGCTAACAGAAAATACGATTACCTTGTGCTTTCCGTGAATATTATTCAAATTTGGCTTTCTACGCAGCTTTGTTTTGCCTTTAACCGTGCAGGAAAGGCTCCAAAGATCCCAGCCTTCCTTACATCAGCATCAGATTTTGTCCTCGTATTTTCATTCGTCGGCGTTTTAGTATATGCAGTTTTCTATCCATGTTATATCTCTGTTTTATGGATTATCATCGTATACATTACAGCTTTCTTCAATCTTAACACTGCAAAGAAAGTTTTCTTCAGAGTTATTTCACTTATTCACAACTTTTCATTTTCCTGCATTTACGTTACACTGGCAGACTTATATCCAGAGTCTAAGATCGCCCCGAAGACTTTAATTAGGCTTAATGAAGTTGGTCTTTATCATTTCAAGGATAACTTCACATACACTCTTCTTGGCTTCTTCCTTGCAGCCATCCTTGCTCAAATTGGCCGTATCATCCACTACAAGGACGACCAAGAAGAAAACGAACAAGAAAATTACAATAATTTGCCAGATGTCGTTGAAAAGCCAAAAGAAGAGAAGAAGGAGTTTTTGATTGTCAAGGGCATCAAGCTTTGCTTCAAATGGATCAAGTTAATCGTTGTTTTCATCTTCAAATATTTCACAGCAGCCGCTATCATCATTTTAGCGCTTACATACGGTTATGCCGAGAACCAGATTATCTACCACATTGTTTGGCTCATTGCTTTGTGCATTTCCGTTCTTGGTATTTATTATCGTATCATCTTTGAGTTCATTAAGTTCTTCATTGGCATCACTATCATCACTGCTACATTCTTTGAAGCCAATGGACTCGATTTCCATAACATTGATGACTTCCTTCGCAAGACAGGACTTGCAGTTCCATCTGGCTACACATTAGCCGGCTATTTATGGCCATACATGGTTATTCTCTTCCTTACTGTTATATGTACTAACATGTCCGATCCAATTTTCTCATTACCACCTACAGGAGCCACATTAGTTTTCTGGTTCTTATGTTTATTACATATGTTGTATCTTTATTTGTTCAAATTCAATGTCTTTTCATTGGCATACTTAGTTGCAGGTGTATGGATCTTCTATTGCCAAGTTTTGAACAAAGTACAACTCCTCAAAGTTGCAATCATGGTTTCCGGTTTTTGTGTCTCCTTGCATCAAGGTTTACTTATGTTATCCGAATATCCACAAACAAGGAACTTCCTTTGCGCCTTGATTCCATCGAACATCATTGATATTTCAACACCAACATCCCCTGGAAGCGAATCAGTTTTGTTGGCTGTTACACAATTCACCATTTCTTTGACATACAGAAACTTTGTTACAGGATATAATAAGAAAGGAATTTACGCGCATGGTATATTAGAAGAAATTAAAGCAGCTCTTAGATCATTCTATTTCTATATCTCATGGATTTTCATGTTCTTCTTCTCCATTGCAAATGATTATCCAACAGTTATCAAACTCCTTATTTCTGTTTTCTTCTTGTTAGGTTCAAAAGTTGCAAGATTATTCAATAAGATGGTTAAATACCAGCTTTTGTTTAACTTAGTTTTCTTGTTTGTTGAAATGTTCTTCGAAATATTCCCTAATTATATCGAGAAACACAGAACAATACTTGAATATGTTGGTTTGTATTTCGTTAATGGTGAATACACAATTGCAAATAGAAATGCATCAATGACTTGGCAATTGTTATTCATTTTCGTATCAATTTTGAATATCATTGCTGAACATCCTGAACCAACAGATCCGAAATTCGACAAGTGTTTGGGCATGAGATTATACAGAGCTTTCTATTCAATGCTTCATAACTGGTTACCTGTTTTTGTCAACATTTCTTTGTGTATTTCAACACTTTATAATCCAACAATTTTCGGTTTGTTCTCTTACATCATTTTGAACATTGTCCAGTTCAAACCACAAGTTCTTAAACGCGGTGCATTGTTGATCACATTCCTCTTCAACTGTTGTTTCATGTTCCAATATTTAGTTTGGCTCGGATTGCCTAAATCTCCTTATTATTTCACAGGATTGCCAACAAGATGGTTGGAATTCTTCTCATTGACAAATATTGAAATTCCTGCTTTGTTGACAAATATGGTCACAGCTTTCGTTTTGACATTCTATTTGCAGTTTAGAGAATTAGCTATTTCATATGATATTGCTTTCGATGAATTACCAGAAACAATCAAACAAATTGTTTTGTTTATTTGTGCAAATATCTTCGAAATCATCGAAGCAATTGCTATTTCTGTTTCCATCTTCATACCAACAGTTGATGGTATTTTCTTCTTCTTGTTAGTCAATACTTTGTTCTTCGCAACTCTTCTTTTCGAGTTCGATTCACACAAGACAATTTCTATCCACTTGTGGGGTATTTTCCTTGTAATTCTCGCAAGATGGATTTCAAGATGTCCTTACTTCACTTCTCTCGGAATGGGTAAATGGATTAGTTCTCTCTTCGATTTACCATTCAGAGCATCATCGAGTAGTGAAGTCTGGTGGATCATCTTATTCGCTTTGGAGTCTCTTATTATCCACGTCATGGAAACGCCAATGTTCCAGACTTGCAGAAAAGATGGAATCCAAAGATTGGCGTATAGATTCATCAGAACAAGACAATTAAAGGTAATTAACAGACTCAACCAAGAGATTGTTGAGAACTTGCAACACAAGAAGATCGATGACATATTCACAATTGCAGAAAGTACATCAAATATGTCTAGATCTGTCTTTAATTTGTTGCCAAGTATGTCAACACCAAATTTGGCAGAAAAAGCGAAAATAGAACAAAAGAAACAACAAAAGGAAGAAGAAGCCAAAAAGAAGAAACAAGCTTTGTTGGATAATAGTGAAGAAGATTACGAAGAAGATGAAAGTGAAAAGAAGAAACCATTGAAGGAAATCCTTTATGATTTAATTCAAGATTTCAAAGACAAAGTTTTGAAACCAATTTTAAGAAAACTTTTGTTATTAGTCATCAATATTTGTCCAATCAATTCAGAAGCAGGTATTAATGTTCTCACATTGAACTCAATACATTCCATTCTCAGAAGATACGCAAGTGTCATGAGAATTAGTGGATCATTCACATTGAGTCCTGCTGAACAAAACTTCATGAAGAAACTTCCTCCTTCAATTTTCTATCAGATCAGTTCACTTGGCGATTTATGTGGATTCCCAGAGCTGAAAGACGAAAGATTGTTTGAGCATTCAATGAGGTATTTAGGCCTTGTTGTAAGGAACTTGAGTTTACCTTTGTTGTTGTTGATTTGCGTCATTCATTTGTTCATAAGAGAAAACATTTGGTCATTCATCAATTTAGTTTATTGCTTTGTTTTCTTTGCAGGAACAAATCTTTACGCGAAACCAAACATCCTTAGATTGTTCTATCTTTTCATCATGTTGATGATGCTTGTCAGAGCTATTTGTACTGTAGAAGTCGTAGCCAACGTTATCAATAATTACATGGATTCAGTTGCAGCAGGAACAGCAAGTGTAAACGTTATTGCTTTATTTGGAGCAAATCCAAATACAGATTCAAACGTCGAAATCTTTGTTTTCCTCATTGCAAACTGGTACATCGTTGACAAACTAAGGAATGCATTGGTTTTCTCTCCTCATCATTACACAGAAACTGTATTTGGAGGAGATAACAAACTCGATGGTTTCCCTGATAAATATTTCTACAACTTTGATAATCCAGACAAAGTTTTAGGTCTAAGTTCCAAACAAACAGGAACTGTTTGGGAACAAATCAAGCAAAATGCTAATTCCATTCGTATCTTCCCATCAACGCAGTATATTTTGGTTATTATCATTGATATCATTGCATTTGTAATTATGTTGTTTGGTATTGATGATTGGACAACGAAACCAAGATCAACAGCAGTTCTTTTAGATTTCTCAAAGGATGGAATCAGCTTGAAAGCGATTTTCTCTCTGATTTTCTCAACAATTTTCGTTTTGATTTATTATTTCTTGAGAATATCAAACAACTTCCTTGGAATCTTCATATTTAACATTATCCAATTGCTTTGTATTTTGTTCTTCTATTTCATTGTTTGCGTTAATAGAATAAGTTCATTGGAATTCTACATGTTTATTAAATTTGTTTCGATTTTGATTGTTTTCCATGATACTTATTGCGGAAAGTTATTCGCAAACTTCTCATTCCCAGACATAAAGAAGAACGGATCAAAGATATTGGCAATGAACAATGTAATTAGAATTGTTCCTTTCATCTATGAAATCTATACGTTGTTGGTTTGGATGTCAAAAACAACTTATGTTTCATACAGAAAGTTCTTTGTTATGAGCGAATTGAAGATTTATTTGGAGAACCAAATGGTCTACAATCACAGACATAAAGAAGAAGAACTCAAACACCAAAGAAGTGGTTTAATAGGAACAATCTTTATCTTGTTAATCATCATTGTTTTGTTTGGTCCAATGTTCTTCTTGATCAAATCTAAGATCAGCACAGAACCAAATCCAATTTATTCAGCATCTCTTGAATGTGGATTGAGCTCAACAGGATATCTTTACAAGAGCTACGCCCACATTATGCCGATGACAACAGCACAACAGAATGAATTAATTAAGGATTCAGATGAATTCGATTATTTGAGAGCGATTCCAACAGATAATATGTATATCATAGATTTCCCGCTTGAAAGTCAGTTAGTTCCTGAACTTCCTAATGAAACAATTGACACGATTTTCAAGTCAAATGATTATGAGATTGTTTATACATTGAACTTGAATTTCTTGAAAGGAACAACAAATTCATTTTCACCAAATGTTGTACAACAATATCAGTTGTTTAATGAGACATTGTCACTTCAAAACAAGACAATGTTGTATGAGAACTATCTTTCTCACAACGGAACTGTCATGTTCAATTTCTCATTGCCTGTTTTGTTGATGACTTTCTATTCATATCCAATAATGCCAACTAAATCTGAAAGCCAGATTTACGGTATGGAATTCACAGCAAGAGGAAAATTTGCTTTTGTTCATAGAGAATCAGCATCTTCTTTGTTGGCAACACCAACAATTAGAGTCATGTTGTATTCATCAGAAGTTCCTGCTGCTAGTGAGGTATTCTCATCAGGAGTTATGGCAACATCTATAATTGGTATCTATATTTTGATCATTTTCACATTTGGTGAAGTTTTGAGAGAAAGAGTTCTCAATTCATATGAAGGTTTGTGGATAGAAAGAATGAGACATCCTGAAGTTTTGTACCAATACATCATCGCTATCGAAGCCTTTAAACTTGTAGAAGCTTATGATAAAGAATATATGATGATTGAGAAACTTTTGGATGTTGTGAGATCTAAAGAAACTTGCATCCAAATGACAAATGATATCGAAGAAGTTTCTGAAGAAAAGAACTCTTCAGATGATGATGCACCTCCACCTCCTTCTCCAAAGCAAAACCAGGCACCAAAGCAAACACCAGAAACTCCAAAACAACAAACCCCTGAAACTCCTAAGCAACAAGACCAAGAACCTCCGAAAGAACAAAATCAAGAACCTTCAAAACAGGAATCACCAAAAACTGTTGAATTCGTAAATGTTGATCCAAAAACATAAATTCAAAATTTCATCCAAAGAAAATGTAAATATTTAATTTTTAATAATTTATATAATATTGTATTTCTTTTGATTGTATGAAAATAGTTTTTACATTGAAATTTTGAATGAAATTTTACCAAAATTTTAGTTTCAATTTTTCGCCAAATACTGAAACTATTTTAAATTTAATGTTGCACGAAATGCTGTATAAAGAAAATGAAAAGTTTACATTGAACAAAATTTTTCGAAAATATTATGATATTTGTAAACTATTCATAAGATGTGAGTCTTTTTTCATCGTTCTCTCAATCTTGAAAATTGTTCTGGAATTTTTACCTTTTGAAATTTTTTTGAATACTTATGCGGCAGAATAAAATTTCAAAATAAAAATTTCAATTTTAATAATGTCGTTCGATCTTCAGCATCTCGCTATAGATCCATCTCTTATCAAGGAAATCAAGCCTTGCGTTTACGAGATTCCAATTGGTTTCGTTCCAAACATGAAGGTTCCAGGTTATTTCTACTCAACACCCGAAATGGCAAAGTACGCATTCGATGAACTTCAGAACTGGATGTCGAACCGTAACCAGGGTCTCCCATCAATCTTACAGATTTCATTTGTTGCTACACTTCCAGGTATCACAAAGGGCTCATTCGGTATGCTAGATATGCACTCTGGTTATGGTTTCTCAATTGGTGGCGTTGCAGCATTCGATACAACAGATCCAGATGCATTCATCTCTCCAGGTGGTGTTGGCTACGATATCAACTGTGGTGTCCGCTTGATGACAACAAACTTAACATGGGAAGAGGTCGAGCCAGTCAAGAAGGAACTCGTTGAGAAGCTCTACGAGTACATCCCAGTTGGCGTTGGTGGCAAGCTCGATGGCGTCTGCGATCGTGACCATCTTCGTGATGTAATGTTAAAGGGTGCTGGCTGGGCACTTGAGAATGGTTTCGCAGTTCAAGAGGATATCGACAACTGTGAAGAGAATGGTTGTCTCAAGGGTGCTGATCCATCTTTGATCTCAGACCGCACAATTGCACGTGGTAAGGGACAGCTTGGCACGGTTGGTGCAGGAAACCACTACATCGAAGTTCAGCGTGTCGACAAGATCCTCGATGAGGAGAAAGCACGCGTGATGGATCTTCACGAGGGACAAGTTGTTGTCATGATCCACACAGGATCTCGTGGCTTAGGTCACCAGGTTGCAGATGAGAACATGAAAGTATGCTCAGAGAAGTTTGTCAAGGAATCACTCCCAGACAAGCAGCTTGCTGCACCATCTTTCCACTCTGAGGAAGGCCAGAAGTACTTGCGTGCAATGTACGCAGCTGCAAACTTCGTTTGGTGCAACCGTCAGGTAATCATGCACAACGTTCGCCGCGCATTTTCTGATGTCTTCAAGGACCGCAAATTAGAGACACATCTCGTCTATGACGTTGCACACAACATCGCAAAGGTCGAGAAGCACAACATCGACGGTGTTGAGAAGGAGTACATCGTCCACCGTAAGGGTGCCACACGTGCATTTGGTCCAGGCCGCCAGGAGATCTCAGAGAAGTACCGCTCGATCGGCCAGCCAATCCTCATTGGTGGATCAATGGGAACAGCATCATATGTTCTCGTCGGAACAGATGAGTCAATGAAGTGTGCATTCGGATCAACATGCCACGGTGCAGGACGTCTCATGTCTCGTTCAAAGGCACTCAAGACAATTCCTCTCGAGAATGTACAGAATGATCTTGCTTCACATGGTGTCTTCCTCAAGGCAGCAGACAAGCAAACAATTCAGGATGAGTCTCCAGACGCATACAAGGACATCGAGCAGGTTATCGATGCATGCGAGACAGTTGGTATCTCACACAAGGTTGCACGCCTCGTTCCAATGGGCGTTATCAAGGGATGATCTTATAATTACAAAAGCATATGAATAAATGTTTTGTAATGATTTGTCAAATTATTAATAACTTTTTCATACATCAGATTGATATGCGAATTGATATCTCATTTGAAATTAATTATATTTTATTGAGTATTCAATGAGCCAAGAAGTTCCACATGATGTTAAGCAAATACAAACAATTCTCTAGCCATTGAAGAGAGATAAGATTGAAATTTAGATAATTTTATTCTTATTGTTACGATAACATGGCTTGTATATGTGAAAAAATCAAAACGATTATATAAACAAATAAATTTACAAACAAGAAAAATAAAAAACAATTAAAAAATTATAAATTGATGCAATCTCTCACGTTGCATATCTCATCGTTCTTAAGCTTGTTCACAAGCTCATTAGAAAAGATGGAAATACCGACTTGCTTGATGACTTTGCATAAAACAAGTCTCTTATGCCAAGATCCACGCATAAGTCTCTCTTCCATGCATTTGATCAATGAATTATCAGAGTTGACCAACATGGCCCAAAGATTTGCGCTTTCATTCCTGATAATTGCTGTTTGATCTTCGGAATAAATTTCTGCGAGTCTGACTAATTGGTTTCCGAGAAATGGAATGAATTCCTCGCATTGTTTGAGGAGGGCGTATCTGGTTCTCCAATCTGGAATGTTAGATGGATCTAATAATTCGATAAAGTCACTTTGGTTAGTAAAATTCTGTGCAAATGAATACAATCTCCATGCGAATGGAGTAAATGAAACTAATTCTGATGCAGCTCTTAAGTAAAGTGGTTCTTCTGATTTGATATCGGCTTTGCTTGCTGTTTCGAGTAAAGCAACGGCAGCATCGTTTCTATCGATCTTAATAGCTTCAAAGAACGCGTCGATGATCTGAGAAAACGATGTGGCCATTACAATTTCCGGTAAAGATGGAAAAGCGTATCTAACAGTTATAGAGCTAGAAAGTAGTTTCTTGTATTCATCTAAGAGAGGTGGTGATGCCTTTGCAATGACGGTCGCTGCAACTTGTCTTACGCCTGGATGTGTATCGTTTGCAGCCTGGATAAGAATATTTCTCATTGAATCATCGTCAATCATGCAATTTGGAAGGATTGTAAGAACTGTGCCTCTGACAACTGATGACTTATCTCGAGCTAATAATTTAAAATATTGTTGTACGCGCCAGAAATCGCGAACAATTGATATCAAATGAACTGCTAACTTGCGTGTATTCTGATCTTCGTCTTGATATAAGTGAGAAATGATTTCGCAAATGATATCATCTCGGTAGTATTTCGGAATAGAAGAAGCAATTTCAACGGCTAATTCGGTTAAATCAGAGGCCTTTCTTGGACCGCCAAATTTTATTGTTGATTGGATTGTAGAGAAGATTTCATTCCTGATGATCGAAGATCCATCTTCCGGAAAATTATCGAGAATTAAACGAATTAATGTTGGAAGTGTTTCAAACTTGTTCTTTTTGTCTTGCTTGATAATATTTTTGATCTCTGGTATGAGTTGTACGTTGATAAAGTCAATAGAAAAGTCCTCGTTGCGAATTGGCTGAGCAATTACAGGGAAACATTGCCTATTGACAAAATCAGGATCATCCAAATTGCTTATACGCAAACTTGGAGAACTCAAGGATAAAGAATCAAACATAATTATACTACTTTTTATTGATATCGTTAAAATTCAACACAAAAATTGTGGCGACTGATATTTAAATGAACCTAAATATTATTGAACTGCATACAGAAAACAACCATAAATCCTAATTAGTAGGATAAATTTTTAAACTTTTTGAGAACGACTTTTGAATTAAATTTGTCTAAATTTTTTCCTCTCTTTCAATTCATTAATGAAAATGATTTAATGGAATAATATTAATTAAACGCAGATCTACAATACATTTATAAAATAGCATTATCAATTCAATTCATAAATTCGAGTGAAAATATTCGGTTACATATGCAGAACTTAAAATAAATTGAATTCAGCAAATTTTAAATAGAAATTTTGAAATTGCTAACGTGTTTTTATAAAAATTTATTCAAATATTCTCTTATCAGCAATTGAAAGATTTGCAATAATGAGATACGTTCCGAAAACTTGTTATTGGAGTCAAATTCTCCTATTTGACTAGATTTTTGATGGAAATTCTAAATTTTGAAAAATGCAAATGGTATAAAGGTATGTTTGATGGGCAAATTAATTTCTATATCTATCGTAATGATGTTCTCTCTTATAATGAAAGCCAAAAAAATAATTAACTAGTAAACAAAATATTTAATATGCAAAACAATAACATTTCTTATTCGTTAAGAGGTGTCCGAAGATTACCTTGCATTTCGTTATGCAAATGATCATGGCTGTGGCTGTGCAAGTGTGCATGGTCGTGATCATCGTGATCGTGGTCGTGTTCATGGCCAGGAAGGTTCACATGTGGGCAACCGATTGAATGTTGGTAAACTGGAGGAGTTTGGAAGATTCTTTTATCACTTCCAAAAGATGTTGCGTAGAAGCAGGAACCAACGCTATCAGTGCCTTGAGGGAAGTCATCTACGAATTCTATTTGTACTGTTGTTGAATAAACACCATGGGAGATCATAATATTATGGCATTGTTCAAGAACTTTCTTGTTTCTTTCTTTAGAATCGACAACAACATGAAGTAGAGCTAAGTATATTTCTTTGCAAAGCTCCCAAACATGGAGTTCATGAACAGCAACTATACCTTCAATCTTCATCAAGTCTGCTTTAATTAATTCGACATCAATGTACTCAGGACATGATTCAAGAAGTATGCTACCTGTGCGACGTAATAATCCTTGAGATCCATAAACTAAAATGATGAAGATAAAGATTGAACAAGCAGGATCTAAATAGAAACGTCCATTCCATGTAGTCCATTGGCAAACAGCAGCTGAAATAACTACAGCGACTGATCCAAGAAGATCGCCAATGATATGTAAAAATATTCCTTGAATATTATCCGAATGATGGTGATCATGGAAAATGAAAATGCCGATAGCGTTAACGAGAAGGCCGAGGATACCGACGATTAAGAATGCTTTGGGTTCGACGATTTCTTCTACTTTAATAAATCTTTCGATTGCTTCAAATAGAATTGTCATGCAAACAGCAAGCAAGAAAATAGCGTTTGTGAATCCTCCAATAACTTCAGCACGTGCAAGACTGAAAGTATATTTCTTTGTTGGAGGTTTCTTTGCTTTTTCGTGAGCAACAAGACCGATAATTAGCGACATCTCATCTGAAAGCATATGCCAAGCATCAGACTGAAGTGATAATGATTTGGTTATAATTCCAGTGATTAATTCAGCAAAGAAAAATATACCAGTCAAGCTAATCATAAGAATTAAGCGCCATGTTACACCCTCAGCAGCGTGGTTATGGTCGTGATCATGATCATGGTGATGGTCGTGGTCATGAACATGAAAATGATTATTTTTTTCGGCGACCTGTAAAAATTGTTCGCAGTTCTCTGGTTCTAGTAGGCCAACCGTTGTATCGCTTTCGTTATGTTCTGAATGTGTATGATGATGGCCTGGTTCAGCTTCATTTTTGTTCATTACTTTCATATGATATAAATTATCAACAATCATTATTAAATTTGAGAAGGAAGAAACGGTTATTTTAAAAATTGATAAGGTTAATCACCCTACAAAGTATTCAATTTTTATTCAATTTTTAAATATCAAATTTAATTATGCCATGAAGCGGGGGACGCAGAGTACGCTTCATGTATGCTGCATATGAATTCCCTCGGCAAGGAACATGGATTTTATTAAAATAATGAGTTCATATTCGGTCAATTTTCATTTAATAAGAACTCTTATTTAACCATTATCTTAGGAAATGATAGACTATAAGATTTTTAATTACCATTATTAAGGGTTTCGTTTTGCGAAAAAAACGTACAATACGCAATTTCGCTAAAAAAACATTTAGCTAGCAATTTCGACATTTGACTCCACTCAAGACGTCACTTTTTTAATTTTGCGGTATCATATTTTTGGAAAATCTTTATGAATATTATATAAAAAGTCTCTTTAATATCTATATTTCATATTTTTATCGATTTTTAAAGTTTTGGCGAAAAGTATTCAATTATTTTTGCTATTTGGTCGGGTAAATGTCAGATTTGCGACATTTTCTGATATGATATTCAGATTCTACGTTGATAATAATGCTTATAGAACCCTCTTGCTATTGTGTCAAAATTGCGAAACCGATAGCAAAAATATCTCGCAATATCAAAATTGAGATATTGAGTGAATTATGCATTATAGAGATTAAAAATCTGATTTGTGAAAACATCTCATCAGTTTCTAGCTAATTCAAAAATCTTTACTATCTTATTCGATTAAAATGAAAAGGGAATAGTTTCATTATGCTTTAAATGACAGCCTTATAATATAATCATAGTTTTCGCTCAATATGCAGCATTTTTTTTTCGAAATCTATGGTCAATATCCTAAATACTGATTGCTTTGCATTCATATCTCTTACATTTTCTATACCCACATCACTATTCATTGCTATTCCTATCTTTTTCATTTTTGTTTGTTTCTCATAATTTCTCAAAAAACATGATAACTTGATATTTGTAAATATCATACTTTATAACGTAAATAAGAACTTGACCTATTAAGAAAAGCAGTAATGAAAAGAAAATCTGAAATTCATAAAAATTACAAGTTTCTGATGACAATTAGCTTAATTAAACCAGGTACAAGATTATATAATTGTATTTTCTATCCAATTATCCATATAATATCTTATCCAGAAAAAATAACTTGATCAATACCAAATGATTTTTTAACTAGTAAATAAAGTATTTTCTTTACACACACATTGTATATCATAGTTTTTTTTTTTTGGTTTCGCAAAACATCCAAAAACAAATATGCTATAAAAGTGACAATTTTAGCAAAACGAAACCCTTACCATTATGCATAATGTTTATTTTCTATCATACTCGTGAATTTTTGATTTGGAGAGATAGAAAAGTTCGCTTTGAGATTTACATATGGTGACAAAGCGCATGAAACAGGTATATGAATCGACGAATCGTAAGGTTGGAGCAAATAATGAAAATATAAGCTATAAAATACTGTTCTTTTCATTATAACTGCTTGAGAATGATTTCATTATGTACATATATTTTTGAAAAAGTTGTATGACTTCTATATCCATGACAATATATTCTTCCCTTTCTATATATATATCGAGCGAGGAATAAATTCTGCATACAGTACTCAAATTCGCTTCTTTTGGATCTTTCTCATTTTGGAGTTTAGATTTATGTCCAGATGAGATAAATAATTTTGATATTATCCATGCATTGCATAGTCATGATGATATTCTAATTCAATACTCTTATTGATGCGATTTATACTTTGCTTATTGATTATTCGTAATTGTAAATGATCAAATACATCAAAGAAATGCTCTGACTATGAACTCGTAATGCTTGAATAATTTTATGGATATATATGCATTCCTTAAAGAAAGAATTCTTATAATACTCATATGACTAAAATGATGGGAAATTTTCGTCGAACTAACGAAGAAGGAAACAATCGGTAGCTTTCAATCATTCACTGCTTTCTTGCCTTGCAGTTCTCAATGACTTTTACGATCTTTTTATAATAAGAGCGAGCTTCGGAAAAATTTGAACTCGTCTAAAATTTGCCAATATTTCCTTTCGACTCTCATGATGAACGTACGCAATTTAAAATCTGAGAAGTTGGTAGGAAGTGGAACATACGGCGAAGCATACAGATTTATTGACGAAAAGGGTGATGCTATTTCCGTAAAAAAATCAAAACCGATTCAACCAGAAAAACCAATTCCATCTGTCATAATTCGAGAAATATGTCTCCTAAGCGAACCTAAATATATTCATATTATTCATGCGCAAAAGGTTTCAATTCAAGGAATTAATTCGAATTATAGCATTCATTTCAACTATGAATTTGGTGCAATTGACGTATATAAACTACAAACTAAATATTTAAATAGATCTCCTTCAGAAATTGTTGCAAAATCAATTCTGTTTCAATTATTACTGGCATTGAATCATCTCCATAGCCATGGAATCATACACTGTGATCTTACGCCATCCAATTTAATTATAATGCCGAAAGCATACGAGCGACCAGGAATTCTTAAATTAATCGATTTTGGATTATCAAGAACTGCAGAATGGAAGAATCAAGAGGAAAATACGTTTGTAGTCACAATATGGTACAGATCTCCGGAGCTTTTACTCGATGACAAACACTATACAACAGCAGTTGATATGTGGGCTGCAGGATGTATATTTGCGGAGCTATTAACGGGCGAAATATTGTTTCGCTCTAAAGCTAAGAATGAAAATAGTAACGAATTTTGTGACGTTCAAATGGAATCGATTTTACGAGTGATGGGGAATTTTAGACCATCAGATTTGCCTCAATATCAGAGTAATTTTCTTATACCATTCCAACAGTTAAATTATAGACCATTTCAAAGTACTTTTGACATGAAATTTAGTAATATTGATCAAACTGCAAAAGATCTTTTGAGATCTATGCTAATACTAAACCCAGCAAATAGAATTAGTGCCCACGATGCCCTGCGCCATCCGTACTTTAATAAATTACCAGTTCCTGTGATGAATATCACTAATTTGTTTCCTGATTCAAAGTGGGCTGAAATTGAAAGTAGTATATGGGAAAGTTAATAAAAGTATTGTTTTGTTTGTTATATTTAAAAAAAATATATGTTTATATGTTTTATTATTGCAGAATTATGATGTGAAAACACATCTTTAGGATAACACAGAACTTTTTATAAATTCTAATATAGTATATCTCATTGAAATGCTCTTGAAAGTCTATTTCAACGTTTCATTTATTGAAATCGTCTGATTTAGTAAGATAGTCTTACTCAAATTCATATACTATATGAGAACTTTTTGTGATATTATTGATTGTGCATGGGAAAAAAATAGATAAAGGAAATAAATATTAATTTATTAAAGAAAAAGTATCTTTTGTACAATGTTAACTAATTATAGATTAGGATAATTCGATGTTATCATTATGAAGCAGAAAAGAAAACGAAAAATCGATGAATTGATTTCATAACAATATTAACTGAGCTAATGAGACTAATGGTAAGACACTAGTAAAGTGTGCATTAACAAGAACTAGTTACTAGTATTAATTCATCTAACCGATAATCGTATTGAAAATTACATTTGAAACGTAGATTTAAATATTGTAAACATAGCTCTGTGTATATGCTAGCAAATTTAACATTAAAATTCGAGTGAAATTTAACGATTTACAACTTGAATTTCGATTATTTCCGTATTTTCTATTTTTTTTAATATCATTGATTATATTGTTTCTGTCTAAAACTTCACCTGTTACTTTAAGGTCAAATTCTCTCTCTTTACCCAAAAAATAGGCAACAAAATCGTATAATTTTGAGATAGGTTCTTGAACACGGAACCACTCGTAAATTGCTGTATTGTCAGGCATCATGAAATATATGAAAACTGAAACTGTATGATATAATTCATTTTTTGTTGCAATTGCAGTCCAAAATGGAATAGCAGATTCGATCTTAGACTGAACAGGTATTGCATTATGAGTGGTAGAGAACATTTTCTTTGGGAAAATAGTTCTCTTTTGTTCAGTTGTCATATATTTAAAAAATAAATTATTCAATTTTTTCAATGACCATTCACAAAAATAAATTATTTAATCGCATTTCATATAAAACTAAACTAAAAATATAAAATTCGAAGTTAAAATTCACGGAGATCCTTCTGTGCGAAGAAGTCTTCAACCATATCTTGTTCCATGAAATCTTCTCCGAATGGATCAGCTCTAGAATTCTCAGCAGGGCCTTCTGTTGCAACAATTGAATCATTATTAAGTGAAATTTTGAAGTCAGTTGTCGCCATTTCATCTGCATGAAGGACTGTTTCTTCCTTAAGTGAGATAGCTGAATCGTCACTTACTTCATCCTTTCTCATAAAGTAATAAGTAAAGAATACAATTAAGGCAATCAGAGCAATTAAACCAGCGACAGCACCAGCGATAATTGCTATTAATTTATTATCCTTTTTTATAGTAGAGGAATTTCCTTGGGCTTCAGGAAGTTTTGCTTCAAGTGTTGCTTGAACTTTGATAATAATAGGAGTTGCTGAAGGTGAGAATGTATGTCTAGGTGTACTATGTGGTGTAGAAGCAGCTGTTTCATGAGGCGTTGGCTTAGGAATTGTAATTGTGAAGTTAGGATAAAACAAAGGTACTGAATAAGAACCTGGGAATATCTTTCCTGACTTCAATGAAGGACCAAGCTGTGTTTGAGCTGTTGGATACCTCTTTTCTGTTGTTGGACCTGGAACCTTAGTAATAGGTGTTGCATCATAAACGAACTTTGTTGGACTTGGAACTCCAGCTGCTGTTCCATTCACTGTAGGTGTGCCAACGATGTAGGAAATGTTTGTTTCGTTATAAACTGAAGGAGCATCTCCAATTCCTGGTAAATCTGTTGTAATGACTTCGCAAACACCCCATGGTTCTCTTGTTGTATTTCTCATCTGAAGAGAATTGACGGAACAGTTTCCTTTCAAAGGACGTTTAACCTTTGAAATTGCTTCATCTCTTTCTACTTCTGGGACAGCTCCGTACATGTAGTCATCATATGTGACGTATTCAAGGTAGCCATCAAGAAGAACTTCATTACCGGCACCTCCTCCCAAAGATGATCCGGTTGTTGTTGCTGAGTCTTTGTAGAAACAGGTGTGGTATGATCGAAGAGAACGCATCTCGTAAGTCTTTGCACCTGTTGGTGTAGAACCTTTCCTGGAGTCAGAGTAGAAGTAAATTGCACACACCTCCTCTTCCCAATTCATGATTGGAGTTAACTTTATTGGGGTAATCTTTACTCATGGTCTCGCCGCGTAATTTAGTTTTAGTATCTGTAGTTAAACGGTATTCTGGAGTCGATGCATCAACAACGTTATAAGCAAACCAGCTTCTGAAGAGTTTAAGAGAATCACAGTTAGCAGATGATATTGCTCCACCTGTGAAACTGCACTTGTTGCTGTAGAAATTTGAAAGTTCAATGTAAACTTCCACTGCATATGAAATTGCAATGGCTCTACCAACTTCTGAAGCGATATTTTGCCTAAACTCAAGCCAACCGCCTATAAGCGTAATTTTGGGAGAAAGGTAGCTTCCATCTGTTGGATTAAATTCCGATTGGAAATAGATAGCGCCACCATTCTTGTAAGCCATATTACTGGTAAATGTCGAGTTATATAATAACATTGCGGATGAAACAGAGCAAATAGCTCCACCTACAGACGCTTTGTTAGATTCAAAAATGATTTGGTAATCAGGTGAATCTGAATGTGCTTGAAATATACTTTCCCATATGTTAAGAGCTCCACCTGAGCCTGATGTAACGCCTGCACCGAAAGCGAAGTTATTTAAAAATTTTGTACGGCCCGTAATTGTAATTTCGCATTTATAAAACGTCTGATTTCTTCCTGAATGACTGATTTCTTTATCTTGAATAGTTGTTGACTGTTCATGAAATTCAAATAAATCAGAAGTCGATTCTGAAATGCCCTTTACAAAGAGATCTCCGCTATCCTTTTCTACAAGCTTTGGATGATATAAGGCATGAGTTGCTCTGATTAAGAAATTAAAGTAAAAACAAATCATCATTATTTGATAGCCACTTTTATTTTTGAATCACATTGAATTACTTGAATGATTATAATTATTTGCAAGTGATCTAAGAATATAATAGTTCAATATAAAAAAGTGATGTTTGATCACATTTAATATATATTTTCTGAGTTCATTCAAAATATTAACAATAGCAATTTTAATCAACTTCAGCATATGCATATATTTGATTACAGGTTCTATATAAAGGATTATCGTCGGAAAATCTGACATAAATTGGGGTTCTCAGTTAAGATATTTGATCTACTTAAATTTTACAACCTTATTTACGAAAAAAGGCGGAACAAAATCAGATTCAAAGATTTCAAAGATAATTTGAATGCATCTACAAATTAACTTACTTTTCAAGATTATTTTATATAAAATTTAAGTATCTGTTTAAAATTTAGATATTAATTCCGTTAAATGTAAGATTAAACCTTAAAATTGTGGATAACAGATTTATCCAAATTTTTCCAAATTATTGTAATGAACACTATGTCATCAATAAAATTTTCATCTTCTCAAAGTGAATTCATTCTTTATCCGTTATTTCGGATACACAAAGAAGTATACTAGAGTCAAAATCTCGAGCACAAAAGTGATATTGAATACTTGTAAGTATTGAATTCCCATGTAAACTATTCATTTCTATCGTTTTTTGTAGTCCACATTTCCTCACTCTCGATTTTACTCATAAAAATATTAAAAAATCACTATACAATATATAAAATATATATTTATATGGTTAAAACAATGTTATTTTTGCGAGATTTCATCTGAAATTAAAATTAGTGATTTTTTGAATTTTGAACTAAAATTTGTGATTGGCAAATATTGAATAATCGATTGGAATATGAAAGAAATACTTTAAAATTGAATAGAATGTGCCGATAGAATTTTTCTCACAATTTTAAAAAGTTGTTCAAATCCTATTTTTGATTGAGTTTTTGCAATTGTTATATATCAAGTGACAAGCTAAAAATAAAATTTTTGTTGCACTACTATTTTTGCAACAATTTGTAAATTACGTGCATCCCTTGTATTCCAGTGATCAACATCGAGATTACATATTGTAAGAAATCCTTTTGAAGTAGATCTCTATTTGAATTCAAATTCGGACAGTCTATTTCATACTGCTTCGTGAGAATGTATATAATTTGCAATGTGAATATTATATAATTGATTCTGTATAAATAAGTAATTATGCTTTAGGAAACTGCTCGGCATTGCATGAGATCTAATCTTATAATAATTTTTTAGATATGTTGAAATATGTAATATTTAGCTTCAATATCATTTATTATGGTGTGTTTTTGCTGTTTTTTTGATATTGGATATCAATGACTCTTCTGTGAACGAAAAAATCATATAAATCATTAAATTCTAAACGTAAGCGAAACTCATTCAATTTATTATTAGAATCAAATCTATTTTAAAATTGAGCTATTCGTTAAATCACAAAAGGATACTTTATATTTTTAGTCAAAATTTGTTGATAGGAGCTTATTGGCGCAATCTCATGTTCTTCCTGGAAGCAGCGCACAGACCAGTCAGAAGCGCTCCTTCCAGGACCAGAAAGACTAGAAGGGGGTCCTGACCTTGAGAAAGGACCCCCTTCCAGGTCTTTCTGGGACAATTCGGTTCGCATTGCGAGTGTCTGCTGCTTCTTTTGACCAAAGCAGCAGACACTCGCAATTATATGTTGCGGCAAGTGCATCTGTGGTGTCGGAATGCACTTGCCGCGAACTTCGAGCAATCTCCTGATCTTCCTGGAAGCAGCGCACAGACCAGTCAGAAGCGCTCCTTCCAGGACCAGAAAGACTAGAAGGGGGCCCTGACCTTGAGAAAGGACCCCCTTCCAGGTCTTTCTCCAAGGAACATTGTGCCATTGTGGAAGACATGCAGAGGCAATGTCTCCCAGAATGATACATTGCGACCAACACGAGTGAATGGGACACTCTATTCTTTCAATTTTCTCATTAATATTTTATCTTTTTTTATTAGATCAATAAATAAACTCTTTTAATGTTCACAATTACATAAATCCATATGAATCAATTCGCTATTTATTTAGTCTCAAAAAAAAAAAAAAAAAAAAAAAGGTAGTGGGGCCTCCAGGCACTTCGTGCCCTCTAGCCCTGAAGATGTTTAGTATAAATGAAGTTTATATTCGGAGGACTCTTCTTCTTCCTCCATTGCTTCTGGGAAGAAGCCTTCTTCTGGGTCGAAAACATTATATAATGTGTCGCTTTTCACAAATTATATATGTTTTCATGGTTTGTCACTTTTCTGTCACTTTTCAGGTAAAAACATTTTTATTATTATATATAAATGAATTTTACAAAACCTCCGTTACCGTTCTTTGGAAATAAGAGTAGATGTAAAGATATTATATTGAGAGAACTTAAGAAACTACCGAATGGTCTAACATTTGTAGATTTGTTCGGTGGAAGTTTCTATATATCCCATTTGTGCCATACAATATTCCCAGACTCAAAGATTATATGCAATGACTTCGACAACTATATGGACCGTCTCAAACATATTCCAGACACAAACAAAATATTGAGTGAGTTAAAAGAAAAGATACCTATAGGTAAGATGGAACGTATACCATTAGATAAGAAAAATATTGTGAGAGAGGTTTTGAAAAAAGCAGAATAATATAGACTGGGATATGTATCTGCTAGATATTATATATTAGGTGGTTCTATAAGAGTTCATGACATTGAAACACTTATGTCAAAATTTTATATCTTAACTATACAAATGTTTTCAAAGAGGACATAGAAAAATATATTGAGGGTATAGAGTTTGTGAGATGTCATTGGACAGAGTTGTATGAAAAATATAAAGACAAGGAAAATGTTTTCTTTATAGTGGACCCGCCGTTCTATAACACATGGGATTTTCAATACCAAGTAGACTGGACTTTGAGAGACTCTTTAGAAACTTTAGACGTTTTACATAACCATCCATGCTTTTACTTTACATCCGATAAAAGTGGTTTGGAAACCGTTATGAGATGGTTAGAGGACATACATGACTATGAGTTTAGATATGACAAGATAGAATATGAGAGAGGTCCTATAAACCGGAGAAAGTGTCACAATAACGAAATTTTATTAGTAAGTAAATGTGGTTTGAAATAGGACTACTTGTTTTAGGTTTTTTCCATTGTGTCATTTATTTCTTTGACGTGGCAGAAAGATATAGAGAATATGAAGATGAACCAATGCCTGCAAATGTTCAGTATATGTACTCGTAAGAGATATTTTTATCTAATATTAAATGGACGCACAGAACTTAGCGAATGCACAGCAACCTGGACAACCAAACCCAGAGAATATTCCAAATGAAGTTAGAATACAAACTGCAATGGCAAACTATGGTCAAGTGCCAACAGATGTACAAATGCAAACTGCCATGTCAAATGACGCTGCGTTAGGTTTGCCACCATGGTATGCAAATATGAGATGGAAAGAGTTTTATACAAACCCTGAAGTGGGATATAAACAACTTTATGCAGATGACGCGAACACAGGAGTTGACCCAGAATATGTTTTCTACCAGAGGAGAAACAGAATGTATGAGCTCCAGTTAAAGAATGCTATGGAACTCAACAGGAAACGCAAAAGACTAGGCGGACATTAGATTTTTACATATAGTAAAATGGGTTTCTTCAGTAGTATTGGAAACTTCTTTCGAAGAGTTGGAAGAGGTATATGGAATGGAATAAAAACCGTAGGAAGAGGAATTTGGAACGGTGTCAAAAATATTGGTAAAAGAGTAGGTCAGTTTGTTGGTATTATACCTAAAGACCCTGAACCAGAAGAACAAGCTCCTGTTATACAACAGCCTGAACCTGCACCACAGTCTAGTTGGCAACCAAATCCAACACCTCAACCGTATTAAAAAATTATATTTTTACCGTTCGATAGTAGTTGTATATGAAACTAAGTTCTAAGTAAAACGCATGGTATAATGGAATTATTCTTTTTCTTCCATCTGTAGTAAACCATACTTGAAAGTCTGAAATACTTCCACTTGGTGGTTCGTATAACTTTGTAGGTTTTTCGTAAAAGTCATTTGCCAAGCATAAGAAAGAGTTTTGGGCGCCAGAAAATGAAGCATGAACAATAATAGCATCTTGGTCGAAAACATTTTCATATGTTCCATTAGGGTTTTCGACTTCATAAAAGTCTGGGTGTACTGGATATGCTGCAGGCTGATTTAACATCCTCAAAAATCTATACCATGCCAAGTTGTTATATTTTGTAGAAATATAAACGTTTTCTCCAAGGTCTTCTATTCTATTGATTTTAACAGTTGCATTTTTCCTGTCATAAATAATATCGAGATGGTATTCTCCTTCGTCAATGTTATACTGGTTTGCATATTCGATATAGATATTGTTTATTTTTTCTTGAAAAGCTTGAAGAGTTGTTTCTAAGTTTACAAGCAAACTAACTTGTAAAAGTTTTCCCTGTTCAAATTTCTCATACATACGTTTTTCTTTGTTATAGTATCGAACTTCAAAACCGACCGTAAATGGGAAACCATGTATGGCTTCTGAAATGAACTTCATTCTACGAAAGCCAATAGCTTTTGTGACAGATGGGTCTCTTAGCCATCTTAATGGGTAGTCAAAACGATAGCCTTCATGCTTTACGGTCTCTGTCTCAAACTTTTGACCGACATTAGTAAAAAGTTCATCTAATGGTTTAGTTGTAGCAACTCTTGAATTTTCTTTTTCTATTGGAAGCATATTTTATCTAGAATAAAAATGTCGAAAGATATTGCTTCCATGAGAGAAATACAACACAACCGACAACTCATTATGCAAGCTCTAAATAAGAACACAACAAACTTTTCAAACTATTCTAAGATATCTGAGTCATTGAAAGAAGGAAACTTAAAACTGACATTAAACCCAATGACAGATGAGTTTCTATTTCAAGACAAGAAGAAATACTGTCTGTATAAATCCAACAAAAGGAACTTTAAACGAGAAACCTATAAATGAACTTCTTTTGAAAGCAGATGTTGACAACAAAGCTGACAAAGAATATGTAGACGATGCAATAGCAAAAGAAGAAGAAAGAGCTAACAATGCTTATGCAACAAAAGAACATACTCATCCTGAACTAGCAGACAAAACATATGTTGACAATAAAATGTCAAGTGAAGTGACAAGAGCTGAAAACGAATATTCTAAAAAGACTCATATACATTCTATATCTGAAATAACAGACTTAAACGTTAGCCTTGAAAAGAAAGCGGATAAGGAATATGTGGCTAGTAAGTTAGAGAAGAAAGCAGATAAGGAATATGTGGATGAAAAAGATAATGAAATTATAGAAAGGGCTGAATGATATCATGAATGGACATCGAAGATTTTAAAAACTAAAGCTGATACAGGATGGGTTTCAGGATGTTTAGACCTTAAAGCAGATAAAACTTATGTTAACGATGAGTTAGAGAAGAAAGCAAATAAGACTCATACACATACAAGTTTTACAACTGTTAGAGCAGACGACATAATACTGAACTTTGACCTTGGTTCAAGTGCACCTTTAGAGAATCCGAGTACAAGCGTAAAAGATACTCTTAACAATTTAGATAAGAGTTGCAGGAATATCGAAGATCATGCCAGAAACTTTGAAGCATATGAACTACCCGCAATGTTAGATAAGAAAGCAGACAAAACAGAGCTTCAAACATTAAAGACAGAAATACTTCAAACATTATATCCTATAGGCTCTATTTATACGTCAATGAACTCTACCAGACCAGAAGTAGTACTTGGTTTTGGAACTTGGACTCAAATAGTCGACAGGTTTTTGTATTGTGCAAACTCTTCAAAGGAAACAGGTGGAAGTAAAACGATTTCAGGTGAAAATTTACCTGCACACAGTCACTACATAGATTTAAGTACATCTCAAGCAGGTTGGCATAAGCATAGATATTGGGATTGGTCAGCAATGACAAAAGGTAAAGGATATGATGTTAAAGACAACGTTAAGTTTGCTATAAATTGTTACTGGAGTAACACTGAGGGAGGAGGAAACCATACACATCACGTTTCAGGATATACGCAAACAACGGGACAAAGTAAAGACTACATGCCACCTTACATGACAGTTTACGCATGGTATAGAAATGCTTTAGTCGTCATTTTCAACTTCTTTTAGCATATTCGTCAGGAGTTGTCTTATATTTGTTAGGAAACTGTTTTTTGAAAGTATACCACCTTGAACTTTGACAAGTTTGAACGAGGTCTGAACAATAGTAGTTTTATCTTCTGCTTGCAGTGTGTACATTTTGCCATGTTTGCCTAAAACTTCATAATATTCTCTTGTATACTTTCTTCTATTTTTACGAACACGAATGTGAGTACCTGTCGGGTTCCCATTGTTGTCATAGTCAATAGTATTTCATATGGGTCGCGTTTGGGTATTTCTATTTTTACTTTGTCACCTTTCTGAAGTTTGAAGCCCGGCATTCTTTCTTGTTTGTCTCTTTTGACTAAATTATTAAATATATAGTCTTTCTCTAAGTCAGGGTTGTTTTTCATTCTTCGGGGGAGTGGTTTCCCAAACCTTTTTGTTTACGGCTATTGTAAATATTTAAACTTGTCTCATCTTTGCCATGGAGAAGTGTCTATATTTGTCGTCATATGACATTTCATTTGCTTCACCACCTTGTGGTTGGTTTAAGTCTCTTAACATTTTTTATACAACCGTCAATGACACCAAGAGCAGAATGGTTTTGGTCGACAATGAAATATTGGTTTTACATTTTTTGAACGCAGATAGTTTTAATATCATCTGATTTGAAAAGAACTTTCACAGTCAGATGTCATTTTGGTTGGATGGTATTTGTCAACGAATATTGTCAAGCAGTTTTCACATCTAAAAATTTTGGACCATAATGGTATGGCTTTCACAGTATCTTGTGTTTTGACCGACAATATTAGCCAGTATGGTGGTCCATCTGTTCTAACTCTCGGAATGTTTTCCAAGATATCCATAAACCAAGCATTTGGTGTTGAACTAAAGATTTTTACCATGAGTGCTTTTTTTGTCGCTTTAGAAACATAGGGGTCCTTGTTTGAATTCGTCATTTTTTATCCTATAAGAAATGGGTTTTTTGGCGCATTAGCAGGAGTTGCATCCAGATTTTTGCCCGCAGTGGGAACAATAGCCAGAGGTGTATTTGGAGTTGGAAGGAAGATTTGAGTACATTAGGTATACTTAAAGAGAAAGCACAACCTATTATACAAAACTGTACAGAAAGGTTGGGATGTAGCACGAGATGCAACAAATCTTATTCCAAATCCTGAAACAAGAGGAAAAGTTCAAGGATGGATGGACAATGTAGGAAGACAAGCAGGAAACTATTATAACAAAGCAAATGACTACTATAACCAAGCAGGACACTATATGGACCAAGGTGAAAGAATTCTTTAACAGAGGATATACCATGCACAACAATGGGTAAAACATAACCACCTCAACCGCCTCAAACGTGGGGAATGTAAGTTTTTTACTGAGATGAAATGAACAATACAGCAATTGAGACAAATGGGTTCAAGATGGATTTGTCGGCTTCCAGCAGTTACACAACGTGTTTGTCAAGTTCTTCCTATACCTCAGGAAGTTTTAGACCGACTTAAAAAACAACAACAACCAGTTGAAAACAAACCAAACTAAAATTTTTTACTGAGATGAAATGACCGAAGAAGTTGAAACGGTAGATTTGACACCACAAACAAAAGTTCAGAACCATTGTCAAAACCTGTCAAAGAACTTACAGATGAAGAGAAAAATTCAATAATAGAAAGTGCCAGGTCTGGAAATACAAACCCTAACTACAAAGTCACTTTTCATAAAAATGGAACGGCAAGTATCTCAAAAAAGAAACAGACTCTCACAAATAAAATATTGAAGTCTGAAGGAGCTTTCGAGACAACAGATGGAAAAGTTTACTTCACTGACCAACAGTTCATTATAGAACATCTCATTGACTTAGAGTCGAAATATTCTAAACTTTACAACAACACAAAAAGTTGAAAGGAAAACAAAAACAATGGCATATGATATTTATGAAGATGTTGACGACACAACTGTTCCTGCAAGTGAAGTAAAGTCAGAGAAACCGAAAAGTGACGAAAAACCGATAGAAGAAGAAAAACCAAAAACTGAAGATAAACCAAAACCAAAGTTTAGTTTGGAAACTAAACCAAGTCAACCTTCATTAGCTGGTATGGTTGGCGTCAAAGACTTATGGCAGCAGGCGGTTATGTTAAGTAAAGAAAAAAATATTTTTTTATTTTTATAAAAATGCCCCATATAGAATGGATAGAAAATCTGCTAGAATAAAAGCAGAGTCTGCTAGAAAAAAGCAGAGTTGGGAAACTGTTGTTAGATGAGAATATGAAATGGCATACAATTTTAAAACAATATATTTTTACATATATTAAATGCTTCAGGCTGAAAAACAAAGAACAAAAGTAGCAGATACAAAACCGTTAGACTATATCTTTACAAATGCTGGTAGACTATTTCAGATGAAGAAATTTCATCCCGAGTATACAGGTTTGACTATCCAATTCGTTGGCTTCAAAGTCCTTCAGATGCAAAGGCAATAGGATTTAGAAGAGTTTTGTTTTCAAATAGAACTAACGCATTTATGTTCGCAGTATATTTTCAGGCAGTATAAAGGTTCTGATGGTCTAATAGACAAATTTGACGAAATGAGAATCTTTACAGTTCGTTCAGACGAAAGTCTTGAGAAAACTCTAAATGACTTTCAAACTCAAATGAACAAATATTATTGGGAATTTCAAGAAAAATACGACTCTTACTAAATGGAACATACTATCTGAAACTAGAATTGACAAGATGAACTCCACCGTTTCATTTCAAAAGATTGAAATTAACCCTCCAAGAGATACAGAGTTTTTATTTTGGAAAGTAGACAAACGTTCTTGGGCACAATTTCTTCGGTTACTAAACCAGAACGAACCATTACCACCAGATGGTCCATTTAAATTTATACTTCCACCAGCAGATTTGACAGTTTATAGAAACGTGTTTGACCCTCAAAATGTTATGTGTCATGCAAGTTTCAGTTCAAGCAACAATAGTTTTCTATGTATTGGTAAGGACTTTTATGACTTTGCTTCTAAATTCTACGAACCACCTAGTAACAGTTTCTCTGACTTTCAAGTTTGGTTCACAACAAATGGTGTGCAACATATTATTCCATTGTACTATGACTTTTATCTCGAATTGTCTTTCATATATAACTACGGAAAAGTGCTGAAAAAGTATTGAAAAATACTTTTAGGGTAGCATGTTAGATCTAACCTCTTTTTTCACCTGTTTTCTCACCCTCATAACTTTGTCATGACTTCTTCGTAAACTAAACGTAAATGTTTTGTCAAGACTTCTTCGTAAATGTTTTGTCAAGACTTCTTCGTAAATGTTTTGTCAAGACTTCTTCGTAAATGTTTTGTCAAGACTTCTTCGTAAATGTTTTGTCAAGACTTCTTCGTAAATGTTTTGTCAAGACTTCTTCGTAAATGTTTTGTCATGACTTCTTCGTAAATGTTTTGTCAAACATGAACGTAAATGTTTTGTCATGATTTCATCGTAAATGTTTTGTCAAACATGAACGTACATGCTTTGTCATGATTTCATCGTAATGAGTGTAAAGGACCCAAAAATATATTTTAGGGTAGAAGGTTAGATCTAACCTCTTTTCTACCCTCTTGAATTTTCATGAATTTTCATGAATGTTTTGTCAAGACTTCTTCGTAAATGTTTTGTCATGACTTCTTCGTAAATGTTTTGTCATGACTTCTTCGTAAATGTTTTGTCAAGACTTCTTCGTAATGAGTGTAAAGGACCCAAAAATAATGTTTAGGTGAAGTGGTGCGATCTCACCTCCTTTTTCACCTCTTTTCTCACCTCTTGAATTTTCATGAATTTCCTTAAGATAGAAAAAATAAAGTTAGTTTTATTGTATTTTTTTGTATGTAAGATATGATTTCAGGGATTTTTTTGACGAAGTGTCAATGTTCACTTCGTCAAAAAATAACAGTTATCTAATGAAAAAGTGTCATTTTATTTTTTTATTTTGTATGTTAGATATGATTTCAGGGATTTTTTTGACGAAGTGTCAATGTTCACTTCGTCAAAAAATAACAGTTATCTAATGAAAAAGTGTCATGATTTCATCGTAAATGTTTTGTCAAGACTTCTTCGTAAATGTTTTGTCAAGACTTCTTCGTAATGAGTGTAAATGTTTTGTCAAGACTTCTTCGTACATGCTTTGTCAAACATGAACGTACATGCTTTGTCATGACTTCTTCGTATATGCTTTGTCATGACTTCTTCGTATATGCTTTGTCATGACTTCTTCGTAAATGTTTTGTCAAACATGAACGTAAAGGACCCAAAAATAATGTTTAGGTGAAGTGGTGCGATCTCACCTCCTTTTTCACCTGTTTTTTCACCTCTTGAATTTTCATGAATTTTCCCGAAATAAAAAATAAAGTTAGTTTTATTTTTTTTTATTTTTTTATTTTGTATGTAAGAACAGAAATGTCAACAATCGGCACAACAACACTTCAAACAACAGCACCAAACTCGTTAGTCATGAATCCAACATCTATGTTAGTAGAGATGAAAAGCTTCATTCCTTCTTCATATACTTTCGAAACAAAAATCCAGAAGATAAAGCAGGAACTTTTAACAAGTACTTTGGACTGTTGTGCGAAAGATGAAACAAATGAACAGTATCTTTATGAAATGCAGGACATTATTGACCATTTACCCAAATTGCCTGAAATTCAGCAGCAAAAGCTCACTATTCCTGAATTCGATGAAATAGAAGTCAAAGCAACTGACTCAGTAGAAATAAAGAAGTTCATTCGTAAGGTAAACTATGAGTTTCTAGGATTTCATTGCAACCATAAGGTTATGGACAAAGATTGCGACATGGTATATAAGAACATCTCTGACATATATAAATCTGAAGAATTTAAGACCTACGACAACTTTGTTTCGTTAGTTGCTGAATGTGTATGGCAGATAAGAGATAAAGATAGAAGAGGTAAGGTATGGAACAAACAGATAAAACCAGCAACTTTTGAGTTAAAGAAAACCATTGACGCTTTAGTTGTTTTAGCAGGTAAGGTTTCAGAATATAACGCAAAAATGAACCCGCAATGTTCTAAATGTAAAGCAGCAATTAGGAAATATAACTACTCCGTCAAAGAGATAGAAAGAATGAGAAACGACTATGCAGACTTAAAGAAAGAAGCAGAAAAGCCAGCAGAAGATAAAATGAACATGTTAGAATTTCTGAACAAAAACTATCCAACTGCTGACGATTTCCTTCTATCTGACGTCAAGAAGAAGTATAAAGAAACTTTCGGCATTGTTAAAACTTTTGACATACTGACAGAAGAAATAGAAGCTACGAAACTGTTTAGAATTTCAAATATACATCGTACAATTCATGTAAAACGCTTGTGAAAAAACAGGTGAAAAAACAGGTGAGATCGCACCACTTCACCTAAACTTTATTTTTTGCTGAAAAATGACCAAATTTCATGAGTTTGTATGTTTTAGACCATGTGAGAAAACAGGTGAAAAAACAGGTGAGATCGCACCTCTTCACCTAAACATTATTTTTGTCTGATTTACGCTCATTACGATGAAGAAGTCTTGACAAAGCATGTACGTTCATGTTTGACAAAACATTTACGAAGAAGTCTTGACAAAGCATGTACGAAGAAGTCTTGACAAAGCATGTACGAAGAAGTCTTGACAAAGCATGTACGTTCATGTTTGACAAAACATTTACGAAGAAGTCTTGACAAAGCATGTACGTTCATGTTTGACAAAACATGTACGAAGAAGTCTTGACAAAGCATGTACGTTCATGTTTGACAAAACATTTACGAAGAAGTCTTGACAAAGCATGTACGTTCATGTTTGACAAAACATGTACGAAGAAGTCTTGACAAAGCATGTACGTTCATGTTTGACAAAACATTTACGAAGAAGTCTTGACAAAGCATGTACGTTCATGTTTGACAAAACATTTACGCTCATGTTTGACAAAGCATGTACGAAGAAGTCTTGACAAAACATTCATGAAAATTCATGAAAATTCAAGAGGGTAGAAAAGAGGTTAGATCTAACCTTCTACCCTAAACATTATTTTTGTCTGATTTACGCTCATTACGATGAAGAAGTCTTGACAAAACATTTACGAAGAAGTCTTGACAAAGCATGTACGAAGAAGTCTTGACAAAACATTTACGATGAAGAAGTCTTGACAAAGCATGTACGAAGAAGAAGTCTTGACAAAGCATGTACGAAGAAGAAGTCTTGACAAAACATTTACGATGAAGAAGTCTTGACAAATTCAAGAGGGTGAAAACAGGTGAAAAAACAGGTGAGATCGCACCTCTTCACCTAAAATATATTTTTGCTGAAAAAAATGACCAAATTTCATTATATAACTGTTATTTTTTGACGAAGTGAACTTTGACACTTCGTCAAAAAAATCCCTGAAATCATATCTTTTATACAAGATAGAAAATCTTACTCGCCTAAAACTCATGAAAATCGTAAAAAAATGACCAAATTTCATTATATAACTGTTATTTTTTGACGAAGTGAACTTTGACACTTCGTCAAAAAAATCCCTGAAATCATATCTTTTATACAAGATAGAAAAATCTTACTCGCCTAAAACTCATGAAAATCGTAAAAAATTGCGAGTAGGGAAAAAAACCTGGTCGCCTAAAACTCATGAAAATCGTGAAAAAATGACCAAATTTCATTATATAACTGTTATTTTTTTACGAAGAGAACTTTTGCACTTCGTCAAAAAAATCCCTGAAATCATATCTTTTATACAAGATAGAAAAAATAAAGTTAGTTTTTTGTAAAATATTTTTTTTATTTTGTATGTAAAGACATATATGACAAACACTGAGTTTGAAACAGTTAAAAAGATAGACAATGACACCAAATTGGTTAGAATAGGTGATTTAAACGTAAGATACTCAAAGAAATACAACAAATATTCTTTGTCAGACATTTTATCTCCATCTGGAAAGAAAACATACCATTGGGTTGGAATTGCTTCAACTCAGAAAATTTTGACAAGAAATCCTGAGCTTATGATATCGGTAAGATTCTATGGAACTACAGCATATCTTATAGACAAAAGTCTTATACCAATAGTTTTGTTATGGTTAGACCCAGTTGTTGGATATAACTTCATAACATATGGTTCATTCGATACGGAACGTTGCAGTGAAGGCTTACTTTACATCGTTCAGAAACCGAAGGACTTCAATACAAAGAGATATAAGATAGGAAAACATATAATATAACTCAAAGATATGACAGTACAGTCAATAGAGTCAAGGTTGTGTTCGTTAACGATATGAGAGCTGCTGAAACAGAACTACTTGAAAAGTTTGAGAAAATGTATGGTGCTCCCACGAAAGGTAAAGAAACGTTTGAAGTAGATGAGATAGATAAAGCTATAAAATTATTTGACGAAGTTGCTGAAAAATACATGTAAAGCGTTTATTTTTGGTCTTTTGTGAAAGTCAGGAAATAACGCTAATTTTTTTTATAAAATATTTTTTTATTTTGTATGTAAGGACAGATATGTCAACATCAGAGAACACAACAACTGCTATCGTTCATGAAGCCATAAATGAAGAATATGAGTACATACAGTATAACAAACAGTTACGTCTCATTCGTTCGGTCAAAGACGATATGTACCAAATGCAAAGTATTTTGAATGCTCTTCGTTCTACAAAGCAAGCACATCATTGGTTTGAAAACCAACAGACAAAAGAACTTTTAGAAGAATTTCCTCATATGTTTGCGACCCGAGGAAAACCGCGAGTCGAGATTCCGTACGAAAATCGTAAAAATTTGCTAAATGGTTTGAGAGGCTGGTATGTACATAGACTTCTTGTAAATGCTGTTGCAATGTGGGCTTCACCTCGTTACGCTTGTTATATTTTCATGATGTTAGATGAAATTCATAGACAAGAACGTGAAGAGCTAGAGAACAAGCTTGAAGCAAAAGACAAAAGCATTCAGAAAAGAATACCACGTTCGGTACCAAAAGGTAAGGAAAAGAACTATAAGTATATGATTTATACTGAAGAGATGGAAAATGAAGAAGATAAAGATATGGTTATGTTGCATTTAGTCAGAAGAAACAACAAAAGCTTTTACGACCTTGCTAAGATTTACAAATCTGACAGAAATTGGTTCTATCGCGAAAACTTACCGATTTCAATGACACCGAATGAAGATGTGAAACAAATAGTTCAAGATACGTTACCTCAAACACACTATGATATTAAAGGTTGTACAATACTTACATTCAAAGAAGATTTGCCATTGTTAAAGGAAAAAATAACAGAGTATTTTGACAACTTCAAACAAGTAGAGTAAATGAACCATTTATTTTTCAAGCTTGACTTCAGATGGCTCAGGTAGCTCTATAAAGTAAATTGCCTTGTCAAATCCTTCTGGCATTCCGAGTCCTTCCTTCCGACAAGAAAAGTTCTTCCTTCCGACAGAAAAAGTTTTTCCTTCCGACAGAAAAAATTTTTCCCGACGACAAGAAAAAATTTTCCAGTTGTCCGTCCGTAAACCATTCAAATTTTCGAAAATTGAGAACTTTTTGGTCGAACTTCAGGAAAAGTTTTTCCTTCCAACAGAAAAAATTTTTCCTTCCGACAGGAAAAGTTTTTCCCGACAACTGGAAAAGTTCTTCCTTCCGACAGGACACAAACGGATGACTGACGTTCCTCTTCCTGAATGCCTTCCAAAGCCAGAAGAACCGACAGCCCCAGCACCACAACAGACTTACTAAGACTAAACACTTACATTTTTCAAGCTTGACTTTTTACAATTTGAACTTTGTTTGCGTAGATATGAATTCTGAAAGAAGTATGAGGGTCTTGTATGACTTTGTACTTCTCCCATAGTTCATGTCTGTCAAACTTACCTGCCATGGACTCTTTCATAAGTTCCATGAAATCGTCTTCGGACAATCCGGGGAAAAGTACAATGTCAGTAAGTATTCTTTTAACATCCTTACTTAAACTCTTGGCTGTCTGTACACAAATGACAACTGAGATGTTAAAGTGCCTGAGCTTCTTAAGAATTCGACACATATCTTGTTCTCTATTCTTTAACAAAGGATGAGAGGCGAAATCATCTAAGATAAGAAGACATCTATGAGGGTAAGTCTTCCAATCGTAAGATTGCAATTTCTTCGAAATGTATTCTATCTCTTTCTGAATGCTTTTGTCTTTTGCTTCAATGACTTCATCTTTTGCTTGAAGTTTCTTTTCCATCTCTTCACGTTCTTGTCTATGAATTTCGTCAAGAAGTCTGTAAACATGCCATGCATAACGAGGAGAAGCCCACATTGCAACTGCATTTACTAAAAGTCTATGTACATAATATCCTCTTAAATTTATTGGCAATTTTTTACGATTTTCGTACGGAATCTCTACCCGCGGTTTTCCTCGGGTAGCAAACATATGCCATTTTACTCAGATTTTTGTGCTGAATTCAGTAAAAATAATGTTTAGGGTAGAAGGTTAGATCTAACCTCTTTTCTAACCTGTTTTTTTCACAAGCGTTTTACATGAATTGTACGATGTATATTTGAAATCCTAAACAGTTTTGTAGCTTCTATTTCTTCTTTTAGTACATCGAATGTTTTAACAATGCCGAAAGTTTCTTTATATTTCTTCTTGACGTCAGATAGAAGGAAATCTTCTGCTGTTGGATAGTTTTTGTCAAGACTTCTTCGTACATGCTTTGTCAAGACTTCTTCGTACATGCTTTGTCAAGACTTCTTCGTACATGCTTTGTCAAGACTTCTTCATCGTAATGAACGTATATGTTTTGTCAAGACTTCTTCGTAATGAGCGTAAATCAGACAAAAATAATGTTTAGGGTAGAAGGTTAGATCTACCCTCCTTTCTACCCTCTTTTCTAACCTCTTGAATTTTCATGATTTCTTCGTAAATGTTTTGTCAAGACTTCTTCGTAAATGTTTTGTCAAACATGAACGTATATGTTTTGTCAAGACTTCTTCGTAAATGTTTTGTCAAACATGAACGTATATGTTTTGTCAAGACTTCTTCGTAATGAGCGTAAATCAGACAAAAATAATGTTTAGGGTAGAAGGTTAGATCTACCCTCTTTTCTACCCCAGTTATTTTATAAGCGTTTTACATGGTAAACGTTATTTTTGGAATTTTCATGATTTCTTCGTAAATGTTTTGTCAAGACTTCTTCGTAAATGTTTTGTCAAACATGAACGTACATGCTTTGTCAAGACTTCTTCATCGTAATGAGCGTAAATCAGACAAAAATAATGTTTAGGTGAAGAGGTGCGATCTCACCTGTTTTTTCACCTGTTTTCTCACATGGTCTAAAACATACAAAACTCATGAAATTTGGTCATTTTTCAGCAAAAATAAAGTTTAGGTGAAGTGGTGCGATCTCACCTGTTTTTTCACCTGTTTTTTCACAAGCGTTTTACATGAATTGTACGATGTATATTTGAAATTCTAAACAGTTTCGTAGCTTCTATTTCTTCTGTCAGTATGTCAAAAGTTTTAACAATGCCGAAAGTTTCTTTATACTTCTTCTTGACGTCAGATAGAAGGAAATCGTCAGCAGTTGGATAGTTTTTGTTCAGAAATTCTAACATGGTCATTTTATCTTCTGCTGGCTTTTCTGCTTCTTTCTTTAAGTCTGCATAGTCGTTTCTCATTCTTTCTATCTCTTTGACGGAGTAGTTATATTTCCTAATTGCTGCTTTACATTTAGAACATTGCGGGTTCATTTTTGCGTTATATTCTGAAACCTTACCTGCTAAAACAACTAAAGCGTCAATGGTTTTCTTTAACTCAAAAGTTGCTGGTTTTATCTGTTTGTTCCATACCTTACCTCTTCTATCTTTATCTCTTATCTGCCATACACATTCAGCAACTAACGAAACAAAGTTGTCGTAGGTCTTAAATTCTTCAGATTTATATATGTCAGAGATGTTCTTATATACCATGTCGCAATCTTTGTCCATAACCTTATGGTTGCAATGAAATCCTAGAAACTCATAGTTTACCTTACGAATGAACTTCTTATTTCTACTGAGTCAGTTGCTTTGACTTCTATTTCATCGAATTCAGGAATAGTGAGCTTTTGCTGCTGAATTTCAGGCAATTTGGGTAAATGGTCAATAATGTCCTGCATTTCATAAAGATACTGTTCATTTGTTTCATCTTTCGCACTACAGTCTAAATTACATGTTAAAAGTTCTTGCTTTATCTTCTGGATTTTTGTTTCGAAAGTATATGAAGAAGGAATGAAGCTTTTCATTTCTACTAACATTGACGTAGGATTCATGACTAAAGAGTTTGGTGCTGTTGTTTGAATTGTTGTTGTGCCGATTGTTGACATTTCTGTTCTTACATACAAAATAAAAAAAATAAAAAAAATAAAACTAACTTTATTTTTTATTTCGGGAAAATTCATGAAAATTCAAGAGGTTAGAAAAGAGGGTAGAAAGGAGGGTAGATCTAACCTTCTACCCTAAATTATATTTTTTGGTGTAAATTTCCTAAACTGACTGACTGACTGACTGACTGACTGACTGACGGCACAAAGTGGCATAACGAAAACATTTACGAAGAAGTCATGACAAAACATGTACGAAGAAGTCTTGACAAAACATTTACGCTCATTACGATGAAGAAGTCTTGACAAAACATTTACGTTCATGTTTGACAAAACATTTACGAAGAAGTCATGACAAAACATGTACGATGAAATCATGACACTTTTTCATTAGATAACTGTTATTTTTTGACGAAGTGAAGAGTAACACTTCGTCAAAAAAATCCCTGAAATCATATCTTACATACAAAAAAATACAAAATAAAACTAACTTTATTTTTTCTATCTTAAGGAAATTCATGAAAATTCAAGAGGTGAAATGAGGGTAGAAAAGAGGTTAGATCTAACCTTCTACCCTAAATTATATTTTTGGGTCCTTTACGCTCATTACGAAGAAGTCTTGACAAAGCATGTACGTTCATGTTTGACAAAGCATGTACGTTCATGTTTGACAAAACATTTACGAAGAAGTCATGACAAAACATTTACGAAGAAGTCATGACAAAACATGTACGTTCATGTTTGACAAAACATTTACGAAGAAGTCTTGACAAAACATTTACGAAGAAGTCTTGACAAAACATTTACGAAGAAGTCATGACAAAACATTCATGAAAATTCATGAAAATTCAAGAGGGTAGAAAAGAGGTTAGATCTAACCTTCTACCCTAAACTTTATTTTTGGGTCCTTTACACTCATTACGAAGAAGTCATGACAAAACATTTACGCTCATTACGATGAAGAAGTCTTGACAAAACATTTACGAAGAAGTCATGACAAAACATTTACGAAGAAGTCATGACAAAACATTTACGAAGAAGTCATGACAAAACATGTACGTTCATGTTTGACAAAACATTTACGAAGAAGTCTTGACAAAACATTTACGAAGAAGTCTTGACAAAACATTTACGAAGAAGTCATGACAAAACATTCATGAAAATTCATGAAAATTCAAGAGGGTAGAAAAGAGGTTAGATCTAACCTTCTACCCTAAATTATATTTTTGGTCCGGGAACAAAATGAACGAGGTCAGGATGTATGTAAATACATTTGAATTCATTCATAACACCCTTTGTAAGCTCATAAAATGCTTGTTTTGAGGTCGAGCCACTTTTGGCTCCACCGTATTCTTTCAACCAAAACTCAAGAATTTCCCGCATGAATTTTGTATAAAAACCAACCGTCTGTATTCCGACGGTTGCTATATTCTTGACAAAACATTTACACTCATTACGAAGAAGTCTTGACAAAACATTTACGAAGAAGTCATGACAAAACATGTACGAAGAAGTTTTGACAAAACATTTACGTTTAGTTTACGATGAAGAAGTCTTGACAAAACATTTACGAAGAAGTCTTGACAAAACATTTACGATGAAGTCATGACAAAGCATTTACGATGAAGTCTTGACAAAACATATACGAAGAAGTCTTGACAAAACATGTACGATGAAGTCATGACAAAGCATATACGAAGAAGTCTTGACAAAACATTTACGATGAAATCTTGACAAAACATTTACGATGAAATCATGAAAATTCAAGAGGTGAAAAAAAGAGGTGAAAAAACAGGTGAGATCGCACCACTTCACCTAAATTATATTTTTGGGTCCTTTACACTCATTACGATGAAATCATGACAAAGCATGTACGTTCATGTTTGACAAAGCATGTACGATGAAATCATGACAAAGCATGTACGTTCATGTTTGACAAAGCATGTACGATGAAATCATGACAAAGCATGTACGTTCATGTTTGACAAAGCATGTACGATGAAATCATGACAAAGCATGTACGTTCATGTTTGACAAAACATTTACGAAGAAGTCTTGACAAAACATTTACGAAGAAGTCTTGACAAAACATGTACGATGAAGTCTTGACAAAACATTTACGATGAAGTCATGACAAAGCATATACGAAGAAGTCTTGACAAAACATTTACGATGAAATCTTGACAAAACATTTACGATGAAATCATGAAAATTCAAGAGGTGAAAAAAAGAGGTGAAAAAACAGGTGAGATCGCACCACTTCACCTAAATTATATTTTTGGGTCCTTTACACTCATTACGATGAAATCATGACAAAGCATGTACGTTCATGTTTGACAAAGCATGTACGATGAAATCATGACAAAGCATGTACGTTCATGTTTGACAAAGCATGTACGAAGAAGTCTTGACAAAGCATGTACGTTCATGTTTGACAAAACATTTACGAAGAAGTCTTGACAAAACATTTACGAAGAAGTCTTGACAAAACATGTACGATGAAGTCTTGACAAATTCATGAGTTTTCTACGATGTTAGAAAAAATGTTATTTTCTAATATCTTCACATTCAATACTTTTTCAGCACTTTTCCGTAGTTATATATGAAAGACAATTCGAGATAAAAGTCATAGTACAATGGAATAATATGTTGCACACCATTTGTTGTGAACCAAACTTGAAAGTCAGAGAAACTGTTACTAGGTGGTTCGTAGAATTTAGAAGCAAAGTCATAAAAGTCCTTACCAATACATAGAAAACTATTGTTGCTTGAACTGAAACTTGCATGACACATAACATTTTGAGGGTCAAACACGTTTCTATAAACTGTCAAATCTGCTGGTGGAAGTATAAATTTAAATGGACCATCTGGTGGTAATGGTTCGTTCTGGTTTAGTAACCGAAGAAATTGTGCCCAAGAACGTTTGTCTACTTTCCAAAATAAAAACTCTGTATCTCTTGGAGGGTTAATTTCAATCTTTTGAAATGAAACGGTGGAGTTCATCTTGTCATATTCTAGTTTCAGATAGTATGTTCCATTTAGTAAAGAGTCGTATTTTTCTTGAAATTCC